TAGCTGTTCTTTAAGATAGGAAATCTACCAGTAGTCCTTACTATGGTGATATGCAATTGATTGGCTATGCCTCGATCCAGACAGTAGGGGGCGACCATAGGTTTTTCCTCATTCAAGATAAAGCCATCTATGAGGAAACTGCACTTGTGTTTCATCCGTGGTCTTTTACTCCCTCTATTTAGGGTGGAAACATAAACTGCTGTTGGACATAATGTTCTCTGAATGAATTTTAACTGTGGTTTAATCTTTGTTAAACAGGAACTGCGAGCTTTAATCTGTCTTTTTGAGCACAACAATTCGTTTTTGTATCCATCAGGTACGTTCAATTTTTTGAAAGTTTCGATATGTCAGTTGTTTCTTAAGCTTTATTCCTTACTGTAGCAATCTATTATTGTTGTTATGGAGATGTAACTGAACTTGGATTCTTGTTTTTCTTTATTATGAAAAAGATCTGGTTCTAAAATCTGATTAGATGATGCACACACACAAATGACCAAACACCAATTGAATTTTGGTTTTAAAAGTCTTTTAGTTAGTTTTATGTAATAGTTTTATGTAATAATGTAATAAATAAATTATATAAAAATGTAATGAAGTTTTCCCTGTAAAATGGGGTCCCTATTTTGAAGCCCTGTCCTCTAATAGCATGGTTCTACTTTAGCGTTTTTCAAGCATGAAACTCCTAATAGTGCGTTGATGTTGTAGTATTATAGTGTAGTATATTATGTTATACTGTTATGATAATGTAACGTGTTATATTATACTAAGCTAACATTATCCGTCCTGAGTCTCTCCATCAACTTATAATCATGCATAACTCATTTTTATTTTAATACTTTATAACGTCCTGTAAATTATGTTAAACCTGTGTAGTGGCAACACATTAGGATATCAGAATAATTTTGAATATATTTACTTGCTGTATTAAATTAAACTGGCTTTATTGTGTTTTTATTCTTGAAAACATTGACATCGTAATTAATGATTCCAACGTTTTGAATGTTTCAATGTTAGAGTGTTTCAGACATGAAGGCGACACTGCTGGTGCTGCTGTTGTCTGTTGTGGGCGTGACGGTTTCCTGTGGTCTTCAACAGTCTGAGTGGGGAGCTGGCCCAGGCTGTCCTCTGGGCAAAAGGCTGGCGTTTGACCTCAAAACCACACTTAAGGAGAGCAAAAACCTAAACATGGAATACTTTGTCCGAACCCAGAACCTGGCATGCCCTGCTTCTACTACAGTCACAGTAAAAATCAGCTCTCACTGCAGACTGCTGGGGAGGATTTCACGAAGGAGGATTTCTCCATAAGCTGCACAGCTTAAGGAATGTCCCTCACCTCCCTTCCCTTTGGACAGCCCTCACTCTTGACTTCAATGATCTGGCTGACTGAGATATCCTGCTTTGTGAAATAATCTCTAGCTGATGCTGCCTTCACATGCTCATCAGATTTCTACTACTTTGTAGCTGGAAACATGATGAATCAGTTAGCTAAGCTGATCTTTTAGTGTCTTCATAACGGTTTCCCACATTGTAAAACTAGTACATTAAACATCTCTCTCTCTCTCTCTCTCTCTCTGCCTATCTGTAGTTTTCTACCTCTTCTGTGTTATTGAAGACACTGTCTTAGGAGAGTCTGACAGGTTCCTTGGAAGGTAAGCGCTACATTTCGTCTGTCGTTCTACTACTTTTATGTGTTATAAGGGTGTAACATGCACTGAAATGCATCTATTTTGGAACATTTGTTAATTTAACGAATAGTTTTTATTGTCTGCGTTCCACTGCGGTGAATATAGTTTCTCTGGTCACAGTTGTGTTTTCACTCTATTTTTAAAGAAGATTCCTTCTGATGTGCGATCATTGTGTGCATGTTTGTTTACTCAATAGCTACACTTTCAAGTCGTTGGTGGGGGACCGCATTCAAGAGAAAACATACGTTATTACCAAGAGGAAATTCTGAAGTTTAACAGCCTCAATTACAGGTATGTACATAAGATGGACTCAGTGTGATACTTCAGATCACTGTGTTGCTCCTGTAGCTATTTACAGAAGATTGAATTTAGGAAAAAGGAACATGTCGGTCTGTCTCTTCATATTTCTGTCTCCTTTTAAATCAATGTTTAAAACTACTCTCGTGTGTTTAATCAGGTGTTTAAAACTATGCAAATATAAGAGTAAATAAGTAGGTTATTTATATAAAAATATGAATGTTTGTTATTGTGAAATAATATTGCAAAGAACAATAATTAATTGTACTGTATTTAATATGAAGTTAATGGTTGTCCTCTCCTGTGTGTTTGTGTGTCAGTGAGAGCTCTCAGCAGACTCTTGTGTGGATGTTTGAAGATGTTCCAGACTCTTTCCCTCTGACTAAAGAAGGCTTCGTAGTCATGAGCGGCACCTCCAACAGGGTCAGGTGTGTATAAGGTGTGTGTGAATGAGAGAAGGAGAAGAAGTGCTTCACAGTGTTTTCGGCTTTGTGTGTGAAAGCTCCCTCTGCTGTTTATATTAGAAATTAACATAATGTCTGTGTGTGCGTGTGTGTGTGTGTGTGTGTGTGTGTGTGTGTGTGTGTGAGAGAGAGAGAGAGAGAGAGAGAGAGATGGTGAAAATCAGTTTGACTTTGTAAATAGAGTTGAAGGAAGAGCTCCTTCTTCTATTTTCCTACAAAAATCAAATCACACAGTTGTGTGTGTGTGTGTGTGTATGTGTGTGTGTAGATGGCTGTGTCAGGGGAACTCTCCCTGTGGTGATTTGACACCTAGAAATCTGCTTGATCCGGATTTTTTCTTCATCACTGAGGTCTCCAACAAGTAAGTGTGCTTATTTGGGAATCTAACTTTACTGTTTTAATTTTCCTTTAAGAATAATTTAAGACCAACATTGTGTCTTGCTTAAATTTAGAAACAAGTCCTCAAACAGCCTGTCTGAATGATGTAGTTCTCCCTGTAGAGGTGTTATAGGACCTGGAGAGAGTCATTAGCATTAGAGCCTGAAATGCATCTATTTTGGAACATTTGTTAATTTAACGAATAGTTTTTATTGTCTGCGTTCCACTGCGGTGAATATAGTTTCTCTGGTCACAGTTGTGTTTTCACTCTATTTTTAAAGAAGATTCCTTCTGATGTGCGATCATTGTGTGCATGTTCATTTCAGTGAGATTTGCTCAGTGGTCAGTGTATACCTGGAAGTATGCATGTCCCGTAAGCGGCTGACTGAACTCACCAACTCTGAATATGACCCTGTGTTTCTAATGTGGTCATTTGTGTGAAGTGTATCATGCATGCATTGACCCTAATTTCATTTCAAAGTCTGTATCGTGGACAAATGAGACACACCTGTTTATTAGTCAAACTGTCTTGCGCGCTCATCTGTCTGAACAGCATGTACGTCCATAGATAAGTCCTGAAATTAATGTTCACAGTTTCGTTAATAAATCTTCACAACCATCGCTAAACCCAATTATACAATCCAGAGAGGAATCACATGTTGAGAACAATGATTTCATATTTCATCATGGCACCATCTTTATCTGGATGGTCATGACAGCAGTCAAGCTTCTGCTTACATAAACATCACAGGCATAAGATCTGACTGTAGTGTGCCCAATTGTGGTGACGAGGAGCAAGTATTCAATTTATAGATCGGTGTGTGTGTCTGTGTGTTTGTGTGTGTGTGTGTGTGTGTGTGTGTGTGTATGTGTGTGTGTGTGTGTGTGTGTGTGTGTGTGTGTCTAGGGAAACTGATAGCAGCACATACTGTGAGCACACTTTACGTTTTGAGCTGCATGTTCATGGATTTCCTCTAGATCCAGTGAGGGGGCTGTTCTACATGCAGGTGAGGGATATACAGAGCTACACCTACAAACATTTTAAACTATATAATGTATTATGCTTACTTTTCAGTGCTTTACTAATATGTGGCAATGCTGTTTCTGTTTTCAGTAAGAGAGCTATAAATTCAGGATAAAAGTTAACACAATTAGTAACAGTTATCTCAGAGACAAAACCCTCTAAGACTGTCTCTGTATTTCCAGTTGACCGTGATAACCATTGAGAGCATCCTGGTATGTTATATTGTTCATGCCTGCTGTAAGCTGAGCCGAAAGACCGACTACACCAACAAACATGACAGCCTTGAAGAACAGGGTAACTGACAGAACCTAGCATTGTTCCAGAAACTCATACACAATCACACACATACATATACTCTCTCTCTCTCTCTCTCTTTCTCTCTCTCTCTCTCTCTCTCTCTCTCTCTCTCTCTCTCTCTCTCTCTCTCTCTCTCTGTAGAGGGTCATAAGCAGTTTAAGGCTGGTGATCTGAGGACACTGTATTCCTGGTTCCTGCAGCTGTACCGCATCGTCTTCAGCATCACCAGAAGCCCATGTTTGATCGCTTTATCATGCTGGTGGTGCTGATCGATACGGGCACGCTGATGGCCCAGACCTTCCAGGGCGTCACTGTGAGGACAGGTGCGGTCATATACTTTCCAGCACTCATTTTCACTCTCATTTTGTCTTTGACTTCAGAGATCAGAGCATGGATCAGTGACATACATGTACACATACACAACATAACTTAATACTGATACACACACATGCTTAAATGTATAATCCTGATTACTTGGAGTCCAACTCCAAGATTCAATTATGTCTTGTAACTCCTTTCAGGACTAATGGTAAAGTAATCCCTGCCTTATTACACTGAGAGTAAATTAGGTTGTTCCTTGTTGTTTTTTATTTTTGTACTAGGTTGGTGTTTCTCAGCATTGGACACCTGTTTTCTGGTTATCTATGTGATGGAGGCTGCGTTTAAGATCCTGGTGTGGGGGCATACATACTTCAGGAACCCCTGGAATGATTTGGGTGAGTTGACTAACCTCTGATGAGAATAGTCAACATGGTCTCATGATGGCAGCCTCTTCCTGCAAGTTTACATTCATTTTTATATGTTAGAATACTAGAATGTATTTTTCCTCTTTCTCTCAGATCTTTTTATTATGCTCATGAGTTTGGACTTTACACTGTCACTGGTGCAGTCTACAGGAGGCTTTAGCAGTAGACAGGCCTCCGCTCTCTTCCGGGTGCTCAAGACTTTCAAGGGAGCCAGATCAGTCAGAGCTTTACGTTTGCTCAAAGCCATCCGGTGAGGAAAATTACACACCCATTGTCATGATGTGAAATGATTTTGCTGAGACCATCTTCACCCTCTTTCAAATCCTTACGCTGGATGACTGATCCCTGATCTATATGACCAGCAGAGACAACGGTAAGGGGTCATCTCTTTTTAGGCATCAACATATCATGTGAAAAGCAAACTCATGAAAGTCATTGATTTCATTGAAAATGATGGATTTAGCCAATATGAGCTAAATCTTTGACCTCACAACGATTTGATTGGATTAAGATTCACTAAATCTTGAATGTTAAGATGGTTTGATTAGATTCTTTAGGTGAGATTCAGAATTCACTGAATACACAAATGCGACTGGAGGAACTTATTTATTTATAAAGTAGGCAAATATAGATAAAAGAACCAATGCACCAATTCTTTTTATATAGATGCATAGTGATGTCAGTTTAAGGATGTGAAGTAGCTGAGTGTTTACCTTTTCTGGTAACTGTGATTTTCTGTCCAGCTGAATTTTGACCTTATGTTTTCTTCTCCATGTGTTTTCACAACCCACAGGAGCACCTCACATCATTTATTTCCTTGCCCTTTACATCTTGGTGGAGCTTTTCACTTTCCTCAAGTAAGTTACCTGGAATGACCTCACAGTTTTAAATCAGTTTCCATTCTGTGAACCACATGTACAGTACATGCTGATTTCTGTAATTTTCTCACAGTCTTTGAATTGTGTAATAGCAGAACATCAAGGCAGCTGGACTTGTTTTGACTTACTTGTTCTTAACGTTTTGTCTTCCTAGTCTCTTCAATGCAGTGTTAGTGGACAAGTTCCAGCTGAGCATCCGCAAAAAGAGGCCTTTGAAGAGGGACACAGAGTTAGAACACCTGCAATGGAGAATAATCGAACGTGTAATGTTTCGGTGCTCTAACTAAGCTCTTATTTTAGTCCCCAGATGCGAATGAGGGTGAAATTCAGTCCACCGAGAAGACAGTAGAAGGTAAGTGTGTAACAGAACACAAAAAATTATATAACATCTCCACATTTTTCAGCTTTTTGCTTTTTATATTGTATCTTAAGCCTTCACTAATAACCTGGAAAGTCTTTTTGCGAGTGTCCACTTCGATCCACTTCATGGTTTCAGTTTTGTATTCCTCCAAAAGCAAGCATTTTTTCACCTAGCTGTCTCTAGTGTGCATAGATCTTTGAAATCAGTTAACAAATGTAGCTCTTTACGTAACCCAGTATGTCAAGAAATGAGAACAGTCTATGAAGCAAAGCCTTTAAAGCAGATAGTTAATGTATTTCTTAATTTACACACCTTCCAGTTTTGTGGAAGGCTTATAAATTAACCATTAATACAGCAGCGTGTGTAGCAAACCTCACATTTGTGATGTTTTAAATGGCCTCTTCTTGAATTTACATGTTCTGTATTTGTTGTTTGGATCTCTCTCACTTCAACAGTCCTGGAGATGAGTCAGTCAGAGATAGAGGAGGAACTCTAGAAGGAGGCTCTCAGACATGCTTCTAGTGAAAACAAACACAGCAAGAGGTGAGAGAGACTGCTTCAGAAATAGTCTTATGTGGCTACACCAAGCATGTCAGTGTAGGATCAGTATAGAATCATAATAAGATGATATGATAAAAAAAATTCTCTAAAGAGTTTTTATTGTTTACATTTGTAGGAAGATAGAACTAATAACAAGGCATCTGCAATTAATGGCCGTCATGGACCGGCACATGCGAAAGTACAGATCGCAAGCTTGTTTGCTGGACAAACATGTGGAAACCTTCTTTAAGGTGAGGAGCTTTTCCATATACATGCCATTATGATAAGCTCGACTACCAAAAAGATTTGTTGCTGGTGTTAAACATTGTGTTAAAATTCTTTAACATTCAGAATTCAGTCTGCAGCTTTAATATGCAAATCTTTACACAAACATTATTCAGCTGTATATGAACATAAAGAGCATAAAATGACTGTAAGGCACTATAAACAAATATTTAGCATCAGTAATGTTTGTGCTAAATGAAAAAGCTGAGCTGTGTAAATGCCCCTAAGCCAGTAAAGCATCAAAGGAGAACTGCAGGTGTAAAAACACAAAAAAACTGTACTTGTCTTTACTGGTCACATAGAAGTTACTGACACAGTTATTGTTGTTTTAGGACCGGGATGAGGAGACCAAAAGTGACAGTGATGAGTAACATCAGACGTGCAGACCTCCAGCATCCACCAGCCCATTCCAGTTCAGAGCAACATCCACCAAATAGCGCACACACAAGCGAGCGTGCCTCCATCACCAATAAAGCCCGAATGCAGAAGACAGCAGTGTGATTAATGCACAATAGTGTGTGGTTGTGTGTTCGTCTTTATACTAAACCAACTAGACTTCAATAAACACATCCACGTATGCAGACATCAGGCAATAGGGTTGGAATATGTGCAATATGGCAAAAAAGGACTTAATAGACCACACTTAATACAATCATAAACTATGAGTGGAGTGACTGATATTCAGTGTTTCACACACTGTACTGCACTAAATCAGAATAAACAGGACTAATTATGTTCCTTTATAATGATACGGGAAGTTGTTCTGTGTGATTTATGTACAAATGATATTCACAGTGTACCCCAGGGTTTAAACATGGTTTTAAAAGCCCCCTGAGTTTAAACATGGTTTTAAAACATGGTTTAATATCATGTTTTTTGATAGTTAACACATTCTCTACAGAGAAAAAACTTAAATATAGCAAATTTTGGTAAACAATTTCTGTTTATTTGCTAAGTTTAACATTGTGTGGGGAAAAAAAACATATAAAATATGCCATAACTTTTGCAATTTGCCACATTTTGATTTATTTTTTTCCCATTATGTTAACTTCAGCAAATAAACAGTAATTGTGTATTAAAGTGTGCAGAAGTGTGTTCTCTGTAAAGGATGAGTTCATTTATTTTCACTTAAAAAATCAACAAAGTATGTGATGAAACATGGAGTGTCCTAACTTTTACATATAGCTGTATCTTCATAAAGCTGCCCCCTAGTTCACTCCTAAAAATGAATTATGTGAAGTTTCCATCTGAATTATATGGAGATGGATCATATGAATGATGTGCTTTACTGTTATTGCTTTTAGCTTTTTAACTCTTCAGTTTAATGAACATAAACAGTCCTGACAAACACCTCTGGAGTTATTTGGAGCTTAAGACACAGAGGAAACGTGACACCCAGCGCTTCTTATTGCTGCCTGACTATTAGCAATGTGTCTATTTGAAGGAATGGCTTTGGTGGAAAAACTGAACTGATTCACCACCTCAAAAGATTCTTCTCTTCAGTCTCTGTTTGTTGGTTGGCTTTTAAATTACGAGCAACAACAACCAGAGAGAACCGAGCTAAAAACATCACCTTTAAAATCTCAGATAAAATATTTATTCTCCAGATAATAGTTTGTACTATAATAGTATAATAGTATAGTATACTAACTTTGTTTAAAGTTCAAAGTAATAAATCTTTTTTCACAGTATATTTATATATATGTAGTTTACCTGACTGAGATGCAGTACTAAAGTGAAATCTAGTGCCTTCAGACTGAGTTAAGTCTAATAAGTTGACAGATCATTTTAAGGAGCTGATTTTTCATTTTTACAGTGTATTTAATCCTGTAATTCATGTGTGTAATGGTTACATAAATGGAGAAGGTTTCATACAACACAGTCGATCTTACTCAATCACTGAGTTTAATTACATGAATCAAAAAATCAAGTAATCATTATTAGAGGTTCTAGTTTAGCAGTGGTTCTAGGACCTGAGGAAGTACCCGCTGCATTTCTGTGTTCTTCTATCTAAGTGCAGGTGTGACTCTTTGCTGGCTCACAAGCTGATTAGATGCTGCCACACACGGCGAGCTGGAGATACAAAACTAAAACAGTCTAATCTCAGCACAAGAATTCCATTTTTTTCTCTTTTATTTTTATTAAGACAGAGTCACAAGCACGTGTACAGATATGATTACTTTCAAGTATAGATACTATTTGAGAGAACCGATTGAGAGATGGGACCTGAGGAGTAAAATACATTCTTTACAATGTAAACCAGCAGGAAAAAAAACAAAACATGTCTGGCATTATAGTGAAATATAACTCCTAATTGGCCACAGAGCAGATATAATTTAGGGCACATTGTAAACTGTATATTAAGAATTGCTTGTATAGTTAAATGCACTTCTTGCCACAATGTCTTGATTTTATCACAGGTCCAAAAAGAGTGAATAAAAGTGCCTTTATGTAATGGACACTTAAAACATAGGTCAGATCGTTCTGGAAATATCCTATGTAAGCACAATGGTGTGAGATGAAATCTATTAATGAGCTCAAAATTAAGCTTGTGTGTATTAAGTGCCGTTTGGGTATAGATTTGAACAGATATAGAGCCAAACATCCTATTCGATAGCCTCCTCAAGGTCTCTTTAAGACTTACAAAAGAGTTCTACAACTACAGTCTGTAGTCCATTTGTTTCTCTGCTTACTTTGTTTTATCCTGTTCTTCAACAGTCTGGACCCCCCGAGGACCACCACAGATCAGGTATTAAGGATGGTGAATCATTCTCAGCACTGCAGTGGCACTGATGTGGTGGTGGTGTGTTAGTGTGTGTTGCGCTGGTATAAGTGGTTCAGACACAACAGTGCTCCTGGATAGTTTTGGTTGGTGGACTATTCTCAGTCCAGAAGTGACACTGATGAGTTTAAGAACTCCAGCAGCACTGCTGTGTCTGATCCACTACTACAATGTATGAGAGATATTACAATATTTGGTTTCACAGCGTGAAGAAAACGCCCCAAAGCAGAGAGAACGAGAGACTCACTTTTACTGTTTCATTATGAAGTAGTTAGTTAGTGGATAGGTTTAAGTTTTTAAATCTGCTGTGTCATTTTTCCTTTTCTTTGTGCATCTCAGCGGTCTGATGTTTTATCGTTTACCGTTGTGTCTGTGGTGAGCAGACGCTTTATAGTGAAGGATGCTGCAGTGTTTGTTGTGTTTATGTCAATTTAGTGTTCTGATTGATTGCTACTGTTTTGTATCAGGGCAGAAGTGATGGAATATGTGATCGCTGCACTGCTGTTAGCGATCGCCTAGCTTTATGCATGCAAGGTCGCCGGTTTGATACTCTGAGCTGACAGTATGTGACTGAAGTACCCTCGAGCAAGGCACCTAATCCCCAACTGCTCCCTGGGCACAGTGGATAGGACTGCCCACCGCTCCAGGCAAGTGTGCTCACTGCCCCCCAGTGTGTGTGTTTACTAGTGTGTATGAGGTGTTTCACTGCATGGATGGGTAAAATGCAGAGGTGAAATTTCCCTGTTGTGGGATTAATAAGGGTCACTTAATAAACTGGCTCTGGCTCTACCAGGTCCACTGACGTAATGTGAAAAAGTGACCCCTCAGCCAATCATATCAGACCCTGTAAGTTTTAAGCCAATCATGTCAGTCTGGGGGCAGATCTCTGGTTTTACTTGCTCTGACACCGGTCAGCGACCGCTAAAGCTGTGACAGGATTTGGACTAAAAACTCACTAAAATAAACATTCAACCTTATAAAAAATACATACCATGAAGACTCAAATAGTAAATAGTTATAGAGTGAATGTACCCAACTACAGTATGGATTTGTGGCAAATTATGGTCAGTATAGCTGGGTATCGGGTTTTTACTAGCTAACTTTAGGTTTACGTGAAGCAAAGAAAAGCGGTTAGGCTAAAACAAACATTAGCTAGCTTGCCATCTAGTTTAACTTCATTTTTTAGTAAGAATGTGAGAGGACAGAGATTGAAATAATGTCATTAATAGCTCTTTATATTCTTTGATTTTATATTTCTCTTCAGTTATTGGAAACGATGACACCAGTATTTACCATATATTGTCATTTACAGTAAGTTGAGGCTCTGTTTTAAATTCCTATAACTCGAGTTTAAAAGCTCTTAAAATATACCACGAGTATTATGTTTTATGCTATTCAGTGTTCAGGAAGTACATGTATTCTTTTACATTAAAAACGTTTAAGCATTTATGAACTATGATTTTGCTCAAATGCTCCTTATTAATCCATTCATTTTGGACTCGCTGGGGAGCGCCCTCTAGCGTTTGAGAAACCCGGAGGAAACAAGGGTTTCTCAAACGCCAGGGGGTGCTCTCTCATAAACCGGCTCTCGTGATTCGTCTGCGCGTCCGCCATGTCGGAGCGGTCAAGATCCGCTTGTGAACAAATTCACTTGTATTGAAAGATGATAAATTCTCAGGATTAAATCGGCCACAACTTCCTTATTATTCAACCGATTTTCACCAAATTTGTTTTGTTATAATCCTCAGACATGGATGAATCTAGGTTGCACGGACTGCTCTCTGTAGCTTTTATTTCTTAATAACTAATAATAAACCCCACTAAAACACAGTACGAAGGACGAAGCTAAAGTTGGCTTCCTAATCGCCAGCTTTATGTTCGAGTTCCACCTTAAAGTGCTGCACCATTTAAGGTGGAACGGGAAAACTCGAACAAGAAGCTGGCAAACAAGAAGCTAACTTAAGGTTCGTGTAAGAAGGTTCTAAGGTTAATCTAATTTAAATATCTACACGGATTAAGGAATGCTGCAATTTACCTAGCCGCAAAGCATAATAGCTAACTACTAACGTTACATAACGTTAGGATCCTCTTAATATGAAATAAATGAAATAAGCTTAATATAAAACCAGAGGAAAAACACTCACATCAACAGTTTCTTGCATCACCAACTACACGGCCACATCTATATATAAACATTACACAAACAATACGCATCACACAAAAATGAGCGCGGGTCGCTGCGTTCCCTCCGTTATATAATCATATCCCACTTTCTGAATGCAGTATTCTTAAAATGGTATAATTTTGGACAGTATCTTTAATAAACTGCCGCTCTGTAACGGTACTAAATGCCGTCCTGCAGCGACGTTAACTGCCCCAAAATGGCTACGCCGTTGACGTGCCTGGCTAGTCCCAACGTGGCAGGCATGTAGCTATATCTATGGTTAATATGGAGCATTTGAGCAAAATCATAGCTTATGATTGGGGGTCTAATTGGTGGTAATTCTCTCTACAGGTTCTCTGCGCGAACCTCTTCACTGAGCCTATAAGCTGCTCCGCTGGCCAACCAATCAGCACTCAGTAGCCAAAAGCCCCTTTGCTGTAGAAAAAAATGAACATGCACTTACGTTTTCATTGTTTTTAGTGAAATATACCCTTCTACTTTCCAAAATTAAAAGTAAGGTCCTGGACAAGTGGTTAGAAACTTTTAACTTTTCAATTTAGTCGTTTAGCTACGTTCACCTCCATTCATTGAGGACTCGCTCGCGGGCGCCCTCTGGCGTATGATGTAAACTGGAGAAACAGGAAGTGGCCGAGCTCCCTTAAAACGGCTGTCATAAACAACAACACAGAAGGCAGCAAGATGGTGTACGTGTCTAACGGTGAGTGGCACCAGCGAGAAACTCTACTGAATTAGGACAAAGTTGTCGTTTAACCACACAGCATTTACTTCAAGCACATTGCAATATTAAACTCTACCTTTAAAGTTACTTCAGTGCTCTGTTCAGTGAACGGGAGATTTCCTTAGCGTTAGCCAGCTAGCTTCACCGTGACCGTATGCTAGCTGCGTTAGCTGAGGAATTAGAGAAATGTCTGTGCTATAGGACTGAAAACGCTGATGACACAGACAGTGTTGTCTTTATAATTATCTTGCGAGGCTAGTTTAGCGGAGTGAACTCTTAACGTCCAGCAGTGCCAATCATCCAGCTAAAATGAGTCTGGTGATGTTAGCTAGCTTAGTATGTGGGGCCTGTTTAGCTAAATATTATACTTATTTCTCTGAGTTTTGTTCCGTCTGAACTAAATAACTGATCGCCAGGTCATTATTTTCTATTTGGTGCAAGTAAATGTCTAATGAGTCTTGATGAATTCCAGGTTATTGGAACTCACTCTTTCTGGGCTTTTGAGCTAAGTTAGCTGTTAACCGCTTAGGATTTGACAAGTCATCTTTATGCAAACACAAGACAATTTGAAAAGGATTTGGTCATTGTGAACAGGTGGGTGATATGGTAGAAATATCATATTACGATACTTAAAGGGGAATTCCTCTGTTTTTTCAAAATGTCTGCGTAATTCAGTCGTTGAGTTGTACACAGTCATCCAGAGTGGTTTGATATGAAATAGTTCATTGTAGAGAAACTTACAGGTTTCTTTACAGTGATGGTGACAAGAACTATGGGTTGCCATGTTTGCATCACAAATACAGCCATTTTTACTATCCAAAACCACAAGTGAACCTACACAAGTTATCTGAGTTTTGATATGTAATGTTAATAATGGTAAAGTAGCAGTAAATCTGGAAAAGTATGTTTTCCTTTGGGGACTGTTTTCCCTTATAGCACCCTGCATGTACCCCTCCAGTATTAAAAGGCTTTTAAAAGATCATTCTTGGCCAAAACCTGAAAAAATGTTGTAAAACAATGTCTCAGGTATCAGGCAACGTATTCATAACCATTTCATGTAATAAACTTTCTGTGAGGGAGCTTATAGAGAGGCATTACATGTTTAAGACGTCTGGTTCCTATTACCACCACTGTGAATAATAATGACTCGGTAAGCTTCTCTAGAATGGAGACTTTTACATCAAACCACATTTAGTGACATTTAGTTTACATCTTAATGATTTAATTAAGCAGAATGTTTGTAAAATTTTTTGGAGTTCCCCTTTAAAGGTATTTTTTATGATAGACAGTAATATTGACAGTAATATTTTTGAGACACAGACACAATGCACCAGTAGTGCCACAGTTAAAAACTGCCTTCAAAAACTCTTGGTACAATTACTTTTACTCAACATTTCACATACTGCGCTGCACTAAATCCAATTAAACAGGACTAATCCTGCTCTCTTTTTAATGAAACAGAGTTGGTCAGTGTTCTGTAAGTACAGATGATATGCTCAGAGATGCATACTGTTTCTCACAGTGAGGATAAAACGTCATCATATTGCGCACATCTAGTTCTTTTCAGATTAAGATTAAGAAAGATTAAGAAACCGTGGTAAATGCGCATGATTATGTAACAGCCTTTGTTGTTCCTTAGCTGGATGGGTGCTGTTAGTCATAGTACCTTAGTGGCCTAACATGACCCTGCTAAACCAAGTAAAGGACCTTTAAAGACTGAAGAGTTTCTGTGTTTGTGTTGAACCTTCACAATTTTGCCAGTATCTGCGTTATAGGCAGGTGTGGCATGTGCCCATCTCCGGGCCCCGATGACAGCTGCGAGAGCCCAGACGAAACCCCGCAAAGACAGTGGGGAGAGGATGAAATCTGTGAGGGAGTGGGGGGCGGTGCACGTGCCACAGCAGGTTTTACATATCTCCAATTTTTTTATTTCAGGTCAAGTCCTGGACAGCAGGACCCAGTCGCCATGGAGATTATCTTTCCTTAGCGACCTTTTCTGGGGTGTAGTGGAGTTCATTGGCCTGTTGTGAGTACTGAGTTTGTTTGTTTGTTTATTTGTTTGTTTGTTTAAACATTGATTGGAGCTGTCAGTAATAGAGTTGGGTAGAGTGGTCTAAAATTGTCCTAAAAAAAAACTGGCTGCAGATAAGATTGGCCCAAATCTGATCTTATTCCTTATATGTGACAGATTTTTTTTTTTGTGTGTGTAACAGCGTGAACGGCAAAAAACACATTGAATATTTTTGTTTCAGTCCCGATTTGGGCCACTTTATCTGAACAGTCAGCTCAGAATTCATGCATTTACATCAATCTAACTTGATCGTCGGCATAATTTCGCACAAGCAAAACTGGGTACTTTATGACAACATCATAGCGCCTTTTACTGTGGTTACGCTTCAAGTTTTCGTTTTGGAGGACAAGCGAGATGAGCAGCGGTTTGTTTATTTATTGATTGAAATCAAACTAACGGCTATTCGACATTTACTTCACGGATATTTTAACACTAGAAAGGAGCAAAGGAGATTCAAATCAAGTCTCTTTATTGAATATATAATCAGTATTTTTGGACCGAGTTGCTTTACTAGTATTCTTCACAGCAGATTTTAGTGTTTGCTGTCTGTTCAGACACACAGCTCATTTTGTTACTGCTTAAAAAGAGTCTATTAATCTTAATCAGAGGTAGAGGAGGGCTGTATTTGTTGATGAACACGCTGTGTGGATCTGTGTTCTTTCCTGGGTCAGCAGGATCGAATAATAAAATTCTTGTGCATCGGCAAAACCTTTGGCTAGTTGGCTACGCTATGTGGTCTTTATTTTTCTTTAGGTTATCTCAACTTGTTCTCAGCTAATGCCAATTTAACACCCGATGAAGAGCTAAAAAAAAAAAGGAGCCACTAGGGTTTCCTCAGCTCACGCTAAACCTTCTGTCAGCAACCAACAGCATAACATTTTAAGCATGGATACACACCCACATAATTGCAACAACTCAACATGATTGCAGTGATGTTCAGTGATCAAGACAACAGAATAAAATAACATTAATCAAAGCCTGATGAAGATGGAGGTGGGTCAGCAGGATCGAATAATAAAATTCTTGTGTATCATGTATATGTATGTGTATGTATGTATGTACATATGTATGTATGTATGTGTGTGTGTGTGTGTGTGTGTGTGTATGTATGTATATATATATATATATATTTGAAATTACATTCACACGTTTTCTACAGAGAACACATAAATATGATGCTTTTCTGTTCATTTTAATGCACAATTTTTAGTTATTAAGTTCAACATGTATAATAAATATGTTTTTACAGCATAAAATATAAAATGTGCCATAACTTTTGCACGGGCCGTATTTTATGTGCTTTGTTTTTTTTTTCCAGTATGTTAAACTCAGCAAATAAACAGTGATTTTGCATTTAAATATACAGAAGTATGTTCTTTGTAAAAACAAAATAAAAAAGTGTTAATTTACTCTCACTATAATTTAAGCAGGGGCATCCAGACTTTTGCATACAGCTGTGTACAAATTATGGTCGTTTGAAAGTCCTCGGTTTGAGTTGACATTGGACATAAATGCATAGAGCTGAATAAATGTAAGGAGTTATGTAGTTACACCTCCTATCAGTAGTATCAGGATTTTTAAATCTAATACTTTTGTATTGCTTTTCTCCTACTTTCCAGCTTCCAGACACTTGTCCAGCCAGATTTGTCCAATGATGGCAACTCCAGTGCATCGTCACGCTTCAGCGATGGCAGAGGGTAAGTCCCTGGAGAGCAAAAACGAAAAAGGATCGGCAAAGTAATTCTGCCTTTTCACCCAACACCTGTTGGTTTCAGTTGTGTTTGGTGTTGTCCCACTGCAGTGATCTGAGTTTGGCTGAGCAAAAGGCGAGGTGCCATGTTTATAACACATCTTAGTATCACAATGTTGGCCCAGGATCAGTTACCATTTAGATTCTTGTAAATACATTCATGCAGAAAAGAAGGATCTTAGATTTATGTAACAAACCTGATAAGATTGAATGATAATTTTCTTGTTCATTAGGCCTCCTGGTTTTCCTGGGCGGAGACGCATGGGCAGAATAAACCACGGTGGAGGCCCCAGTCCTCCTCCAATGGGTGGTGGAGGATGAGGAAGGTGAGGAAGAGTTTGTTAGCTTGTCAGCTACAGACACAATGTATGGAGTAGGGCTGTCAATTAGGCTGGGCAGTATGACAGTATTTTTCATTATGACGATAAATTACATAACAGTATGTCACAGTGGCCCTAATTAATATTAAAAGTTGTGTTAAAAGTCTGCAGATTTGGCTAATAATGAACTGTTCTGTGTCTGGTTCATAAAACCAGCTATATTATGGAAAAAAGCAGTGGTTGAAGCAGAAATGATGAATCAGTTTCAGTGCTTGATTCACGCACCAACCTAGCAGTACCTTCTTACGCATATCATTTACTTGAACTGCTTATTCGTGCAGATGTTTAGGTAGGGAGCCAGTTAAAACAGCATCGTTCAGTGGCTTGTGAGCCAATGGCTGTGCTCGTAAATGGAACATGGTACATCCACTAAAATAAAAAAAAAAAATACATCCACTTTTGTACTGGATTTCCATGTGCACAAAATTTTTGTAATTTGTATTTTTATTCCTATTATTTGTATTATTTTATTATGATGCTAATAACAATTTTGTTTAGTTAAGTTTTGTTTAATAATAGTTTGGTTTTGTTAAGTTTTTTCAGGTTGTTAAACTTGCACTCAAATTTACAGACCTACCACACATGAGTTTGATTGTACAGATGTGGCAACGGTGAAATTGATGAAATGAATTTGCGCACTGTTAGAAATTCAGCAAAAAGAGTCAGGAGACTGGAGCTTCGGCGTTGACTGGAGTTTATTTCCACATACAAAGTATGGGTACAGGGTGGTCGATCAACAGTCAGTCAGCAGTATCAGGAGTCTAGTCTTATTCATGTGCATGCAGACAATCATGCATGGGCACAGCTTGGTCATCAGTGTGTGACCAGTCTGGTCTAGTCCAGTCTGCAGTCCAGTCTCCAGTCCAGTCTGATGAATACATGGTCTGACATGGTTTAAGTATAGATACTGGGGGTCGGGGGAGGAAGCAAAGAGGGAGGGGAAGTAGGTGACAATCAAAAGGTTGGGGAAGAAGGGGAAGGGGGTCTGGGGTCAGGGGAGACCCCAGGGGTAAGGTGAGGTTGTTCTCACCTCAGGGGGAACAATACAGATAAAACACCAAAAGGCACACAGCTGTAAGACAATACAGCTGACACAACAAAAAGACTACATAGGTTAGAGCATAGAAGAAAGCAAATGTGAAAAGACCTATACTTTGTCTCAACACACACACTTTATGATCAGATTTCACTGCATGGAACTTTGATGAATAAGGGCCAAGTTGCTTTTCTGAGCATGTTGTGGATATCGTCACAACTTAAACACTGCATGTTTTATTTAAGAGAGAGCACATTTAAGTTTTTGATATTGGCACTACTTTATCTGTTCCGACTTATCAGGTGTCCAAAAAAAAATATCATGACACATCAACTTCTTAAAGTACTCGTGATATTACATTTTTGCCTCCAATAACACAGTCCCTGCCAGTCTTTGTTTTTCATAGATTCCAAAATTTAGCTGCAAAAGAGAGAATCAAGAAAGAACGATGTAATTTTATATACACACACACAGTCCTAGTGTAGGGTAGTAACATTCCTTGTTTCATGGTTTCTCTTTTTTTCTTGTTTCTTTGTGTCTACAGGTAAACGCCTGCACTCTGATGCAGGCGTAGTGGAGTGTGTTGGGTTGAGACGTGGCTGAACTCTGCTCATATAAGCTCTGCAAAGCAGAGAATCTGACCAGTGATGCTGTCTTAGATGAACACCCAGGCCCATCACACTCTTCACCCTCAGGCTGCTTCTGCATAGCAGATTTTTGATGCTGCTCTGGGAATTCCTATCATTAGGGGCTGGAGTAGCTGAATTCAGCAGCAATCCTCCACTCTTTTTGTCAGGTTGGACCTCTGTTAAATAAAGTTAAAAGCTTCAGGATGTGACAGATTCTATATGTTTTTTTTTTGTTATATGTTACAGTATAATAATAAAGTTGAAGTGTGGAATTGTTTGTTGCTCATGTCTTTCCTTACATACTTTTAATTTTTCACTTGACATGGAATAGGTAGATGTGTTTTTAGATCATAGCTTTTTGAAGTAGAAATTTTTATTTTTTGAAAGTACTGTTGTTTCTTTTACATAAGGGCATTTCCTGAATTCTTGCCTCATTTCTGCATGAACAGGTCCTTTCACTACCTTCTAAACATTTTGGGCATTGTTATTGATCTACACTAAAAACAGATCTATTAGATCTATTTTGGGTTAGACGATCAAGAATATGTGAATTTGCTGCACCTTATTCTCTTACTGTAATGCTACTATAGTGCAGTGATACTAGTTTAACGCTGCTGTAATCATACCACCAATCACATTTATTCCCCTGATATATATTTTTTTATGGTTGGTGGTGTTGCTTGGCCCCAATTTTTCCTCTGGAAAAAATGTGTCATAAAAATAAATATATTTAATTAAAAATGTATTCAAAAGCAGTGGTGGGTCTGGGGGCAGCTGGGGTAGCAGTGGCCTTCACAGAAATTTGGGGGGAATGTGGACTGGAAACGGCAGAATGCTTTTTAAAAACCACACAAAATATACTATAGTCTCTTAATATTTTGAACAACTATGTAGTTTATTAACGTTTTTTTTGGGTTTTCCCCTCATACACCACCGATCAAAAGTTTTAGAGCACCCCTATTTATGCAGGTTTATGTATATTTATCCAGTTTAACGTCTCATGGTCAGAAATTATATATGTATGTATATCAAATGTATATAAGTCGGTAGGGTTTGAGATGAAGGATTTCATTTCGTTTTTATGGTGGTTGATACTCAGCAGGACTCAGTCAGAGTCGTTATAAAGCAGTACACCGGCTCCTACACTTTCATGTGTACTTCAAACACCATCCGATGAGTGGCGCTGTGCGCTCTCTGCTTGCCTCACGCTCACAGGAGAAGAAGAAGTACAGTTAGCACTCTGGTAACATTTTTTGGTCCCTGATTCGAAAACACTTCTCCTGTGCCCGTCATTTAGGCGTCGGATAATGACACAAGCGGAGAGAGAACATGAGAATGAAAAAGAAAAAGATAAAGAGCGCGAAAAGGACAAAGAAAAAGAGCAACGCGGAGTAAAGAGACCAATTGTTCCTCCTGCCATCCCAGAGCCTTTGCAGGAGGTGAGTGAGTTTAGCTAACCTAACGGCTGTAGACACTGCAGGAGTCCTCCTCCCAAATATATATATAATACATTAAGCTTAATTATATATCTTATAAATGGCTGCTGTTACGCCAGATGGTTTTGCCAACAATATGGTGACATTTTCAGTTGAGCTGTTTGGCAGTCGCAAGAACCATTAACTTAGTGTATCGACTGAATAGTAAGCTGTTAGCTCTAAATAAACAGTGACTTCTGGCTGTTTTTGCAGTTTAGTGTCCGTATGTGGACTGTATGGACTGGTGAGTGACTGGTATGTTGTGAAACTTTTACTAGAAACAGATGTAATAAATTTTTGCATAACTACTTTCCACACATCTCTGTATCCCTTAGACATAAAAAGGCTGATTTGTTACTGTGCCTTTAAAACTGATACATGTAAATGAGCTCTGTACTGACTGGCTGCCTGTGTTGTGCCTCATAAAGCAATTTGGGCAAAAACACTCTTTAGAACCTCAGTGTGGATAGGTGGATATATATTGTTTCGCCATATCTCAAATGATTTTATATATATATATATATATAAAATATACATAACATATATATATATATATATATATTGTGTGTGTGTGTGTGTGTGTGTATATATATATATATATATATATATATATATATATACACACACACACACACACACACACACAAATGGTGTGACACCACAAATCAACTTATAAACTGCCTGTAGTTTAGTTTCCATGTGTGGACTGTATGGACTGGGGTGAATGGTATGTTGTGAAACATGAACGGTGTGTACATGCTACGTAAAACTCTTTTGTTTGAAAAATAGAAAGGCAAGGAAAATTCTGATATGAGTGCATTACCGATAAATTAATTTTATTTACCTGGGTATAATTTTAATGGTGTGGAGAAAATCATTTTTATAGCTGTACCTGGGTGATACTGCCTTCATGGATTAATAAAATATCCTGAAAATAATGTGATTTTCATGACATGTTATCCCCAGTATGTTGCTCTAAAGCAAGATTTCTCACTACCTCTTTGCCACAGCAAATTCAAACTAACTTCGTTGTGGTCATCCACTCTGGATCGCAGAGTCTCCGCATTGGCCGAGCTACAGATACTCTGCCAGTTACTGTTCCGCACGTCATCGCCCGAAGACACAAACTACCCTCTCAGTCTCGCTATGAAGACCCTCGACTCATAAGAGAAGGACTAAACGTAAGTTTAGTGTCATATCAGCTGCCTGCCTGTCCATGTTCCCACAGCTGTATGTCCCCTTAGCTTTTTCTATGAAACATCAAACCTTAGTGTGATAAATGAAGGAGATCTATAAAAGGTTTCCTAAGGTCATGGTTATAGTTTACAAAGAACAATAAGGAGCAAATGTCTTTAATTCACCAAAATAATTTAATTGAACTGTGGTGAAATTGTTGTGAGGTTACATGTCTATAGTTTTGCTCTTTTTATTTTGATGCATCCTTTTGTTTTTAGCTGTTTGCCTGTTTCCCAATATAACAGCCATATTTTATGTAATATACATTTTCCTAACTCTCCTCTAGAGACCAGAAAGCGGTGAGCAGCGGCAGAATGGCCTCAAAATGGTAGACCAGGCGATTTGGTCCAAGAAGATGTCCAATGGGGCCAGAAGAACTCCAGTCTCTGCTGAACAAGTACGATCTGTCCTCAGACACTTGTTTGCAGCTGTGCATTGTTGATGGTGATTGTGGCTACATGTGTTGACAGGCTCGAGTGTACAACAGGCAGATCAGACCAGCAGTTCTGGACCCAAACTCACGATTCAAATGGACAAATACCACTCATCAGCCAGAGTACTTGGTTGGAGACGAGGTGAGAAGGGGACATGGTTGGTTAACTACAACTCTTGTAGTTTCGTAGTATTGACCTTACATTTGGAATGTATTTAATACATGTTCAATGTATTCATTTGATTCTCTTGTCTCTGTATCCCTACCTCCATGTCCAGGCTTTACATGTGAACCCCACAGACTGCTACAGCATTCACTGGCCTATCTGCCGGGGTCAGCTGAATGCCCACAGTGGGCCCGGAGGCTCATTGAGTGCTGTGCTAGCGGACCTGGAGACTATCTGGTCTCATGCCATTCAGAAGCTTTTAGAGATTCCTCTGAAAGACCTGAAGGTATGTTCTGAGTGAGAAGTACTACTATTGGTTTTCAATATGAATGAGATGTGATTGGATGTGTGATTTGAATATGCTGCTCTGCTTGGCTTTCAGTATTATAGATGCATCCTTTTGGTCCCAGATATCTATAATAGACAGCATGTGAAAGAAGTGGTGAACATGCTCCTTGTCAAGATGGGTTTCTCAGGTAAGGAAAGCCATTTGTCACAGCTATAGACTCTAATGACCAGTTTCTTAAACATGGATTAAACCTAGTCTTAGACAGAATTGAAGTGTCAGTGTCAATGGTTCACCATTGGGTATTCTTTTAAGTCTAGGCCAGGTGTGGTGAACTGCAGTCCTGGAGGGCCGGGGTCCTGCACAGTTAGGTGATTTTCATGATCTTAACACTCCAACCAAACGTAGTAAATAACTGAAGAGTTAAACCAGGTGTGTTTCAGTAGGAAAATCACTAAACTGTGCGGCCCTCCAAGACCGCAGTTTTACCATCCCTGGTGATGATTAGGTTATCAGTTGAGTAGGAGGTACAGTGGGGACCAAAAACCTGGGATAAACCTGGAAATAAACAACAGAATTTCATATTTTATAAATTCTTTTCAAAATTTTATGCTGATAAAAGAATTTGTAATGAAAGCACTCATGACTCCAGTGACCCGGTTTCACAATTTGTTATTATAAATGTACATTTCTTTACACTGGCTATTGTGTGTTTGTGGTGTTAGCGATTGTGGTACACCAGGAGTCGGTGTGTGCTACGTTTGGTAGTGGGCTGAGTAGCGCGTGTGTGGTAGACGTGGGGGATCAGAAGACCAGCGTGTGCTGTGTGGAAGATGGCGTCTCCCACCGCAACTCCAGGTAAGTGATAGAAAGAAAAGCGCGCACTTTCTTCTAATTTGGGTAAAAAGAGATGGGAGGGTGAAAACAATACAGAACTTTTGAGGATAAAGATTTTATTTCTTACCTCATTGTCTGTAAAAGGCAACATAACAGTATCACAGAATATTAGTTCAAAAAATATGCTGGGCTTAAAAGATTGAAAATTCTTTAATAAAATAGGAAGAAACTGACCCACACAGCACCACACAGAACCCAACCTGACCCTTACCTAACCCATCATCAAGTTTTGAATCCAAAACTGACCCAAGTCCCAAAAAGTTATGTCCGAAACAACCTTGAACTGGCCCGACATCAACCAAAACTTGTCCGGATAGCACCGGTTAAATTATTGCATCTCAACAGTAGTAGCAGTCATTAGATCACTGACAAAATAACATAAACATAATGTTTAAAAATACGATAAAATAAAAAGCTGTTTAAAATGATGTGTAAATGCTGCTTAATTTAATTTATTTGTCAAACAGTGTTTTCAGACATCAAATATTTTAGTCTGGATAAACTTTCCGTTCTGCAACGTTCTCACACTGTTCAGTGCTTTTATAGCAAGATGATGGCCTTCACCTGTTTAATCATACAACTCTGTTTCTTTAGATAGAACACGTTGAGTGTGTTTAAATGCACTTAATAATCCGATAACTGCAGAAAATCAGATTTTGACAGTAATCCAATCAAAGCGTTTACGTGCATTTTAGTAATCAGATAATAGGGAAACTCCACGTCTATATGAGTCATGCAGTAATCAGATTTTTTCTTTGCAACCTGCCAATATACTCAGAATAAGACTTGATGTAAACATAATATAAAACTCAAACTTCCTGCCGCAGCTTTTTTAAAAACCATCACGCCACTTAACCTGAAAATATGAACATGCATCATCTAGAAAATAAAGAATGTATAAATCCTTCGTTTTGTCAAGCATGTAGTTGGTTATTGCCATCTCATGGGTGCTGTGTTAAACGCTGCTTGCCTCTTTCCGGTACCGCCATCTGTTTCACACATTCGCAGACTGAGAAATCCGAAAGAAATCAGAGTAAAAGTTTACATGTGCTGAGAATTCTGATTACTCAGCTGAAGTCCAGTTCTCTTTATCAGGTTTCTTAATCAGATTTTTCAACCTTACTCTGATCTCAGAAATCAGAGTATGCTGTTTACATGACAATTTATATAATCGGGTAACTGCAGAAGTCCGATTGTGTTAGGATTATTAAAAGCAATTTGCTTAAAGGATTATTAAACGCACTCACTTTTTTATGTGATATATTGAACACTGAAAATAAAACTACTTCATGAGCAAGTCATAAACATCTTTTTTGCTGCCCTAATCTGTACCTTTTGAATTGATTCGCTATTTATTTACCTGAACATGAAATTTGAAATCGACCCTCGGCCAACACATATATAATGATGTCCGAACCTAACATGAACAGTCTCAGCAGGTTGGACAAGTTTTCAAGCTTTAAACCACATTGGAGCATAGGAGATAGATCAGATACACCATATACCAGTTTAAAAAATGTATATAGTAACAGATTTAAAATTTTGTAAATTCTTTAAAGGTTTAAAATTGGTATGTTGTGACTTGTTCCTCCCATTCAAATAACAACATATAGAACAACATTTTTTCATGGTACCAAAGGGGGGCAATATGGTAAAGACATTTTCATGATGCACAGTGTCACAGCCCGGTATCAATCGTAATTATCATCCAATACCTGTTTTGGAATTTAACAAATCTATGTAATGGTTGGGGGTGTCCAGGAAACATCTGGAACCAAACTTTGTTCTTTAAACTAGCTAACAAGACATCAACTACTTTCATGTTTATTTTCATCTGTTGCGATGATATGTGCTACAAAAATGCTGAGTTCAGTGTTTTTAAAAAATATACTTAGGTGTCTGAGACTTTTGCACAGCACTGTATATCCATAAAATTAAACAAAACAGCAAGTAGAAGCTGCTCAGCATAAAAGATTTCTCTGTAAACATAAATGTAGAGAGATTTATTCCCTTGTACAGAGCTAATGGAACCTCAGTGACTTAATTCATTTAACATATTTTATGACATTTCAGTTATTTGCTTAAATTTAATTTAATAGCTGGATGGAAACCTGGCTTATGTGACTCAACACATTGGTTGTATTGACCATGAGAGAAGAACCCAAGAACTGCGTGTATGAGACTTGTGCAGTCGAATGCAAAAGGTATAAGATTCCTGGTCAAATAACACATGAATGTGTTTTACTGTCTTCAGGTTGTGTCTTGCATATGGAGGCTCTGATGTGACACGCTGTTTTTTTTGGCTGATGCAACGAGCTGGCTTCCCTTACAGAGAGTGCCAGCTGACTAATCGGCTGGATTGCATGTTACTGCAACAGCTTAAAGAGACCTTTTGTCATCTTGACCAGGTACAGCAACATCGACATGCCATATCCTGTTTCAGTATCTGCCGCATATACCTTTAGGGGCTTCTTAAAGTTGTTTTTCTTTTCAGGACATCTGTGGAATGCAAGACCATGAGTTTCGCACCCGTTTCCCAGAATCCCCAGTGCTTCTGTATCAGTTACGGTTAGGTGATGAGAAGTTACAGGTATGCACTTCCTCAGTTATTTAAGCTCCATAAATCATTTACAATGTAATTGTATATGGATAACTGGTCAATAAAGTAACCTGTTTGGGAGCCGCAAACCAAGAAGCTTCATGCACTCCAGGCTGATAAGTGTCGAAGCCAAGCTTGGTGACTCATATCATAACTGGGAAAAGAGTTAACAAAATGGAACGTAATGGAAATTACGTTTGTGCTGACATTTTTTCCGGACATGAAACACAAGTGAGTGCAAGGTGTAAGTGGGCTCATTGTCACACTCTAATGCTGAAGGGTGAATTTTTTGTGGAATTTTTTTTTTATTTCAGCTAAGGATTGGCGACATGAGCTCAAATGATATGTTATCACAATATCATGATAATTAAAATATTGAGCAAAATAATAATAAAACAAGGTTCCAGCCGAACTTTTTCAGAACCCTCCCAGAACTGTCCCGAAAAATATTGTCAGCCATCAGCCAAAGTGAAAACTGACCATCTAAAATATAAAACTGCTTTGTTTATATTACTTTTTCCTTAGTATATTTGTGGTAACATATGATGGATTCCTAAAAATGATAAATGTCAAATAGCAATACACTGAATACATGCTCAGCACACATGCACATATAAAGACACACAATGTACAAAAACATTCCTATGGTCCATAAATACATTTATGATTGTACATGAGAGTATGTGTATCAAACGCTCTGTATCAAAATATGTTAGCTTGATGCTAATGCTTTGATGTATAGTTAAGTTTTACAGACAAGTGTTTAGTTTTTGCATCTCCGTTAATTGTCCAAAAACAGTTTAAACATTGCCCCCAGGATGACGAGACAGCAAGAGTCTGGAGTCTTGATAAAATTAATAACAGTTATTATAATTATAACAGTCGTAGTAACAGCAATAATAGTAGCAATGGCAATAATTATTATTAATTTATATATATATATAAAATATACATAATAATGTAAAACCATTTTTTGTCGTTCTCTCCCGCAACCACTCCTCCTGTTTTTTTTCCAAGGTTGTAAATGTTTTCAGATGTAAAATGCGCTTTTGTTTAGTTCATAAGAATTCATTTAAAGTTCATGTTTCATTTATCTTGGAGATGGGACCATGTGTGGTTTGCCGTTTTTGGGCTTATCTGTAGCCTGCCGTGTGCAACTCCCAGTACAGGAAGGACGCTGGAGGCAGGGTTGAGGGTTGCAGCAGCCTGTCTTTTTATTTTCACTCACAAACACAAACATAATCGTACCAAAAGCTTATCTGTATCGCTACATTATTTAGACATTTAAAACACATCATTGCAATGATTTATCATTTATTCATGTTGGTACGATTTAGAAATCGATAGTTGTGCCATACGCTTGCATGTTTTCAAATGGATTGTATGGTGAGTGACCAGCTTTAGAGCAGTGGAGATTGTGAAATGTTTTCCCACAATATTTCTGTTGGTAGCGTGCAAGTTGTAATGCTAATTTTTTATCTAGTGATCTTCAGTTCATCTCCTGATCTGTAATGAGTGAAAAATGCTACCGAGCAAATTAGTATTTCATTAAACTCCACTCTACCATTCTCTACGACAGCTCCAAGTTGATTCATATTATCCAGCCTCTTCAAAGACTGCACCAACATTTCCATTGAACTCCCACTTACAGCATTCTCTCTCACCCAAACAGTGTTTCTCGTGAATCTGAAATGAAAGAAAATGTAAAACAGGAACATTCTGTTGTGTGGCAACATATTCTTTTTCTGTTGTCTTTAGTCTTGTCCTGGAGTGTGTGTGTGTGTGTGTGTGTGTGTGTGTGTGTGTGTGTGCGCGTGTGTGTGTGTGTGTGAGAGTGAGGGAGACTTTCTTTGATTGTTTGACCTTCTGCTTAGGCTCCCATGGCTCTGTTCTACCCTGCTGCGTTTGGAATTGTGGGGCAGAAGATGACCACTCTGCAGCATCGCTCCCAAGGAGACCCTGAGGATCCACATGATGAACACTACCTACTGAGCACTCAGAGCAAACAAGACCAGGTTGTACAATTTAACTTACTGTCGTGCCCATATTCAGTCATATCTTCCAACTGAGTAACTGACAGTATAAGACAGAAATGCAGCTCACTTCATGTGTATAATTACAACATTCATACATAATGTGATGTCATTTAACTTACGTAATCAAAGAGATTAATCGCTGTCTCTCATTTTGTCCATCTGATTTTGTCCAGAGGCATTTTGGAGTAGAATTGCACCTGTTTGGTTTATGTGGTGCCCCAACAAAAGTGTCATAGTTCAATTTTATTCTCATCATCACAGTTACAAGGATCACCAAATATTCTGCTATTATATTGTATTCATAGCTTCCATGTTCGTATGTAAACAAACTGATGGTTTACCAAAGTTGTAGGGTGATTTTTAGTCTGTTCTCACACATTTCACTATAGCAGTACATGCAAACTTGTCACAGAATTCGCCGCTTGCCATGCTTTATGTTGAATATTTTTTTAATTTTTAAAGGGGTGAGGTGGGGGGGTGTCTGCTGCCAGCAGAGAATTCTGAGAGAGAATCTGCTTAACACAGCATAGCACCATGCTTATTACTCAGCTAACCCACATATTTAGTATTTAATTTTTTAGGCTGATCAGAACTAAGACAACATTAACAAAACCTAAAAAGAGGATTTCATGAGTGGTGAAGTTGGTTTCATTTTCATATATTCAGATTTCTGTCTCTGATAGCTTTCAAAGAGCATGTGAAAAAAGGCTGTTAATTATCTTTGTTAGCAGCCAAGACAGTCACTTTCCATTTACCTTTCGTTTGAAATTGCTAACTAAGGACACGTTGATTTCTGTGGAATTCTGTGGATTGTACACGATCTTACTGCTATAAGATCGTGTACAAATTACATCACAAGTGCCAATCATCGGGTCCAAGCACAGTGCGCCTTATGGAGACCGTAGAACACAAATAATGGGTAAGGTTTTTAGAATGGCCTCTAACCATTCATGTAAAATGAATTTCCTGTTAAATCACTAAATGTTTCTCACAATACAGCCACACTCCAGCTACATGGGAACTTGCTTCTGAGCTTCACCTTTTTCGTCACCTTTTTTTCACTGCTAATGAGTTTTCATGTCTGATGGCAAAGGACTCCAGCCCTCAGTTCCCCATATCTGCTTTAGACAGCTGCAGTAGTCTTTCTATGTTTCCTTCTTTGAGACACAGGCTCTACACTATTCATAGGTGGAGTACATTCTCATGGTTCTATAATGTGAGAACATACATTAGAGAGAAACTTTCATGGCTGATCAAAAATTCTGTCTCATCTTTTGGCATGGATCTGGAAAACACTTGTCACACAGATACTTTAAAAAGCAAAACCTAAGGAGGCATGATATATAGATTCATTTCGGTAGTCATTTAATCTAATAGTTAGTTTAAAAAGTTAATCAGTTATAGAAATAATCATTATTTGCAGCACTATAGAGAATAGGACCAGGTATCATGAAGTCATTATCTGCTTCTTGAAGCATTTAGATAAGATCTAGTACACTGAGCTTTATTGGCATACTCAGTATGTTGCTACAGCAAAAAGGAAGAAGACGAAATAATCTTTCTTTTTCTTTTTCTAAACTCCCCCTTCAGACATCCAAAGCCATGGAAAGAAAGGGTCTCCCTAAGCTCCCTGGCTTTGAGGGTGAATCCAGTAGTCAGGGAGGTGACCAGGCGGAAAGAGGAAGCCATGGACAAGAAGAGCTTGGACATTCCCAGGCTGATTGTCTTGTTGGGGGGACAGATCCAGAAGAGACCCCGTCCGTCCTCTTGTCCAGAAAGTCAGCAATGACCCAGTTTGAGGGCAAAGCACTTGGGCTGGATAAGGCTATTCTACACAGCATCGACTGTTGTGGTAAAAACAACATCCTATATTTAGAAATGATTTATGGTTATTGTCAGAGATGTCTTGATGCAGTCTGAAGGATAAATGTAAATAAATCAGAACAGTAAGGGGAAAATCAAAACGACTCCGTTTTAGTAGCACTTTAGTAACACTTGAGTAACCACGTATTCAAAGTCAAGCAATAGAATAAGTATCGCTATTGGTCTTTTATATTTAATGTCTTAGCAAGAGTATCCCTGTCACTTTACATGAAGGATTGCAAATTAAATTAAGGGGGGGGGATCTCTACTCTCCTCTCAAAGGTGCAAACTCATGATTATGAGCAGCCTGTATACATTTACTGTGAATTACAGTAGGTACAAGTTAGGCCTAAAGCACAGCCTGCTCATTTAAGGACCTTTGTTAACATAGGAATTACCTTATTACTTTAAATTTTAAGGTGCCGAAAGGGTTCTGAAAACCCAATCTTGGATCCTTAAATAACTAGAGATGTGCAAGAATGAATGACTTAACAGACCAAATGTTAATTGATAATGTACGTATATTTTCCTCTTTACTTCAGGGGACACAAAAACAAGCAGAAAGAAATTAAGATATTAGTAACTAGTCAAGTCTTAATCAAGAGTTTGTAACATAATTAGTAGCGTGAATAACCCCTTTACTGGGAGGGACACAAATTAGCAATCAATTAATTACATTAAATCAGTAGATTAATTAACAGATAAGTAACAGGATTAACACAAGTACTTATTAGTTCTCGTGTTACTTATTTATATTAGTAAACACACTCAGTTCATTAGCAGTGCAGTAAGTTAGTACAAAGTTAATGAGTAAATAAGCAGTGAACTAGAGACAAATTAAAGTGTACTCAGTTACTAACTACTAAGTAACTAATGCTTAAGGAGCAGTTAGTATATAATTAATGAGTATTTAATTAGTTATTGGCATATAATTATCAATTAATTTGCGACCCAGAGAAAGAAAATAAATTCAATCAGAAGGGCAAGATTCTGCATGCTGATTAAAGGGGCATATCTCATGGCAGCTGCAGATAAATAGCATTACTGTATGTTCACAATATGCAGAGTTTCATCAGCTTTTCTTGTTCTACAATTAACCATTTGGGTTTGTGGAAAATACAACCCACTAGAAACATGCTCATCCTGCGGTGATCATGTTGTATGGTGTTTTATCATCGTGGAGACATTAAAAATTTAGTACAGTGCAAATAGGGCTTAGTGTTTTATTATGCCCATAGTAAAAACAGTTTATTTTACTGTAGCATTTCAAAGTAATTGGATGCCTACCTGCCTATCTTACCTAAATTAAATTAGATTCTAGTAATAGTTAATCTGAAATGTGCACTGTGCTCCTGCAGTATCTACAAAGATCAAAATATCATATTGGACCTTGGTATCAGCAGATTGTCAATATTGAAAAATACTGAATCGGGGCCAAAGAAACCTCAAATCCTTAGGATCACTTGCATAGCTTAGCTATTTGTCTGTCTGTCAGGCAGTAACGAAACACAAGATTGAATAGTGTTATTATTCACAAACTAAAAATGTTTGTTAACTCTACAAACCCTGCTCATTTTGGTCTTGTGGATGTCTCTGACAGCATCGGATGAGACTAAGCGGAAGATGTACAGCTCTATCCTGGTAGTGGGCGGTGGGCTCCTGTTTCACGGGGCACAGGAATTCCTTCAGCATCGCATTCTCAACAAGATGCCTCCATCTTTTCGTCGTCTGGTAGAGAACGTGGAGGTCATCACACGACCAAAGGTATCTGTATGGGTTGTACCTTTTAAGAGATAGTGAGTCTGATTCACTGTTTGCATACTAATGATCTGACTTGGTGTGCAGACAAACATCTCACACAAAATTACTGCCGAATTTATAAAACGTGCGTATGCGCATACATTTGCATAGTGTTTCTCCAGAATATTCTGAATGGCTGGTTCTTGATTCCTCTTATTTTATCCATCCATCTCGTTGTTGGTCATTCTCTTCCTCTTTTACCTTTTAACTCTTCCAAGCATAATGGTCTTTTCCAGTGAATTTTTTTCTCTCAGAATGTGTCCAAAGTAAGATTCAGTTTGGTTATGTGAGTTTTGTGTGAGGGGTGAGGCTTAATTTGTTCAGTGATAAATTTATTTGTTTTCTTTGCTGTTTAAGATACTCTCAAAAGTCTTCACCAACGCCAAAGTTCAAAGGCATATACATTTTTCATGTTTTGCTTATTTATTGTCCAGTTTTCACATCCATAAAAACACAGAGAAGACTATAGCCTTGAATATTCTGATCTTTGTTTGAAGAAACAAATCGTTGCATTTAAAGAGATTTTTTTCAAGCTCCTTCGTCCTTGTTCTGCCGAGCGCCAGTCTGTCATATTTCTTGAGTGCTTGATCCTGTTTTTAATAATTGAACTGAGTAAGCAAAAGCTGTCCGCCATTTCCACACCTTTATCAATGATAGTTAACTGTCTTTCCTGTTGTCATAACATGTTACAACAACACATTTAGTAAGAAGCTGAAATTATTGCTATTGTTTTTTTGTTTTTCATTTGTTGTATGAAAAACGTTGCATTTCAATGCAACGTTTCAATGTTGCATTGAAAGTAAACTACACTATTGGTAAGTATGCTAGATTGCATAGTGTAAAAATAAGGTAGATGAAACATATCTTCATGAATTTTCTGTGAAATGTATTATTTTTAGTTCACAGGCAACCATCAAACAAGAAACAGGGAGGACTTACCATTCATTTGTAGTTAAATTTCTATGATCTCAATGCTGAAAATTCCACATAATACAAAAAACTAACAACATTGTTTACATGTTGTTAGCACTCATGAAATAAGTTCCCTCACCTCTGAAATCTCAGTTTAATCTTGGTTTTATTTCTAAATGTATACAACATGCATTAGATAGTAAAGGTGAACTACAAGCCGATCAAGTCAAGTCAAGTCAAGTCGAAGTTTATTTATATAGCGCTTTTTACAACAGGTGTTGTCACAAAGCAGCTTTACACAAAAATCCGGGTCCACGTCCCCATGAGCATCACCAATGGAGACAGTGGCAAGGAAAAACTCCCTAAGAGCAAGAGGAAGAAACCTTGAGAGGAACCAAGACTCAAAAGGGGAACCCATCCTCCTCTGGTCGACACCGGAGAGCAAACAGCGTTAGTATAAATTATTAGAATACAAAACGGGAAAACAGGTGGAGCAATGGTTAATTAAACCGTTTGAGTTTATGCAGCAGCAGCAGCAGGAGGGTCAGTTCATGCAGGTGAGGTGCAGGTAAGCCAACAGAGATGGAGCTCTGGTGACTCTAGCAGCTCTGGTGGCTCACATGTGGCGACTCAGGCAGACGTCGCTCAGGGCTCAAATAAAGGGAGGGAGAACGAGAGAGAGAATTTGATTAACAGGACAGGTCCATTTATGGAGAGATATTAGTGAGTTAATAGTGCAGCAACTGATATTAGCAAAATGCTTGTGCAAACAGATAAATTTTGAGTCTAGTAGTTTTGAATGTAGAGTGTGTGTCTGAGACCGGGCAGAGGTCGGGAGATAATTCCATAATTTAGGGGCTACGTAGGAAAATGCTCAACCAGCTGCTGTGGTTTTTCTAATTCTAGGAACTGTCAGTAGGTCGTTGTTCTGTGAGCGGAGCGTACGTGTGGGTACGTATGGCTGAATTAATTCACTAAGATACTGCGGTGCCAGGCCATTTAACAATTTATATGTTAAGAGAACTTTACACGAAATTTAACAGGTAGACAGTGTAATGACGACAGGATTGGGGATATATGGTCAAATTTTTTTGGTCCTTGTAAGGACTCTAGCAGCTGCACTCTGGACCAGTTGGAGCTTATTTAGTAACGTATTGGAGCATCCAGCTAAAATGGTGTTACAGTAGTCCAGCCTGGAGGTTATAAATGCATGTACAAGTTTTTCTGTATCGTTTATGCCTAGAATATTACGTAGTTTAGCGATGTTACGCAAGTGAAAGAATGCAGTTCAAACATAGTTGCAAACGTGTATCAAAAGAGAGACTGGAATCGAAGAGGACGCCTAGATTTTTTACAGTAGTGCTTGGAATGACCGTATGGCCATCTAAATTTAGTTCAAAATTGGAGAGTTGAGATCTCTCTGCTTTGGGTCCAAGTAGTAGGACCTCAGTTTTGTTAGGATTAAGAAGAAGGAAATTGTTGGTCATCCAGCTTTTGATATTTTTAACACATTCTCAAGATTATTTAGATCTAGAGCCTCATTCGGTTTAGCAGATATGTAAAGTTGCTAGTCATCCACATAGCAGTGAAAACTAACGCACAATCTGCGAATTAGGTTACCAAGAGGTTGCATGTACAGAGAGAAAAGCAGCGGCCCGAGCACAGATCCTTGGGGGACACCATATTGTATTAGCATGTGATCAGAATGTTTATTGTTAACACTGACAAATTGATGACGGTCTGTCAGATAAGACTGGAACCATGACAAAGCCTGTCCTTCAATACCAACCAGATTTTCCAGCCTATCAAGGAGGGTCTTGTGGTCGATAGTATCAAATGCTGCACTGAGACCTAGAAGGACTAGTATGCAAATATGGCCGCTACCGAGAGACACAAAGAGATCTTCCACTGCTCTAGTTAATGCTGTTTCAGTACCGTGAAAGGGTCTAAAGCCAGACTGAAACATCTCATGGAGAGAGTTTTCTTGTAGATAGGAGCACAGTTGATTCGAGACCAGTTTTTCTAAGATCTTAGCAATGAAAGGGAGATCGGAAATTGGTCTATAGTTGGCGAGTTCATTGGGATCAAGATCTTGCAGATTCAAGCAGAGAAGTTGCCCAGTCTGTCACAGATGTAGGTGACAAACAGACCAATATAGTTTTTTCAAGTGAAAAAATAAAAAGACTACTTTCTTATGTTACTCTTTTGACTTTTTTATTACCTCATACAAAGGCAGTGTTTTTTTGCATGGTTGTTTAGTTGTTCTGAGTTAATTCTGCATTTGTGTGCATGGGACAGACCAATTAAAGTAAGTAGCTATTTATAAATCCAAGCTCTTGCAGGTGAAAGTACAAATTATTGCTTATGCACTCTTGATGAATGAGACATAATACTAGTATTTATGTGTAACAGTTGTTTTTAAAAGTGCTTTTAAAGCTGTCAGTGGCCACTTTAAAAGACTCGCAATGGTTGGGTTCTGTACACTCAAAATTTATCAGACACCTGTTACAGTCTATTTTATAAATGCACATGATCTATTTCATAAGGCACTGTCACAAACCTATACATTAGGGATGTGCATTCTGACTGTCCAACCTAATTTGATCAGTATAAATTTCATTACTGTACTATTCCCTCCCACAGCTATGTCTGGCAAAACTAAAATAGAGATATAATGAAATATAATATTGAATGTCAGCATAACATTGTTATTGGCTGTATGCAGCTTTATTCATAATATTAATGGTAAAAAACTCCATACATGTGGTAGCTCAACGTGCTTTACAATGATATAGCAAGATTTAAAAGTAAAAGCAAAAACACACTAGATAAAATAACAATAAAATTAAGTAAAATAACAGACAATAAAGTAAAAAGGAAAAATAACCTTGGTGTTTTTAAAGTCTGTATAAAGCAGGCATGTCAAACTAGGGACCTTCCGGGCCAGAGTGCTGCAGAGATCAGCATTTACCCTCATCTAACACTGAATTCAGTTCATAAAGGCCTTGCTAATTAGCTGAGCTGAATCAGGTGTGTTTAATAAGGCAGCATGCTGAAGTCTGCAGTGATTTGGCCCACAAGGACTGGAGACTGACACACGTGGTGTAAATTCAGAAGTTTGTTTCCAAACATGTTAGAAAATGATTGCTGAAAACGTGAAAAGACTGTCAACTATGTAGTACTGAATTGTGGAGTTCAACTGTTTTTCATTATATTTGCATTCAGGATTTTTGGGCAGCCATGAAATAATGGCTCGACACACACTTAGCATGACCCCTGGCCCAACATTATAACGGTACAAAAACTACAGCGCATTAGCAGCAGTGGTTCTCCCCGCCTAACTTTATTTGGTTAGGTTATACTAGTCAGTAATACCTGTTGCCTGCATAAATGGGAGGAAAAAATAATAGTTCTGCTGCAGACATAGAGAGGAACGAGGTTGATTCTTGGGTAGGTTAGTGTCCTCTGGCTCTGAATTGGATTCTGGCTCTGGTGTCTCAAACATGGATGGCTGTACATGTATTTTACAGAAGATATTTGCAGAAGGCCACTGACTACAGATCTAAGATCACATGCTGAAACAAACAGACAGACATTCTTTGAGGTACACAGGTCCTAGGTAATTTACAGCTTTGAAAAGTAGTAAAACAACTTGTAAATCAATCCTAAAAGATAGAGGCTGCCAGTGCTTTCAAAACAGAGGGATGATATGAGCTCTCTTTCTTGTTTTCGTTAGGATTCATGCTGCTGCATTTTGTTTAGAGTTGTAGTGGATGTATTATTTTCTTGGGAAGTCCAGTAAAAAGAGCATTTCAGTAATCAACTCTGCTTGTAACAAATGGAAGTTTTTCTGCATCTCTCTGGGATATAAAAGGTTGAACTTTTAGCAATATTTCTTAAACAATAAAATGCAGCCTCAACCTCCTAACACACAAACATAGTAAAGAGGTGCGTAACTTAGGCTGTTCAGTTATTCAAACCAAATCAACATTGAACTGTTGGCCTGTAGGTTAACAGCAAAAAGAGCCAAGGATGTATAGCTTGCACAGTAGGACAATGTTCCTTCCTTACTAGACTTTTCTTTTTCGCCACCATATGTAATCCATCATCATCACAGAACACTGATTTCAGTATGTATGCAGAGTCAACACAAATTAGAAAATATAATGTCAATGGATTATGGTACAATTATGTTCCCTGACTAAAAGTACTGAGATGTACCCTTGAGGGTACCACCCCAGTGACAGTTTTGTACCTTTATTTCTGAGAGTGCAGGGACCATCCTTAGTATGTTGTCACCATCAGAAGAAAACCTTGTATCTCCGAAACAATAATTTCACATGAGAGAAGGAAAATAATATTGTAACAAGACTTAATTCCAAGTGATTTTGGACCAGCTCTATTGGTTTGTTAAAAAGTCCACATCAATGTTAAGGACAGCTGTTGTTTTGAAAGGTACAAAGTTTTTAACTCAGTGACAGTGTATGACAGTACGACAGCAGTATGGCACAAAATGCATACGCTTTGTTAAATGGTGTAGCACAGCACAAACAACTTTGACATCTCTTGTAGGACATGGACCCCCGACTAACAGCGTGGAAAGGTGGAGCAGTGTTGGCATGTTTGGACACCACTCAGGAGCTGTGGATCCACCAGAGAGAGTGGAACCGCTTTGGTGCACGCATGCTCCGAGAAAGAGCAGCCTTCGTCTGGTGAGATGAAGAGTGTGTGTGCGTGTGTGTGTAACACGTTATTATTTCATCATGAGTGATTAATTGCCTGTATAGCTTCTGTGTATATATTATTTCATTATGTAATATCGAGGTTTGTACATGTGGTCCCCATACCATGTTTTTTTAAGAAAAAAAAAAGAAGAATTAAAAGACATTTCAAAGAAATAAAAAGACAAAAGGAAGTGCTGTGACTTTTAAATCAGCACACGGATGCAAAGGCAGACGACTCTGTGGTATCCTGTTTTCGTGTGTTGAAGGAAGTGGTCGTTAGGGGAATATCCTTAATTTCAAACTTGAATATCGTATTTTACCCTAGAGACCATGATATTACCAAGGAATCTGAACACTGGGCTGTTATTAGTTGGCTACTTAGCTGGAGAAATACCACACTTTAAAACTTTTTAAAATGTTCAAACATGATCTCTCGTTATTAAAGCGAACAAATGAAAAATGCCTTGTACCAGTCCTTACCACTCCTTTTTTTTGTGCTAAATATTGCGAGTGAGTCAAAATAGCCTTCGAGCCTACAGTACGAATTTTTCCTGTATTTGTCATTAACAGGTGATGGTTAAATTTGAATGTAGCCTACACTGTGTGTGTTTGTGAAGTGTGTACGCCTGTTTCATCATCTAATATGTTTGAACTAACATAAAAATGCCTTTGGTGTCACAAAAAAATAGCTCATAGTATATAGTAAATATTTTTCATTGGAAATGTTGGGTACTGATTGCGTATTTCATCAGTTGAGAACTCTGCCAAAGAGCACTGCAAGATAAAACACTAAAACAGATGTCTAAACATAAAGTAAATCATGACATTTTCCAGTCATTTCAAAAGCTTTTGAAATGTTTTGTCATATAATCTTAAATTCGCATATATAGCAGTGTTAAGTCTTTTTATCCAAATAAAATAGTCCTTTGCCTTTTTTAACTTTCATTAGTGCTTTAAACATGTTTTAAATCTTATGTTGGTGACAAACTAACGCTGTTGTGCCTTGGCTTACGTAATGACAATTAAACAATATATTGTGCAGACCAATTATGTTGGCTTATCCAGCCAGGGAAAAAAGTGGCAGTGGGTAAACAAATTTAAACAGATGTTAATATAACTGGCCTTTACATCATCACAGTCTGAGATCATATATGTGAACATAGACCTGAAAAAAAGCTGACAGTAACTTCAAGGTTTGCACTCCACCTCAGTGAGACGAACAATCTCCTCCTTTGAGCAGCTTGGACGGCTCCTGTCCAGTTGCAGCAAAGCTTGCCTGACCTTTCTGGAGGTTTCCCTCCAATGGAAAGACCACATCCTGCATCTCAGACTTGAGCACCTCTCTCCTGGTCTGGAAGCCAGTTTCTGGGGGAGTTTCTCTAGGTCTTTGGGCAGATTGAGGGTTTTGCAGCCTCGGAGCTCCACTGGCACCGTGCTCCGCTCCCCACCCTGGCCCAGGCGCACCACCCAGAACTTGTGATGGTGCCGGGGGTCATGGGCACTGCTGGCCACCAGGTTCAGGGCCAAGGAGAAAAGTTCATGGGCTGAGGCTGGGACTGTGTAATCAGGTATGCCAGGCACCACAACTCGTTTTGGACAGTCTGTGGAGAAACATGGATTTCTATTAGTTACTTGTGTTACACAATATGGACATAACATAATATTGTAATTACACTGTTACACATTGAGATATGAATATGTCTTACACTGTTACACATTGAGATATGTCTTCCAGCATATTAACACCGCTGTGGTGAACAATTAATCACATGATCAAGTTTTGGACTGCATTATTGATATATAATAATAGGCATTATTGTAAATGCCTTGATATGTCAAAACACCCCTGGAACATTCAGAAACATCTGAGACAGACCAGGTTGTTCACAGAACCCAAAAGAAAAAATGTGATTTGTTGAAGTGCTTGATAATTGCACAGTATAATAATGAATAATAAACAGTGTAATGAATGTAATGAAAGAGCTACTTTAGTTGCATGAAACCTAGGTAAAATTTAATTGCACTTGAAGTGTCCTGCAACTCTATATAAAATTATATGGTCTATCGAAAATATGAGCTGCTAATTTGGCTAACAAGTAGAGTAACTGTGTTGCATGCGGCTTTGTTTTCATGTCACTGTCAAGTTGCATGAAAATTGTTGCAGGCAGCTCACAATATGTAACTAGTGAAACTAGCATAAAAGTTTCACTGTGTAAAGCCAGCCTTTCATCCAGCATGGAATGAGTTCTGTTTAGAGATGTAATAACACAATAAATCATATAATATCATATAATAATTAAAATCTCCCAGATAAAAAGACAATTTCTATCATCAAAGAGAGCACACAGCAAGTGTGCACAAGAGTTTTGAAATCTATTACATCATACCTTAGATTTTAAAACTCTTTTTAGTGTAGTATTAATCTCTAGTGCGTGAGCTAAGCTTCCATAAGATCAAAGTGTTAATGCAGGACAAGTGTAAATAAAATGCAGTGATTGGCTTGTTTTAATATTACTTAAATGGCTGGAGCACACTCTGCAAGGATGCATGGTGTGGACTGTTTAAAACAAAATGATACGCTATTATTTAAAGGTCTGGAATCAGTGGTCATATTATTAATTTGTTATTTATATACACTAACAATACTAATGCAGTTTAACTTCAAATTATAGTTGTTTTGATAAACAATGATGTTTTGTTAATTTGCTAAGTAAAAATAAGTTGACACATCCTCTATAGAGAACACACTTCTGCACATTTTTAATGCACAATTACTGTTTATTTGCTGAATTTGACATACTGGAAAAATAAAAAAATAAAACATAAAATAAGGCCTGTGCAAAGGTTATGGCATATTTTAGATTTTATGTTGTATTTTTTCCAGTATATTAAACTCATAAATAAAAAACTGTGCACTAAAATTTGCAGAACATATCATATTTAAGTGTGTTCTCTATAGAGGATGTGTACTTCATTTCACAAACAACACAACAACAAAACATGTCATTTGACCAGGTGCATTCAAACTTTTGCAAACAAAATAGACACCAAAATGTATTTTTAGATGTTTTAATATTTAAGAATTATTTGGGGAAGAACAAAATGCTATTAAATCATAAATGTAGTATAATTTTGTGCTTGAAAATTAAAGTTTATTTCATTCCTGATGCTACAAGGCATATCAATCATTTTAGAATAATCTAAAAATCTTTTTACTGTTTACCATTTTTTCTTTGTCGAAAATATTCAGTTTTAGCATTTTAAAATATATTTCTATATTTATCTGCAAACTGGGTTTATTTCCAAACTTTAAAACAGTAGTGAAACATTACCTGTGTTAGCACTGATGCCGGTGTTGGTAGGTTGAGGTGGTAGGATGATGAGGACTTTATCAGCCTGATCAACCTGTGAGTTAAGCCAGCGGAGCGGACCTTGCTCTGCCAGACAGCCCCTTTGCCACATGTCGATGACTACGTTCAAACCTTTATGGCTCTGCAGGAAGTCAGCAAGGGCTATTACAGCGTGCTGGAACACACTGTCCACTGCCGGGTACACCACCAACACCCCGACTGATCCAGTGGAGACGGAGTTTAGCCCACACTTAGAAAATCTGGACTCTTTCCACAGTCTACAGAGCTGGCCTGGAAGACAGTTAGAAAGGACATGAAGGACCAAGCTGAGAGAGAGAGGGAGCATCTGAATTAAGGTTGGGAAACAGTAAGGCAGCTTTTTGTTATAGATTCTGAGAACATTCTAACTGTAAAATTCTAACACCCCAGGTCAAATTACATGTTTTGTTGATTTTCTAAGTAACTAAGTCAACACATCCTCTAAAGCAGGGATGCCCAATCCTGGTCCTGCAGATCTACCATCCTGAAGACTTCAGATCCAACACACCTGGCTCTAATAATCAGAGGACCCTGAAGGTCTTCATTACCTGGATTAGGTGTGATAGATTAGGGTTGGAGCTAAACAGGGTGGTAGATCTTCAGGACTAGGATTGAGCACCCCTGATCTACAGGGAATAAACATTAATATGACATTTTTTAAATTGTCTTCTAATTTTAGTGCAATTTTCTAGTTATAAGCTGGCTTTAACATATTACTACAATGTGTCTATGCCTAGACTCTTAAAAGGGCCTATTTTAGCTAAGATCTCTTTGAGGAGCTATTTTAAGATAAGAACTCTTAGAGGAGCTATTGCCAAATGCTGTAATTTTTGGACTTAAAAGATTAGATTTTTACTTGATCAAGTAAACTACATAAACTGTGCATTTGCCATCACCTCAGGAAAATAATTTAGCATATCTATGTATTTCTTAACTTACAGCAGCAGATAAGAATCAAAACAACAGCTCCTGCTACTGCACACCCAACACTGATCAGCAGAGCAGTATTGTCTTGTGTCCATGATTTAGTTGCTGGTCTAGGATCTGGTTCAGGATCTGGTTCAGGTTCTGGTTCAGGTTCAGGTTCAGGTTCTGGTTGTTGTGTTGTTTTTTGTTCCTTTTCTGGAAAACAGAGAAAAAACTATTTACACACATAAATATGTTCAGATAACAGTTCAAATAAATTCAAAAGTGCTCACACAGTGCATAACACACACAGATATATGATTACAGAAACTTGTTTATTTCCAGGTGCTGAAATAAATGTCTAGTAGCAGCGTCTAAATTGAGGAAAACATTGTGCAGAGTAAGATAGGGTACTTACTTGTGCAGTTTATGTCACGCCTGATCCATTTACAGAGAGTTCCACAATTTTTAAAACGTGGTTTTATCTGTAATTAGTTTAGACTTATTAGTGTTTTTGGTCAGTGATACATATAAACAAACTGCTTGCTTTGTTTGCATATACAGTACTGTGCAAAAGTCTCGGCAGTAAGTGTGATTGTGCCTGTAAAAAATTTAACATTTTGCCTGTAATAACATTTTAATATATACAAATAAACATACATACAGTTAAACATAAGATTTTCTTAATTTTCTAAAAGAAGCTTTTGATCCTGGCTGGAAGAACACAACTTTAGTTCCTGACTCCCCAGTTTAGTCAAGTACAATGTATCGTTTACTAGTTTATTTGTGTTTGTTCTAATGTTAGCATTTAGAAGGGGATCACTGCTGACCAGATATTATTTGTGTGATGAACCATTCTCAGTGACACCAATATAATACAGCCACTGTTAACACTCATTTAGTTAAACTTGGAATATTGAGAAAATTGACAATAATCATGGATTATTAAACAGTGGTCACTGGTGAGCAAAGCACGATCATTCAATGGGTTTTATATGCGCATGCCCAAGGGCCTAAGCCACTAGGGGGCCCCTGCAAGCAATTATAATAAAATTTAAGCAGCTGCTTTGACTCACAGTGGGAACTTAACTAGCAGCACAGCGAAAAAATGAACAAATCTCAACCTTTGAGCCAGTCATAGTCATGACACTCTCCACATTACTCCTAAACATCTGCTTCATTTCTCCTCCAAAGCTTAGCAACTATCTCACTATTCTGCATTTCTTTGGCCAAGCTTTCAGTTTTTTTTTTTCAAGGTTTCTTTTTTTTGCATCCTGTGAATGGACTTTGAATTTGGAGCTCCAGATGTATGAAAGAGCTGCGTGAGGGATCTGTAAAAGTGAGACCTGATACTTTGACAGAGTAAAGGATGCCCGTTTTCAAAGGCAGACACAAATAAAAATGTTAGCTCCTCATTGAAGGAGAAAAGTCACCGTGTTGGTGTTGGCAGTGATCTGCAAACTGTCTACTTCAAAGGTAATATATAGTGGGAAAAACCCACTGTGGCAGTATGCTTTAGATTATAGTTGACAGCTTGGGTTTTTCAATTTGCTGGTGGTGTTTTCGTCATCAACATGTCATCACTCTGTAAATTCCAGTATGCTATTGTAGTAAAAACAAAACCATAACAAGATTACACACATGAACAAGAACACAGGTTAACACAAACCCAACAACCAGTGCACTACTTCCTGATGAAGTATGCATCTGCTTTTCACAACCATAGCATTTACCACAATGATAAATGAAAGCATACTGCTATGGTGGGGGTGAAAAAATGTTGGAAAATGGCATCCTCTACTCTGTCAAAGTTTCGGTTCTTGCTTTTACAGATCCCCCAGGCACATCTTTTGTATATCTGGTGCTTCAAATTCAAAGTACATTCACAGGAATTCTAGCTCGATGTAAAACAAACAAATAAATAAATGAAATAAACCCGAAAGCCTGACCAGGGTAATATAGGATAGTGTAAAGGTTGAAAAGCAGTGATTGGAAGAGAAAATAAAGGAGGGTAACGTTTAGGTAAGACGTGGAAAGCATCAAGATTATGATCGGTAAGGTTATAACGGTCATCATCAGTGATGACTAGATCACTAAACTGTTGTCCTCAGCGATGACTAGACTACTACACTGTTGTCCTCAGTGATGACTGGATCATTAAACTGTAGTCCTCAGTGATGACTGGATCATTAAACTGTAGTCCTCAATGATGACTAGATCACTAAACTGTGGTCTTCAGTAAAAACTAGATTACTACACTGTGGTCCTCAGTGCTGACTAGATCACTAAACTGTGGTCCTCAGTGATGACTAGATCACTACACTGTGGTCCTCAGTGATGACTAGATCACTACACTGTGGTCCTCAGTGATGATTAGATTACTAAACTGTGGTCCTCAGTGCTGACTAGATATAATTCCTTTGATATACATGAAGTAATTATACAAACAAGATATATACAGACCAATATTATAAGGTTTTCACATTGTCCAGAATACTTCAGTCTCTCTTTAATCCAGATTTTTCCACCCTATCAGGCAAACACAAACAAGTAGCAGCTCAAAACAAAATCGGCAGAGAAGTATTTTCTAAATGGCTACATAATAACATTGTCAAGTTTGACAAGAGCAACCAAGTTAAAATAAAGAAAATAATCAGAAGGTGAAGTGCAACATACCGTTGGCACCACGATGCGGTTTAGTTTATCTGCGTTTCTTTGCAGTATGATATCATAATCCTCATAATAAGGGCGGGGTTCAAAGGAGACCACTATTTCATCCCCCTCAGGTACAGCATTAATGTCCATATCTGACCACATAAACATCATTGTTAATACTTGGCAAAACACAAAGTTAATGTGTGTGTGTGTGTATATAATTATATATATCGCTGCTGTTGAAAGAAAACCTTGTATCTCCATTTTTCAATTTTTGACATAATTTGAAAATGCCTGTTTCCCTTTACATTATGTCCAAAGTTTGTGCATACCCCTTCTATTATTGCATTCAGCTACATTAAGGTACACTCACTGCTGTCACAGGAGTTCAAATGCACACACAGCTTGTATAGTCTCCATAGAAAATGGAGCAGCAGCGCATGAGCCTAAGGTCACCATGTTCAATGCAAAGCATAGGCTAGAGGGGTATGAAGCCCCCCCAGCACTGAGCTGTGGAGCAGTGGAACCGTGTTTCTTTAGTGTGATAGAGCTCCATCAAATACCTTTGGGATGAGTTGGAGTGGCATTTGTGTTTCAGAACTAATCATCCAACATGATCTCTCTAGTGCTCCCACTGCTGAATTAAATCCTCATTGCAACATTTAGTTCCAACATTTAGTGTAAAGCATTCCTCGAAGAATAAAGACTTTATTTATTTAGTAGACTTTGTTACTGCAGCAGATTGTGACAAACTCCTTTTTTAATACTCTTGATTTCAGAAGAAACATTGGAAGAGCAGGTGTCCACAAACTATTGGCCATATAGTGTGTGTGTGTATTTCAATGTTTTACCTTGCAAAATTGAACATGTTGAATGAGTCCTCATCTGTGCATTGTCACATCCTATAAAACAAGAGTGAAATGAGGAAAGGAAATACATATTTGCTGAACAATAAATGTCTTGAAATAGGAGATACAATGAAGGCTTTTCAACAGTGAATGTGAAACCAACCAGGTGCCTGAACCTCTCTGGTTTTTGAGTGTTTTCCTCCCATGTTAGCCGGTGGAGAAGGGAGATTATAGACATCAACCTTGTAAAAGCCAGTTGGTTCAATGTTGACATCAGTGCTTATGAAACTGAACCAAAGCTACAAGTGAAATAAGAAGAAAAGAGAACAGTGTGTAGATTGGTCAGAGAATTTGTGTAGCAGTGAAAATATTAAAACATTGATATATTACTTATTTATAAATACAGTTTAATCTACGTATCAATGCCTTTACCATGTTTTTACCAATAATCTCAGAAAATCAATGAGAAACAGTACTAAAGGGCTCACCTGTTCTAAACCAGCATAGTTGGCTGGTTTTGAAGAGAATGGAGGCTGGTAGTCACATCTATATCTTACTGGATCAGGGTTTGAATGGGAACGTATGTTCAGTTCAATCCACGTGCCAGTAATATTGTGAATGCTACCTAGGGATGCAAAAATTGAGAAAGTGAGTTCAAGCTTACCCTTTTCTCTGTATCTGACCATTTTTCTACCCAACATTTGAGTTTTGCTCTCTCTGTTGAAAACAGTGTAGGCATAATGCATTTGAGTAATATGAAAGGTTTATAGAGTGCAAATGGTCATTCATTTTGGTTATGGCTGTGGTTACTTGACCTAGGCCTATTTTTTGGTGAGTATAAACATATTTTAAGGAGCTGTACTTCTAAGGAAATGTTTGTGAGTGATTTGGAATGAATCTATCTGGATTTCTGCATGAATGGGTCCTAAAACTAATCTGATATTCATTTTAGTCAGTAGAAGGAAATAAAGTCTTATTTAACAACATGCAAAACATTTTTCATTTCCAGTGTTAGGAAAATGAAAAAAAGGGTAATGGAGTCAGGCTTTTTCCATGCCATATAATGTACTAAACAATACTGGCTGCCTGCTCTTTGTGAAAGAAATCTGCTCAAGTGCTATATTGCAGGCTGTTCATGCAAGACATCCTAATAATATTCAGCCAAAATACATATTTTTTTGATTATATGAAAAGACATAAATACAACCTCTGCAGCAACCTGTTTTTTAAAAAATAACATTTTCCTGCAAATGTTAATGCACAGGTACTTTTGAATTTTATTAACTTATAAGTAGGAAAAATAGTGATTATGGCATATGCAAATATTTGGACACTTCTAAGTCAGTACTTATTAATACCACTTTTGGTAGACATCCACCCCTGTGCTTAACAGTTGGCAAGGAGTTCTTTTCATCAAATGCTGCTCCTTTTTCGTCCAAACATCTTTTAGGTAATTGTGGCCAAAGAGTGACTGACCTTCCAAAATACAACCCCAATTCCAAAAAAGTTGGGACGTTGGGTAGAATGTAAAAAAAAAAAAATGTAAATAAAAACAATGCAATGATTTGCAAATCTCATAGACCCATATTTTATTCACAATAGAACATAGAACACATATCAGATGTTGCAAGTGAGACATTTTACCATTTCATGAAAAACATTAAGACCCAATCCCATTTCTTATTATTACCCCTACCCCTTGTTTTCGAGTGTCACCCTAACCCCTTTGAACTGAGTTACAAGGGGTAGTGGTTGAAATCTTACCCTACGAAATGGGACAACCCTCAAATTTAAAAAAAAAACAAAAAACAAAAAAAAAAACACATTGCTTCGTTAACAGCTACTAGCGCTGCTCAGTAGGCGACCCAGCCCGTCCTCAGTGATAGCAGAAAAGGGAAAAGTTCAGCTCCTCACTGCTGGGCTTTAGTTACATTTAGGGCATCGTATGCTTTCAAACAGGGGGTTTAAGACAGTTATTTATTATCGCCCACCGCTAATTCTTTGGTGATACGAAGGTGAAGTCAGCTATTCGCCAGCTTCTTGTTCGAATTCTCCCGTTCCACCTTAAATGGTGCAGTAGTTACATTCTGGCGCTTCAGGCGTCAACACTGCTAGACTATTTAAGGTGGAACGGGATGTTAGCTAGATAGCTCCCGAAACATTAGCAAGCTAGCAGCGATTTTTTTGCTTGTTATGAAGAAAACGACCATAATACATTGAAACGACATTAAACTAAGATAATACGATAGTTATTGTAATTTTTAACAGAGAAAATTCTCACATTTGTGTGTTTCTTTGGTCGCTCGCGCAGACATCTTGCCCTAACACTTTGCCCTACCCCTCGATCTCAACAAAAATTGGGACACCCTAACCCTAGACGTGAACGCGCAAAACAGAGGGCTAAGGGCTAAGTGGTAGGGGCAAGGGATGAAATGGGATTGGGCCTAACTCATTTAGAACTTGAGGGCAGCAGCGCATCTCAGGAAAATGGGGACAGGGGCAACAAAAGGCAGGAAAAGTAAGTGGTACTAATAAAAACAGCTGGGCAGAGGATGGGCAACTGAGAGATTCAGAGAATCTGGATAAATCCTTGTACACGAGGGACAAGGCTGACGGTCAAGATTGGATGCCTGTGATCTTCGGGCCCTCAGGCAGCACTGCATTAAGAACAGGCACGATTCTGTACTAGAAATCACTGCATGGGCTCAGGAATACTTCCAGAAATCAATGTCTGTGAACTGTATCGGTTCACTGCGCAATCCACAAATTCAAGTTAAAGCTGTATCATGCAAAGAAGAAACCATATGTCAACACAATCCAGAAACGTCGCCATCTTCTCTGGGCCAAAGCTAATTTAAAATGGACTGAGGCAAAATGGAAAACTGTTCTGTGGTCAGATTAATCAAAATTTTAAATTCTTCTTTGGAACCACAGGCGTTGTGTCCTGCAGACTCAAGAGGAGAGGGACCACCCAGATTGTTATAAGCACACAGTCTCTGATGGTATGGGGTTGCATTAGTGCCTATGGCGTGGGCAGCTTACACATCTAGAAAGGCACCATCAATGCTGAACAGTTTACAGAGGTTTTAGAACAACATATTCCTCTTTCAGGGAAGGCCTCACATATTTCAGCAAGTCAATGCTAAACTACATACCACATCCATCACAACAGCATGGCTTTGCAGAAGAAGCGTCCAGGTGCTGAACTGGCCTGCCTGCAGTCCAGACCTTTTACCAATAGACAACATTTGGTGCATCATGAAACAGACAGCACCCAGGACTGCTGAACAGCTACTCCCAGACGTTTACAGACTGTTGTTAAAGAAGAGGCGAGGCTACACAATGGTAGACATGGCCCTGTCCCAACTTTTTTGAGATGTGTTGCTGCCTTTAAGTTCTAAATGACAATATTTTTCATTAAATGGTAAAATGTCTCACTTTCTACATCTGATATGTGTTCTATGTTCTATTGTATATAATTGAGTCTATGAGATTTGCAAAACATTGCATTCTGTTTTTATTTACATTTATTTACATTTTACACAGCATACGAACTTTTTTGGAATTGGGCTTGTAGCTCTGGTTTAACTAGATGTTATTTTGCATACTTCAGACGTTGACTTTTGTTGAGGTTGCAGGTTAGGATTTCTTCTGATGACTCTTTCATGTAAAGCATGTCTGTGCTACCAGTGTTGCACGGTAGAATGGTGCACCATCACTGCTGTGTCAGCTAAAGCTTCCCACGGGTCCTTTGTTGTCATGTTGAGGTTTTGCATCTGAACAGTCCCATCTGAGAGTTTTCTTGGTCTTTCAGATCATGCTTTGACTTCTACAGTTCTGCTTAAATGCCATCTCTTAATGGCATTTTTGACCTTGGAAACGGCAAGTTTCCCCTGCTTTGTAGGCATCAATTACTTTCATTTTCAGATCCTTCAGCCAGCCAGTTAGTGAACCTCATGGTTGTTGAGTGTTACCAGGTTTGTAGGCTCAGAGAATTTATAAGTCTCTAAAATTGTTATCAGCTGACTCTCCTAATGACAATTCTTGACCTGCATAACCAGTCCTAATGAATCAATTAAGGTGTAATTAGGTAATTAAGCTAGTGAATAAAGTACTGCCACATTACAACTGAATGGTTTCAAAACTTTTACATGTGAAACTAATTTAAAAAAACAAGTTGCTTGTCATCTTTTCAATTCACAAATCAACAAACTATGTCATCTGCCCGGAAATGCCAAAACTTTTGCACACGACTCTACCTCTCTGCCATTAATGTATTTAAAAATTTGCTTTAGGCCAAAACTTTCTCTTAAAACTACCATAAAGCAATGTTTCAGATATCAGGTAGCATATTCATGACCATTTTCTAGAGCTACAACTGAAATTCATACTCTTGGGGTGAGAACATGATGGACTGGCATGCCGACTGCAAGTCAGGTCTTACACCAGCATCAGTGCCTGTACGTCACTAACACTCTATTTTAAGTCAGAATAAGAAATAAAGAAAATCCGTGAAGTGAGTCCACACAGCCATGTTCCAAAATCTAGTAAAAAGGCTTCCTAGAAGAGTGGAGGCTGTTATAGCAGCAAAAGCGGGGACAAACTCCTCATTAATACCCATGGCTTTGGGGTGGGATGTGCAATAAGAACATAAGTATCTGATGTTGGGGTGTCCAAATGCTATGTGTGTATGTTTGAGTACGTTTACAAAGCAAACTGTGAACTAGGCCAGTGGGGTAAAGATGATTTCACCAACTAAGTGACATTACAAACATACAAAAATCTGGGTCATGGCATGACAGCTGTGATTCCATCGCAGGCAAGTTTTGCAAAGTAAAGACAAAAAGTAAAGAAGCCTGGAACATACTATGTCCTTAATATTGGCAATTTCTTTCACCAAAATGTAGTTCCAGCAGCTTGGAGTAAAATGACCACTGTTGTTACTTGAAGTCACAATGATATTGGTATCATACTGGTGCTGGCAGGTAGAGTGCCCTCCTCAAATACTGGCACCCCTGGTAATCATGTGCAAAATGAGCTGTAAAAAATGTTCTCAATTACTTGTCCTTTTCATCTTTCACTCAAAATATTAGCAAAAATCTAACCTTTATTTAAGCTCTAATGATTGAAATAAATATTTTTCTCAAATCTACATGTGCCACAAGGTGTTTGCACCTCTAGAAATTCATAAGAGTGAAATCTAACTGAAGTATATTTCTATTTTATGTTTTTAAGTTTACCTGACCATTTAAATGGTCAGTCATGACTTACTGATTCACTAGAGAATATATATGAAATGAAACACAGGCCAAATTCCCTCAGTCATTAATCACTATGACAAAGACAAGAAAAAAAACAGCAATGATGTGATATATATATATATATAGACCAGGGTCATTTCTGTGTGGAGTTTTCATGTTCTCCCCGTGTCTGCGTGGGTTTCCTCCGGGTACTCCGGTTTCCTCCCACAGTCCAAAAACATGCAGTCAGGCCAATTGGACATGCTAAATTGCCCCTAGGTGTGAGTGTGTGTGTGACTGTGTATGTCTGTCTGTCTGCCCTGTGATGGACTGGCGACCTGTCTAGGGTGTATCCTGCCTTCCGCCCAATGACAGCTGGGATAGGTTCCAGCACCCCACCGCGAACCAGAAGGATAAGCGGTTTAGATGATGTATATATATATATATATATATATATATATATATATATATATATATATATATATATATATATATATACATACACCGCGACCCAGAAGGATAAGCGGTTTAGATGATGGATGTATGTATGTATACAAGTATAGTTTACTGGAGAGGGCAAAACTTACTTTCAGTGTAAGTTAATGTAAATAGATTTTATTCCATGCAGTTTTGAAGCATTTCTATTGGTCTGTTAGTCCTGAAATTTTCACATGATGTAAAGAGCAGCTGCTGAGCTTAAGTGTAGAAAAGTAAAAATCAACAAACATCTATTTTTTTTCTTTGTATTGCTAATCCAAGCAGATTTCATCCTAATTTCTACATTTTTTTTTTCAGATATGTACATAAAAAAAAAAAATCATTGCCCCGCTATTCCCATTCCCATTCTCAAATGTACTCACTGTCAATATTGATAGCCCAGCTTATGGTCATGGAAGGAGAAGCTGTAGGTCCATTCTGAAGGTTAAGCTTGAGATCGAGATCACGTAGGGGTGAAGGAGTGAACTCATATACTTTGTACCATTCCATAGGCATCAATTCTTCAAAAATAAAATATAAATAAATAAATTCATGACACAGTCATACATGGCATTTCATACAAATCTGACCTGAACTTGCACTAGTAACATGTATGCAGTTTCTATAGCCAAATCCTGAGACATCCTGTGTTAATCCTGTATTACTAAATCGGTTAGACTGCTGCTGTAAGTCTTAGCAGGCACTTTAAGTTCTCAAATAACATGCCTGTTGAGTGCCCGTCTAATTTAGGCTTGCAACACATAATGTAAAAGGTCTATAACAATAAGATTCTTCCTAGAAACGTTATATTGTGGGGAATCCTTATAGTCTGATCTTTTTTTTTAAATCAGTAGTTCCCAGTAACATGAAAATGCTAATAATTCTTCAGCTTTTAGCAATATATATATATTTGGAAAAAAGTCTGGATATAGTATATTTTTTCCTTCTCCTGGAAAGTTAACATTGTGGAGATACAAGATTTTGTTCCAACAACTGCAAAATATACATATACATATACATGTATGTATGTATGTATGTATGTATGTATATATATATATATATATATAAATATATATATATATATATATATATATGTGTGTGTGTGTGTGTGTGTGTGTGTGTGCCATAACTTTTGCACAGGCCACACTTTGTTACTTTTATTTTTTCCCCAATGTTAAATTTAGCAAACAAACAGTAATCGTGCACTTATATTTATTAAACATGAAAATCAACAATTGTAATTTGTCCAGGGGCACCCAAATTTTCGCATACGCCATATTAAAAATTATCCATGTCCAGTGGCTAAAAAGGGTCTCTCATGAACTAATTAAAATACATGTGATATAGTTTTGTAATAAGCACATGAGCTCGAACTGTATAATTAATTTCATATGGACTGTGTACAATAGGCAAAAATCCACATCACTCACCTTGTGCTCTGCTGCATTTCGCCACCTGTGTAAAAGTGACATGAGAAGTGAACACTTGAAGACCCTTTTTAAAGAAGTGGTCTAAATGTAGCCCAGGTATTTAAAGTCTCTGCGTTACTCACTCTGCTGGGAGTGGAGTCAGCAGCTGCGAGGTGAATGAGCGAGAGTAACATGAGGCTCCTCATCTTCACTAGCAGCTCCGCTGTACGGCAGTGAAATGAAAAATCCCTCAAAAGGCTTTTCTATCATTTAGCCTCTGTTACCTGTGCAGATAAACTGCTGCACTTATATACAGCTGGGGCTCTTTCACTGTTCGTCACGCCCACTGAAGGAGGCGTGTACTAACTAGGCTGTAGCCTTTGGCGATCATATTCAATTTGGCACAATTATGTGTAATATTTTTTTATGAAATAAGTGTAAAAATGTATAAAAGGATACTGAAATATCGTGAGTGTGTACTTTGATCCGTGTACCAGTACTAAAGTGAATACGGTGGTTAGCCGCTGAATGAAGTGTCATCTGGTCGTCTGTGAAAAATTTAAGTATTTGGATAACTATTGGGTATTTGGGGTGTTTTACTGGATTAATTCGCTGCCCGCCAGTTTCTGAATGTCTGTCAGTTTGTTCTAGTTTCACCGTAAAATGGAAAATCGTTCAGGTATGTCGACATTGCTGACATAGCCGCCGTCTGTTTCTGTGGAAAGTGGACTTTGTTTGTGACTCCGCCCTCAACGAAAAGTCACAGACCACAAACAACAGCTGAGGGGAAAGTTAGCTTCGAGCGGTAAGTGACGGATTTTAGACAGGAAACTTTTGGTTGTAAAACTGTCTGTATGAAACGTTTGGCTCTTAAATATTCCGTCCAAACACTGGCGGATGCGTCGAGTGTGTTGTGAATATTCGCGGAAGTCAGTACTTTTGGTCTTTCTTACGAGTCGTTTTCAAGCAGTCTGAATGGCTGTTTAGCTAAAGAAACGAACCGAATTGGGCTCTGTTGTTCGTCGAAGCTGGCAGCTGACCGTTTAGCATTCATTTGCTAATGTTCAGATCACAGCTCAGAGAATAAGAGAATAAGAAGGTTGCAGTTTACGTGGTTTTGAAGCACATAATTGAAAAATGGCCTTAAACACGCTGCAACAGCTCACCCCTGTTTCCCGACCCCAGACCAAATCTAACTAGCTAAGCTACATTACATGGACAGAAGTATTGGGACACCTACACGTTACACCTTCCGAAGCCTTTATAATATCCATTCTAAATCTATAGGCATTGATATAGATTTGGTCTCCCCTTTGCAGCTATAACAGCTTTAACTCCTCTGGGAAGCTTTCTACAAGATTTTCGAGTGTGTCTGTGGGAATTTTTGTCCATTCACCTAGAAGAGCATTTGTAAGGTCAGACACTGATGTTGGACGAGAGGGCCTGGCTTGCATTCTCTGTTCTAGTTCATCCCAAAGGTGTTTGATGGGGTTGAGGCCAGGGCGCTCTGAGGGCCAGTCGAGTTCTTCCACACCAAACTCACCCAGCCACGCCTGTGTGGACTGCTTTGTGCACTGGGTCTCAGTTATGCTGGAACAAAAAAGGTTCTTGCCCGAACTGTTCCCACAACGTTAGAAGCGTACAGTTGTCCAAAATGCTGAAGCATCAAGATTTCCCTTCACTGAAACTATGAGGTCTAGGCCCACCCCTGAAAAACAACCCCATAGCATAATCCCTCCTCCACCAAACTTTACAGTTGGCACAGTGCAGTCATGCAGGTGACGTTCTCCTGGCATTCGCCAAACCCAGACTCGTCCATCAGACTGCCAAATAGATAAGAGTGATTCGTCACTTGACAGAATACACTTTCACTGCTCCAGAGTCCAGTGGCGGTGTTCTTTACTCCATCCGATGCTTGGCATTGTGCTTGGTGTTGTAAGGCTTGCATGCAGCACTTGGTCATGGAAACCCATGCCATGAAGCTCCCGCTGAAGAGTTTTTGTGCTGACATTAATGCTACAGGAGGTCTGGAACCCAAAGGAGGTTACTGAGTCAGCAGAGCATTGGCAACCTTTATGTACTGTGTGCCTCAGCGCTCAGAAACCCTGCTCTGTAACTTTACGTGGTCTGACATTTGGTGGCTGAGTTGCTGTGGTTCCTTAACGCTTGCACTTTTCAATTATATCACTCACAGTTGATCCTAGAACAGCTAGGAAGGAAGAAATGTAACGAACTGACTTGTTGCAACGGTGACATCCTGTTACAGTACCACACTTGAATTAGGTGAGCTCTTTAGAACAATTCTTTCACAAATGTTTGTAAAGGTAGAATGCATGGCTAGGTGCTTGATTTTTTGGGGGGTTTTTTTTGTGTCCCAATACTTTTGTCCATATAAGTGTAGCATCCATTCATCAATGAGGTAGTGTGCATTCCTTCCTTTAGCATGGCTAACCTGTTAAGTAAATAAGAGTTAGGTAAAAATCAGTCACTTACCTAGTAAAAGTCCCACCCGCCCTTCCTAACAGAGGTGTAAAAAGTGCAGAGAAACTGTACTTAAGTGAAAGTGTAGGTGCTGTGTCAAATTTTACTCAAGTAAAAGTGGAAAGATGAAGCCAAGAATATACTTGAGTGAAAAAAATACTCAAATATAATAATGTACAATTACTCAATTATTTTCCACCCCTGCTTTCTAATGATGCTGTCAGTAGACGGTGCTGCCATGTTGGAATTGTGCAGTGTTGTCTGATGGGATTTTGTCTTCTGAGGGAAATTCCTTTAATAGCTTATAATAAACAGATTAGGCATAGCATTTAGAAGCCAAAATCCAAACTTGAAAAACAGCTGCCTAGACATATGCTTTTACACAGTTCAGAGAGGAAGGAACCTCAGTTTATATCTTTTTAGCTATAGCCATATTTATAGCCAGGTTATGCTGCTGGCTTACTAGAAGACAATTCCTCATGGTCCACAACATGCTATCGTCTGACCTCAAAAAATGAAATCAATTTTAATTTTGCTTATGTTGTGATGTAGTGTTTAGGCTGTGTTTAAGCGTGAAAACAAATGATGTCTGAGCAACACTATGATAAATTAATCAGTTCTGTGTAATATAGAATATTAACTAAGTCTTTTTACATGTTTTGCACATAGAGATCTCCAAAAGTGACATCATTATGGTGTGCATCCCCTTAATTGCACGGCTAACTTTAGGCCTTGGCAGGCATGCCAACGTACCAGCCTCCCCCTGTTCTTGTTTAAACCTACTGCAAAGATACAGACACTATAGCACTGCCTCAGCCAGTCAGAAAACCCCATCCTTCAGCTATGTCATTATTGGGGCCGGGTCAGCAGGCTGTGTGTTGGCCAGCCGCCTCTCAGAGAATTCATCTGAGTCTGTCCTCCTCTTGGAGGCGGGGCCTAAGGACTTGCTGCTGGGCAGCACTCGTCTGTCATGGAAGATCCACATGCCGGCTGCATTGACCTATAACCTTTGTGACGACAAATACAACTGGTTCTATCACACATTGCCCCAGGCTGGAATGGACGGCCGAGTGATGTACTGGCCGCGTGGTCGAGTCTGGGGCGGCTCATCCTCCCTCAATGCAATGGTGTACATCCGCGGGCATGCTGAAGATTACAACCGCTGGCACAGGGAAGGGGCTGAGGGCTGGGACTATGATCATTGCCTGCCATACTTCAGGAAGGCCCAAACCCACGAGCTGGGAGCAGACCGATACCGGGGCGGCAGTGGTCCCCTGCATGTCTCTCGGGGGAAGACTGAACACCCTTTGCACCATGCATTCATTGAGGCTGGTCAACAGGCAGGTTACCCCTTCACTGAGGATATGAATGGCTACCAACAGGAAGGATTTGGCTGGATGGATATGACCATTCATAAAGGTAGGTACAGCATATGAAATGACTCATTAGGGGAGAAACAGTACATCATGACATAAAACTGACAAAAATAATGCACCTCATAGAGTTTAGCAATATAAGCTGCATTCTATAAATTTCTGCTGTCTAATGCAGTTGGATTTTTTGAACATCAAAAGTCGCAATCTATTTAATCCACACCAGCATGGTCAGCACCATGAGTGGATAGTGCAACGAGGATAATTACATGGATTCATTTTTTTTTGTCTTTTTGTTTAAAATAAGCAAGCTGAGTTGTTAACCTAGTATCATGGATCAAATCAAATTGTGAGAGTAGCCTTACATATCAGAAGGTAAAATCGTTTCACTTCCAGTTCACTGAATCATAATGGCCGATCATGGTCCTTGTCATTTTCTCTACTGTCTCATTTTACCACACTCTTTCTCTCAGTTTCTACAGGCACTTCCACTCCTCTCTGAATTTGTGCCCTCTCACTCTCACGCTTTCAAACCTATGTTGTCAAACTTTTTCTTTAGTTTGGTCATTTGATAGTTGTGAACACTGAACAAATGAACCACTTCCAAGCAAATAAAACCGCAAACGCTGGTTCAGTTCGCTGCTGGAGGGAACACATTTTTACAGTAGTCCACACCAAACGATGGATTTCAACATGAGGGCATGCTTTCCTCTTTCCTCTAAGCACTGTGCTGTCCACATAATCTGCCTGTTGGAACATGTAGCCCTTAATAGACAGTCATCATTATTGCAGTATAGTGTACTAGCAAAGCAATGCATTTGATTTTAGCACTTGGCTCGTGGAACACATTTTGGCAGCAACTTGATTGGTTAAATTTAATTTAATTGACAAACCAATTAGTCATAAAGACTGTTTCCATTTTAATGCAAAATAGGCAAAAGATAATACATCTATATCAAGAACATATGTGAGAGATAGATTGTTAGACAAGTAATAAATGGTTGTTTGTAGGTTGTAATGTGGAAGTATCAGTGTACTTGTATCCCAGCTACATTTCTGACGAATGAGTAAACACCCACATGTTTATTTTGATGCGCTCTAGTTGTTGCAATGTGAAACCAACCAAATGAAAAAGATACAGTGTATCAAAACCCAAACTCTGTTTCAATGTTGTTTCTCTCCCAACTCTGTAGGCAAGAGATGGAGCACTGCCAGTGCATACTTGCGGCCTGCATTGTCCAGACCTAATCTGAAGGCTGAAGTCCGTTGCCTGACCACACGTGTCCTGTTTGAGGGGACTCGAGCCATTGGAGTAGAGTACCAGCAGAACGGACAAACAAAGAAGGTAGGACAGAAGTCCAAGGCTATGAATAGGTGAAAAGATTGATAGGTTAGGTTGCAAGATTGGCCAGATTGAAGTGAGCTACGAGTATTCTGGATGGCCATGTCAGCTTTGCACCATGGAGTCTTGGGGACTAAAGCAGTGTCTGTTAGACATGTTCCTGGTCTCAGTTAACCAGATAAAGCTAGTAACATGCAAAACAATACTATACTATTACCATAAGACACAAGTAGGTATAAAATTGAACTTTTAAACATGCTTGGTCCTGGCTTGCATTAATAACACATTGAAAATAAAACAAATGACTGCAAACTTTAGATGGCAAATAGATGGCAAATGGATAGATGTCAAAATATGGTGAAAGAAGTGTCTTGGGAGGATGTAAGTGACATATCTACTTTCTTCATCATATCTTCATCCGTATAATGCTGAAGTTGTGTTTGAGACTTGAACGACGATCGGACCATTTTGAGCCTGTGCACAACAACACGTAAAGATGTATGTTGTGGTCTGAAAAAAAACTCGAAATCTGACCCAACCTGACTTTTAAATGATTATTTCAGACTTTACAGGGTGACTCACAGAAGGGGACACACAATATTTATTCTCAGTAATGCCCCTTCTTTCAGTTTTAACAAAAAAGCTTAAAAAACATGCAGCTATTATGTTGCCCCTACAGTGAATATGGGCTTTTTCTCCACTATTTTCAATATGCTTTTGAGCTAATTAACCACCAATTGCCCATTTTCCAAGGGTGCCAGACTCTATCATGCTGAAATTTGATAACTAGATATCTTGTGTTTAAAGCTGGTTTTAAAGCAAAACTTTTTTAGTTTTTCTTGTAATTTTCTTTACCTATTTAAAAATAATCTAATTTGTGTAAAACATTAATTCCGGTTAATATATTTTAATTTCCAAAAGATGCCCTGATTTTTGTATATCAGCTGCAGAGGTAAAATATTTCATAGAGCTTTTCTGATGTAAGATTGGCTGGCAAAAACACACACATCTTACTGCTATAAAAGGCAAATTTGAGGTTATGAATTCTCAGCTTACCATGCCACAAGGCTAGAAAGTCAAGTCTGATATGAGTAAGTTACTTAGCAATGTCAGTACTACTTATCAAACTTGAATTCTCTTAATGACTCCTCCTGTCATCTCTTCGGTGCTCAGTCTCTTCCACTGTATGCAAGTTATGGGTCGTGACTTTAAAGAATGGTTTCATGTCTGTGAAGCTGCATTCAGTCTTACATTATTTTCTTTGTGCTGCTGGGTCATTGCATTTTTTGCAAAGTGTGGACGTTCCTAAGGTCTTTTTGTTTGGAGTTTCTTAACAGGTTTCTCCTGCATTAGAAGTTGGTTAATTTGATAGGGTTGTTTTTTGGTCTTGGAGCCCTATTTCTCTCTTTCTTTTAGTTAGTGGTGGGCTATATTAAATGTTGTTATCGTGATAAATTGTCAAAGTATGTCTTTTTTGAGTGTACCATGGGTATTGTCATTACTTGTGCTGAATAACTGTGGATAAAAAAGATGGAGAGCAAATAAATAGGTTGTCATAAACTACAACCAGTGTATAGTAACTGTATAAACAGCTGTTACCTTCTTTTATTCATTCATTTCTACTGAATTTTTTCCTACTAACTCTTACTGCATAGTTTATTTCTGCAAAACTCGATCATACTCCAAAAGCCCTTGACCTTTGAAGGATATTACTATTTGGTGTTCATAATGACCAGCTTTAAGGCCCTCAGACATAGAGCAGACCTGTTTTGTATGTGAATAAGCTCGTTCCAACCACATTCTCTCCTTCCTTATCGTGCAGCGTAGCTTATCGCAGCTGGAGCCCCGTATTGCTGAGAAAAGCTGATGGCGAACCTGATATTCACTGCGTCATTTCCTGCAAACTATGTTTTTTATCTGTACCCTTCCCACCGCTCTCGAGCATAGGCCTACGAATATTTGAATAACAGACCAATCATTTGTTTGTTAACACACATAATTTCTGGTCATGAGTGTGTAATTGTGCCTCAGGTGTTTGCTGACAAAGAAGTCATCCTCAGTGGTGGGGCAATCAACACACCACAGCTGCTCATGCTGTCTGGAGTGGGAAATGCTGATGACCTGCAGAAACTGGACATCCCCGTCGTGCAGCACCTCCCAGGTGACCTATGACCTTTTTTTCCACACCGCAGCTCAATGTTTTCTACCACAAATGACATAACAAGGCAATCTCTGTTTGATAAAAATAAAAAAATCCATCAGTCAGTACTTTTCTCTTGAAATCAGCTCTCAAAGTTCACGTCTATACTGTGTACTTTGTTGTCATTGTAATTTTATTCAGTTAGTGGTCTTTGCGAAAAGGGTTTCTCCCACTTTCCAACTGTTGTTCAAACCGGGGTCCCACAGTAAGTATTCAGACCTTAGATATTTACAAAGATTGTTATGAACTATTAAAAGCCAAGGCATTAATTGACATAGTAATAAGCTAAATGTATACAAAATCCTCATTTATAGGGTAGTCTCTATTAGGGGTGGATGTCTCAACACCCTAACCCCTAAATTTCAACTTGTGGAGATAACTTTATTAAAAAAAATCAAAATCAAATTTATTGTAGGATTAGTTTTTAATAGGCAGGGGCCTTACTTTACCCACACCCCTGCATTTTAGAGCATGAAGTGAGACTGCATCTCTGTCCCTCATGACCACATAGTGAGCAGTTAGATCCCATTGTTTTGAAGTAGAAGTGTCTCAAAATCTGAAAATCATTGATAAACTGTAAGAATTGTCACAACCGAAACACATTTTTTGCAATGAAGTAAACTTTTTAATATTATTTTATATTATTATGATTTATTTATGTTTCTACAACTGTTCAAAGCTGTGTTTGCTAGTCATGTACTGGCTAGCGTTTTTGAGTTAAGGAAAAGTGTCATTCAAAGCAAAAAGAATTTAGTATAAACTCCTCAGTCAGTTAACAGTCTAAAATGTGTCTTCAGCTCTTGAACAAATTAAACAAATTTGGTAGAATGATCTTTATATATTTTTATGGCTGCTGAAAAAGTTGGGGTCATTCTTTACCCAACTTGAGTTGAACTGAATATACAATATTTGCGTGAACAACACGTTCCTCTGTTACTAGGAGACACCAGTTTCAAAAGCAACATGAAGTACAACAGCTTGCTTGATGCCAGTTTTCATCAGATGTTTACAGGACCCCCCTACCACTACTGATTTTTTTTTTCTTTTCTAGAATGCTAGAACGGTGTATTACAAATCAAAAGGTCTTTTTTAACATCTTCATACTTGAATTATGCATATATATTTTTTTAAATATATGGAATTCTCATTTCTCGGCACTGCATTTGGTGTCTTTTGGTACACTGTAAAACGCTTTACCCAGCCTTTTAGAGTTCATAATGCTATATGAAGATACAGCAAATCTGTATCAAGTATGTAAGCACATCAGACTTAAAATGTAAACGATGGAAAGTGTAAAAACTCTGTAAAGAAATTATTGTAGAAGTTAATACAACCACTCAGCTTTACGCTCACAGTCACATGGATTTTTGTAAAGGGTGCTCTGCTGATCATTGCTGTTCGTTGATTAATGATTGTCTTGGTTTTATTTGATTTCTTAAGTATTAGTGTTTGAGTCCACATCTTGTTTACTGAAGGTGAAAGAGCTGTGTTGTAAATCTCTCTTTTTCTCTCTCTCTCTCTGTGTGTGTGTGTGTGTGTGTGTGTGTATATGTAGGTGTTGGTAGTAATCTGCAGGACCATTTGGAACTCTATGTCCAGCAGCAGTGCACTCAGCCCATAACTCTGTACAAGGCTCAGAAGCCATTCCATATGGTTAAGATCGGCCTGGAGTGGCTGCTCCAGTTCACAGGTAGCAGGCCATCAATACTGTACCCAAAGCTCACTGGAGAATGGAGTTTTTTTTTATTTTTTTTTTATAATTATCATTTATCACCCCGACACTCATGACTGACCTTTTAAAGCTAGAGCTCAGGAATAAGTCAGCCTAGACAGCCAGAGACTAGTATGACAAGTGCTTGTTCACTGATCTCTATCATAGGCATAATGTATGACTTGGCGATTTTCAAAGATGTCTTTTTTTTTTATTTATTTTTTTTTAAACCTCTGTCTCTCAGGCTATGGGGCTACGGCCCACCTAGAAAGCGGTGGTTTCATTCGCAGTTGCCCTGGTGTCACCCACCCTGACATCCAGTTCCATTTTCTGCCCTCGCAGGTCATTGACCACGGCCGCATCAGCTCCAAAATCGAGGCCTACCAGGTCAGTAGTGTTTGAGGCTGTTAATAAGGACCTGACTTGCTATGGACTTTATCTCATCTATGATGATTTTGGCTATGTTTCAGTGACATGACAAGCATTTTTTGTGTAAGTTCATTATTTTACTATTAAATCTTGTAAGAAATACAAGACATGGGTCACATTATTCTAAAATAAATCCTTTATGTGAATACATTTTCACTGTGTTAAAATAAAATTAATTTTAGGCATTTATGTTTCCTAAAGTCCAAAAATGTCCAGTAGTATGACCATCCAACCACATATGCAGATTAAGTAATCTTTAAAATCGTAAAATGTTGCAAAATCAGGTAACTGCAGTATAACCAAAAACACATTCTGACATGGTTTTAAGAAAGAGTGGGCACAGTGTTGCCAATAAAGAAGACCCCAAGTGTCTTCACAGTGCAACGCTAAAGTCCTAGAGTCCTTTTGTGCCATCTTGCCATCTCATTTTGTTGTAGGTGACATTATTATTCCTCTCTACAGGTGTGATACAGTTTTTCCTTAGTCACTTACATACATTTCCTGAAAGACTAACCTCAAAACACCACTGCATTATCATGACTAGCTGTGCGCTGTTTTAGTTCTCATTGTAAAACTAAATGCAAATGCTAAAGCATGTCGCAAAATGTCAAATGCAGATCTCATTTGACTGTAATATGTTTATCAATAGATTGCACTATTATCATTTGCTCAAGTACATTTTACAGCAACCACTGACGCAGATGTTAATTGCATAAATCATTACATGCAAAATACTATGTACAAGCATCAGTTGTACTAAAAAAATCTTACAGGTGCAAATTGGTACACCATGAGCACAAATACTAAAGGGGCAGTGGAAAGAACCTGCCCACGCAAGAGGAAAAAGTGTTTGGACAGTATGCTCAGAAAAGCTGTTCTGTTGTCATTTCTTGGGTATTTTTAGTATTCAAGGGCTCTCTTAGTACTTGAAAATACTCTTTCATTGAGCTCGTCATCAGATTTAATGCTTTTGGGGGGGGTTCAAAGCAGAACCGACAATACAAAATGTTCTTATAAACGTTTTCTGCAGGTCCACATTTTCAAAAACCTAAAACTCAAATTGTTATTATCATCAAGTACCGTCAAATAGTGTCTGACTCCTGCTGACCATCCGGATAGTGTTTCTCCAGAATGTCCTGTTTATCCATCCATCTTGTTGCTGGTTGGTCTCTTCCTCTTTTACCTTCAACTGTTTTAATAATAGTCTTTTCCAGTGAAGTGGTTCTTCTCAGAATAGTGCAGCTTGAAAAGAAAACCATTTCTTTTAGCAAAAAAAGAAAAAAAAACAGTAACAAGCGGCATAGCTGTCCCCCTGTTGTTGATAGATTGGGAGTTGTCATCTTAAAGATGACATAAAAGAGAGCATAATTGGCCTTGCTTAATTGAATGTGATGTCTTAAAATGTCAAATGAAAAAAATGAAAAGAATTATTTTGCTCACAGTTTATGAAAGAATTTTAATGAATACTTATGACACTACTGGTGTATTGTACCTGTATCGTAAAAATGTCTTAAAAGTATCGTAATACATTTTGGCATATTGTCCATCCCTACTTCTAGTGTTTGTTGGCATAGGAAGGTATAGAGGAGCACAAACAGGATGGCAGGAGGCAAGTCAGTAAAGCAACTCAGCCGGTTGTCATTTGAAAAGAGCAGCGAGAGAGTGAAGGAGCCGGGAACAAAAGATCTTTGAAAATGCTGTGTGAGGGCAACATGACATTGTGTGGTCTAGGGATGGTGTGATCCACCATGCTGCATTCACTGTGTGCAACAACACAGGCTGTCTTGTTTTTCTTGGCAGCCAAGGAATTCCAGAGAACAAAAGGAAAGGGATGAAACTTAAGCACTCGTACCAGCAGAACACACACTAACACACCACCACCACATCAGTGTCACTACAGTGCTGAGAATGATCCACCACCCAAATAATACCTGCTCTGTAGTGGTCCTGACTGTTAAAAAACAAGGTGAAAGGGGGCTAAAAGTATGTAGAGATGAACTACAGTCTGTAATTGTAGAACTAAAAAGTGCAGCTGTATGGTAAGCGGAGCTGATAAATTGGACAAAGAGTGTAACAAGGAGGTGGTTTTAATGAAGTGACTTATTGGTGTCTTGCCAGTCAACTGGAGGTCTTTTTTATTTGTTTTTTTTTATTTTTTTTTTTATGAATGGCAGGTACATGTTGGACCAATGAGGAGTACGAGTGTTGGATGGTTAAAACTGAGGAGCAAGAATCCCCTAGATCACCCTATTCTACAACCTAATTACCTCTCCACTGGTAAGCCCTCTCTCAAACAGAATGCTTTGTATTACCTAAGTTTTGTGGTCATTTTGCTGCTGAGCTACACAAAATGAAGTACTGAAAGAAAAGTATGGGATGTCCTTGTCTATGCCATTTCATGTCTGAGACCAAGAAAACTAAAACGGCTTTTCATTCATCAGTAATGGACTGATTGTAGTGTCATTGCTGTTTTGAACTTTTTTTTTTTTTTTCAAATAATAAAATAATCAGAACAATAAATTCTAAACTAAAGATTAGACTGCATAGTGACAAGCAACTTTGATAGTGATGATTTGGTAGGGAATGCGCCCTCTTCATTCAGTCGTCTGTCTTTGTGTCTCAGACATAGATGTGTGGGAATTCCGCCAGTGTGTGAAACTCTCGCGCGAAATCTTCGCTCAGAAAGCCTTTGAACCCTTCCGTGGTCCTGAAGTCCAGCCAGGCCCTGCCATCCAGTCAGATGCTGAGATCGATGCTTTCGTCCGGCAGAAAGCAGACAGTGCCTACCATCCGTCCTGTACTTGTAAAATGGGCCAGGATTCGGACCGCATGGCCGTGGTGGACCCGGAGACACGGGTGTATGGCCTGGAGGGCCTGAGGGTGGTGGATGCGTCTATCATGCCCAGCATAGTGAGTGGCAACCTGAACGCCCCCACCATTATGATTGCTGAGAAGGCTGCAGATGCCATTAAAGGGCTTCCCTCTCTCCATGATCCTGATGTAGCTGTGTACCAGTCACCCAGTCTGGAGACACAAAGATAAAAGTGCTGCCGTGGAAGGGATAAGGTCCAGAGTGAGGAGTGCATGGAGTGAGTACATGGTAGAGTAGGCTTACTAATGCTGAGCTGCCTTAATATTCAGTGAGCATATTTTTTTATGAATAGACTCATTGGAAGCAAATCTGTAGCAGGAAACACTTGCTTTATGTTCAGAGGTCCTCAATAATTTGGACGTAAAAAAGGCATAATAATGTGATAAAACAGAATATTCAAAATGAAGCAAAAAATCTGTGAAATCCTGCAGCATGAATTTACGTTGCGATACCATATCAGTTTAGAAAATTACACAGTTTGCCTTATTACACAGATTTGAAAGCTTGAAGATTGCCAGATCTTTATGGGAACAAATAAGCATCTCCAGTTTCAACGTGAAGCAGATAGTCCGTCTGCCTGTAGGTACACTGTTTAGCTAAAATGGTACATACGTGGGACTCAGAGGCTTATTTTTCAGCATTCTTGTGATGTCTCTGACCTTTTATCACACTACTAGAATCAAATTTAGTTCACATCTATTCTACAGTAATGAAATTTCCAAGGAACCCAGCAGAAATGTGTGGTCTTGGCTTCCAGTGAATTTTCACAAAATACTCAAAACGGTGCCTTTGACGTCACTTTGTATCTTCTTATGTAGTGGTTACTAAACTTGAATGTTTCCTTTACTGATGTGTTTTGCACTCATTTTAAATTATGAAGATTCCGACTTCCGGCATTGTAAGTAGAAAGGGAACGACACAAACAGAACACAGTAGTTCACTTCATGTTTACACTAACCGAAGACTTTTACTATTCAATGTTCTTCACTGTTCACTGCATAGTCTTAATGTCTTCTTAACCAGTGCACTTCATTCAGTGTTATTAATGAGAGTACAGTATCTTTTACATAGTTTTAGTGATTGTGTTGGTTATAATGACACTGTCTTAAATATGAATAAGGATCACTGAGCTGCTGTATTGAGAAACAGGAATATCACTAGGGCTGTGATGTGATGAAATTTTTACCAAGATAGTAATACATTTTTTTTTAAGAGATTTTAAAGTTATTAATCACTACCATGTCATGTTTTATGCCTAAGTTAAATACATATATAAAAATAAAAGAACTTAATCTGCACACTTAATCTTAAATATACAACTACAACCACATTAGTCCATAGTCTGAAGATGTGAAACATTTCTGCGTCTGTGCCTAAGAATGGACATTATGTAATGTAAATAATCAGATGCCAGTAAAATGGAATATGCAAAGGAGAAAGGGTTATGCAAAGTGGTATGAAAAATGTTTACGTGTCTTTTTTTTATTTTTGGTACCGCTGTTGTTTCTTGTGAACTCTTGTGAACTCACACTAACATTTCTTTTTTTGTTTGTTTGTTTTTAACACAGTTTATTTAATTATAAAATAATCCAGGCCAAGATGAACAAGAGAGAAAAGCTAATGTACAAAAACAAATTGTCCATTGGTACAAAACTGACAGTGCTGGGCAAAGAGCTACGGACAGATTTTGGAGTAGTCGGGCTAAAAACAGAAGAAAGAGTAGAGATTTCAAGTACAAGTACACAAAATCACTATATGAAAATAAACACTTTCATTATACTTTTTACATTGTCTCTTTCAAATCATCTTTGTAACAATTTGACTAACTCATAATAAAGCTGATTTACGATGTGAAAGGAATTTGTTTTGAAATTGTATACTAGAATGCCCTACACCCCTGTTTCGTCAAGATGTCAAATGACCTGAATGGAGCAAACATTGTATTTGGAATGTATTTGAAATAAAAATGAATTTCCCTATGAATTTCAGTGTTTCTGTTTCTGTTACAGCAAATGCTGTTACTGTTTCCCTGCCTGCCAAATATACCTGTGGTGGTGTTTGCTGAACAAAAGTTGGCATTTTCTTATCAAATGCATATTTTGGTGTAGCCTTGTGGTCTGCACTCTGCTGATTATGACATTTGCAACACAGAAAATAAAAACAAAATACAACGCTGATGTTTAGGACAGTGCAGAGTGCAATACCATAAATGTGCTGTTTGCTTCACAGAGCCCTTGGTGGTTAGAAGAGTTTTACAAAGGAATGCTCCAGAGAGCCAGCATTTTGGCTTTGTGTAGGAGGTTTCAAGCATCCGTCGCCTTGCTAAAGACGCTGTTGTGATATTTATCACGTTAAAAAAACAAAACAACGCAGAACTAATTCATGATTGGAATCAGTGACTGCATCACTGCAGTACTCAGTTGAAACCTGTGGCAGGCTTTTTTGTCCTCTTTAAATCTAAACAAAATCCATCCCTGGAATTTCACTAGAATAGGAGACGACGAATGGAGCATACAAACTGACTCTGAAGTAAAAACACTGATATGTAATGTATACTCACCTGGACAAATGTGACATTTCATCAAATGTAGTTTATAAAAGAGTCTCTTATGTACAGTTGCTTGGAAAAAGTGCATAAAGGCAGTTTTTTTTGTAGGTTAAAAGTTCTCTAGGCAAGAATGAAAGGGTGAAGAAAGCTGTATGGCTCAGCAAACAAAGGGTTTCATTTGTTTGAAGATCAAGATACAAATGTCCTGGGAGTTGGCACCCTAAAAAGTGGGTGATGATTCAGCAGGCACTAGCAGCAGTGCCTGTTTATGGTGTTTCCTACGTCCTCAAGGCTGACGATCAACATTTAGGCCCTTCAAATAACTGTTCACACTGATTCAACCATGTTTGCTCTTATTGCACTCATTAATTAGTTGGTAGACTTTTAGCTGATTGGAGAGCATTATGTGAATTGTTAACCTGCTAACCATGAACGAAAGCTCCTAGACACTTGTTACCCACCAGCTTCCATTCATTGATAACCACATTTATGGAGGAAGTATGGCTCCTCCTCACTCAGAAAGCCCTCTCAGACAGCAGCTTGTAAATGACAGGATGAGACACATGCAGCTTTTGAGGGAGCAGTTTTGGTAACAATCTGGTTCTTGTGGGTACGCGAGAAGGGCAATGGCTAACTGGTTCAGCACTGAGTTCTGGTTTCTGAGGATTTTGCGCTTTCTATCCCAATGTCTTTGGTCACAAAGGGAACATGCTGACTTTGCTAGACCCTGACTGGTAGAGGTAGCAGAGGTGCAGTGTGGAGTTAGCAGCTATTGGGTAGTGCAGACGTGTAGGTAGTACTTCACCTGAGGAGTAGGAGTGCGTGACAAGGACAATAGAATGTTTCACATGCGTTCTTTGAAAAAAAATACATGAAAAGTATAAAAGTTTCTGAACAACAAAAGCCTCCAACATGAAAACAGTACATTGCCTGTTCTAGATAAGCATCTTGGAGAAAACGCGGTACTTGAATGTGATTAAGTGGTTTTTCTGTTAGTACAAAATGGTTTCTTGTGTCAACATGTAAAGCAGCATTAGTAATGCATAAATCTACGTGTGCACTTAATATGCACACAATATGCACAAAAGCACATCCTCCAATGTACATCACTTCCCAAAAAATGACATTTTTTGTGTTATCTCAGTCAAACGTGTACCTGCTTGAAAAATGTTTTTTGATCAAATCAAGGTTTCGTGAGCACATACTATATCATTTTTGGGAGCTGTTACAAGTAGGTCTTATGCATATCGTGTGCATTTTGCTTTCACATTGGCTCAGGCCATCTTCGCATGGCTAGACTGAAATATTAACCATGATAAAAAGGCAAAATCAACATTTACATTAAGCTTCTGTAGCGCCATCATTTTATCGTTTTCCAAAAGCAGGGAATATTGCTATACTTGTGGGAAGTTTTTTTTCTTTTAGTAAAATATACTAAAGATCATCTGTATAAAGACTAATTCATAATTTTCTGTAATCATCTAGTGAATTTAAAATGGTCTATTAAAGCTGGGGAAAAACTTGCCTGGTCTGAGCTGCATATGCATGAGGGAGTAAAAAGAAGTCTGTCTTTCAAGTTTGATAATATGGTTGGTGTATATGATATATTGCTGAGCAGTTTTAATGAGCTGTTTTGTGGCCTCTTATTGAGTGACATTTGGAATGGGCAGTGAATAGCAGTGTACAAAACTATGTCTAACTTCAGTTTTACTCTCATGTCTTTTGTGCACATGGGTAAGGCAATGGAGAGGGATATGACTGCAAAAGGAGACGTTTTTGGTTGATATGTAAAGAATGTGGAAAAATATACTTTGAAAGCCTTTTGGAAAAGAAACACGCATTTCAGAGCTTTCCTCACATTTCTCATGTCTAACTATTTCCCTGTAGCAAGCCATGTACCAGAGTGTCAGCTTGTTGAAAGATGGATGGCTAAGAATAGAATTTTGCTTGGTTGATCAACCCAGAGAGACTTCTGGTCTCCACTCCCCTAAAAGGCACTATTACTTCTTTCGTAGTTTATGTTTTGTTTTGTTTTGTTTTTTCCTTTTTTTGTACTTTTTTAAAAAAGAAAATGCTATAAATTTGAGATGCATATCATTTCATCTGTGAGGTCCTCCTCATACTTGCTGCTTGGCTCCACTTCTTCATCACTGTAGTCATGGAGATTACGATCCGTGTTGCTCTGGGATGTCCCTGTGCTGTCTGATCCTGCCACATCACCTAGACTACCATTCAGCAAATTGCTAGCGGCACTTTCCATCTCGTCAATGGTCATCTCACAGGCATCGGCAATCTCATGTTTTGTTGCTGCCACAAACTTTGGGTCCTTTGCATATTTTCCAAGTCCCTCTGATATCAATACCTACAGGAAAAATGACAAAATTCAGTCACGGTCTATACTGCATGTCACTGCTGCCATAAGAAAACTTATGTTTATTTTTATCATTTGAAAAACACCACTAGCCCTTAACATTGTGGAACTGTGTAAATTTTGAAAAGCAAACCTTTCAATAACAGAATGAAGAAAAAAAAAACAGCCAAAAAGTCCCTGTGTAGTTCAAAGGTACTCAAGGTCATTCCTCATCCTTTCAGCTATGATCCTGCATGTATTTTTACTTTTGTATTTTCATAGTCAGCATGCTGCTTGTTGTGTTCTCTCTCACAAGCAAGATGAGCTGTTCTCCTGCCATTTGCTTGGACAGCAACCATGACAATGGAGCTCTGATTGGTCAGCCTGATTTTTAGTGCATACAATGCTGAAAATCAATCTGGCTCTGATTAAACTTTTTACAGCACAGTCTATCAATTCTGGACTTGATGTGAATGATGGCGTTAATATGCAATTTAAAATTTTTCTGTGTATGAGGCCTCCACAGTGCATGCTTAACAGAAGTGAACGTTCTTTTGTCCCATTTCACAATATTAAAGAAAGGAGAGACGTAAGCAATGTGATCTTCCCAAGAACAACACTATTTCCTGATGACTCACCGCCTCTACCAGACTATGAGCACTGCCTCTCTGCTGCAGGTACTGACTGCAGTAGCCAGGTGGGATTTGCAGGTGGGAGCGGGTGGGTGTAGCTGATCTGTGGGACTTGTCATGGCCCTGCTGGGTGTACCAGGAGCTGCGGCGTGCAAGTGCTGGAGTGCTGCAGGTGCTGGGCGATGCTCCATGCCAGTCAACCTGAATCAGAGGGGTGTACGATGGGGGCGTGGCTGGGGGTGTGACCCATGAGTGGATAGAGCGAGTAGGAGAGAGTCGGCTGGAGTCCAGTCCAGCTACAGCCATCACCTAGGCAACAGGATGAGACTTTTCAGAATAGACATTTCATTTTTTTTGTTTAAAGGGGTGATACTAAAAATATGGGAATTTATCATTAACCAAAAATGTTTTAAAAAATGAAATCCATAATTTAAATATAGTTGGGTGTTTCTGCAACTGTGGGCAGTTTTGGCTGTCCAAATTGTATTGGATAACAGTGAAAATGTGTTACAGTGTTACAGTAAAGGCATTGTTTTTGAGCACAAAGGCAAACATTGCTTTGGCAGTCAACTTCTAATATGAAGTTTGAATTTAACATGAATGTAATTTTTTTAAAGATAGAAATTTAAAACACAAAAATGATAAATGCTAAACAGTAAAGACATGTGAAAAATGACTATGAAAAGAGATCTATAGACAACTAGATTGGGGTTCCAACACCTTTGTCCACATACTCTTTGAGTAACTTGTGTTTCATTTGAAAGTAGGGTTGTTTGGCTTTGAAAAAAAATCAACATGTTATGACACTACTAAACTATTTATGTGTTATGCTAGGAAAAAGTAAACATTTATTGAAAAATCCATTAACGCAACATTAACATAATGACATGATAAAAAGAATAACAGGAAAGAGTACTTAAATAAAATAAAACTGGAAATGGTATAGCCTATAATGTGCTTCCTAGCTACCTTGTTCACTTGCTGGGCACTCAGGCTAAGCTAAAGAAACTTAAGTAAAATGACCAGTGTTGTTTTTTAACTGTTAATACTACATTAATGCAGGACCCTAGCAATAACTGCAAAGGACTTTAAGGAAATCAATCAGCAGCCCCTTTAAAAGGTTATTCTGTGGAAATTGTGTCGATAAAGGGATGGTATGTGGATATATATATATATATATATATATGTGCTTAATCCTGAAAGTTTAGGGTCAGTTATGCCACACAAACCTTAATGCAGCTATGCAAAAGCAATGTGTGCAGCCATCCGTCTGAATGTATGCTGAGTAATGTTACCTGATGCTGCATTAGTTGCAGAGGTAGAGCGGTATGATGATGAAACGAGGGAGAAAGGGGGATCTCATCCTGGCTGCTTTGTCTGCGCAAACATTCAAAGTTGAAGGAAGGCCGGAGAGGAGCTGTATGAAAAATGAAACGTGCACTGGTCATCGAAAGAGAATATGACCAATACTGTCTTCAGCATACTCTTGTGCATTCTGGTCCTGGAGGCCCTCTACTCCTGCTCCAACAAACCTGATTCAACTACTGAGCTCATTCTTTTTAGATGAAATGGGTGTCTTAGAGCAGAGAAAACTTTACATTGTGGAGAACAGTGTTGCTCCGGAGCCAGGGCTGAGAACAACTGATCTAAGAGAATGAAAAGTTTGGTCATCCAGAGATTTCTTATCAAAGGCCTCAAGTTGCCTTTTTGTCCTGTCAAAAACTAGATTTAGTTTGAATGGACTGCATTCTGTGAACATCCAGATGGTGATATATTAAAGGAAGACCTGAATAAGTACAGGGGTACTGCAAGATACACAATTATTTTCTTCCTACCATGCTCTGCAGAATGTATCAAAATGCTGAGTAGGCTTAGTTGGACTTGATTTTGATGAAGATGGCAAGATATAAAGATCTACATGACTTAAAAGGTTTGGTTCATTATTGGTGCATGAATAGCAGAAGCTTCAGTCATAAAGACTGCCCAACTAGTGTCGCTCATTACAAAGACATTTGAGAATTCAGTGGTGTAAAAACTACAAACACTCTACAAAGATGTGGAAAACAACAATATGGTCAGATGAGTCATTCTTCACCATATTCTCCACAAGTGGGTAAGTGTATATGAGATGTACACCAAGAGGCCTGAATGCTTGAAACTTACATTGAGGGGGTCCCATGCCTCTTTTATACTGTGGGGCACACTTTACTTAGTATGGCTCCACTTAGAGGGAAAGGCCTCTGCAAATCAATACAAAGTTATTCTGAACAACCACCTTATTCTCTAATAAAACATTCTATCTTTATAGGAATGGTCACGTCCAGAAAGACAATTCCCACACCCAAAAGTCATTGAGGGGTCACTAAATGGTTCCAAATGAGTGTGAAAATCATGTAAATCATTCACTATCGCCACATCCCAACCAACTTGACCACGCATGAGATTTTGAATCAATGTGTTAGACAGCACTCTCTACCACCACCATCAAAACACTAACTGGGGGAATATCTATTAGAAAAATTATGTTACACCCCTCTAGTACAGTTCTTAAGTGCATTTATGGTAAAAACCTAAAGGATAACATAAAGAATAACATAAAGGATGTGATTCTGCAGGGATTAAATGAAGCTCAGGTCTTCAGGCCACTCTTTTGTAATACCGTTTCACTGCCTAACCACTTCAGATGTACAACCCCATTTCCAAAAAAGTTGGGACACTGTGCAGAATGTAAATAAAACTAGAATGCAATGATATGCAAATCATGTAAACCATATTTTTACCCCATTTTTGCTTAACATAGGATTTTAGCTGCTCAACAGTTCGATGTCTCCTTTGTCATATTTTTTCATTTTAAAATGTGCCAAATATTTTCAGTGGGTGACAGGTCTGGACAGCAGGCAGGTCAGTTTAGCGCCCAGACTCTTTTAATACAGAGCCATGCTGTTGTAATACATGCAGAATGTGGTTTGACATTGTCTTGCTGAAATAAGCAAGGCCTTCTCTGAAAAAGACGTCGTCTGGATGGCAGCATATGTTGCCAAAACATGTATATATCGTTCAGCATTAATGGTGCCTTCACAGATGTGCCAGTCACCCATGCCATGTGCACTAATGCACTCCTACACCATCATGAATACTGGCTTTTGAACTGTGCACTGAAAACAAGCTGAGTGGTCTTTAGCCCGGAGGACACAGTGTCCATGATTTCCAAAAAGAATTTCAAATGTTGATTTGTCAGACCACAGGACACTTCTCCACTTCCCCTCAGTCCATTTTAAATGAGCTCAGGCCCAGAGAAGGTAACAGCATTTCTGGATCCTGTTAATATATTATTTCTTCTTTGCATTTAAGAGTTTTAATTAGCATTTGTGGATGCATCGATGAACTGTTTTCACAGACAGTGGTTTTCAGAAGTGTTCCTGAGCCCAGTGATTTCCTCTACAGAATTATGTCCATTTTTAATGCAGTGCCACCTGAGGGCCCTAAGATCATGGCTAGCAAATACTGGTTTTTGACCTTGTCCCTTGCATACAGAGATTTCTCCAGATTCTCTGAATCTTTTAATGTTATTATGTACCATAGATGATGAAAAGCAAAAGTTCTTTGCTATTTTATGTTGAGAAATGTTATTATTGAATTGTTGCACTATTTGATCGTGCAGTCTTTCACAGAGTGGTGGACCCCTCCCCATCTTTACTTCTGAAAGACTCAGCCTCTCTAAGATGCTCTTTTTATACCCAATCATGTTACTGACCTGTTGCCAATTCACCACCAGGTGTTTTTTTAGCATTACACAACTATACCAGCCTTTTGCTGCCGCTCTCCCAACTTTTTTGGAACGTGTTGCTGGCATCACATTCAAAATGGGCAAATTTAAAAAAACAATAAAATTTCTCAGTTTCAACATGTGATATGTTGTCTTTGAAGCACTTTTAATAAAATATAGGGTTTAAATGAATTGCACATCATTGCATTTTGTTTTTATTTACATTTTTCACAGCATCCCAACTTTTTTGGAAGTGGGGTTGTATTTATAAAAAGCTTCCAGGAAGAAAAAAGCAGGGCAAGCCTATACCGATGCGATTAATGATGTTTTCTTTCTGAATAAACAATAAATATTGTCTCACTTTGGGGCGTTGAGGGGAGAAGCCTCCTCTTGGGTGACTTCTTGGGTTCCTGGAAAATGGGCTGCTCGTCATCATCATAAAAACACTCCTGGTACCCATCGGGAGTATCTGGCTCAAAATCACTGACGGTGTCCTGATACTCTCTGTGCGACCTATTGCAAGGTAAGGTAAGAGTATGAAAGAAATGAAGAGGCTAAGTGTTCAAGACCCCCAAAAACAGGTGGTGTGATGGCGATACCTGTCCCCTGAAAGCATTAGGTCTTCCTCGTGATACTCCTCTCCGCTGTAGTACTCCCCTGAGGCTCTATCATCATCGCTGGGTGGATCATGGGTGGAGTCTTCTCGGCAGATTGTGGGATAGCAACCAGCTGTCGCATCTGACCTGGAACATGAAGTTTTCTGCTTATTTCAAATTCTTATAGTCTCTGCTTAGAAAACAGTTACAACTACTTAAGCCACTAAAACTTGTTTTAAGGATTTTCATTTTTTTTTTTTATTAGGCTACATATAAATGTACAATGTAACTTGAATGTTTCCCATTCAGTCAATACACCCAGAGGGAAAACTACAGCTGAAATCTACTGTCACTACTACTGTGCTTTTCATTATAATAGCCAGCCAACTTTCACTCATTAGCAATTTTAGATGCCACAATGAGCATTTAATGAATGGATAAAACACTTTATAAAGGGATTGTAACTGTTTACAAATACCTAATGTAGGTCTCATAGTAACGTGGTCTGTCCCATCAGGCAGAGGGGTGACAAACGGACAAACAGATGCATGAATGTATGGATGGACGGATGGGTGGATGCATCATATAAAACAAAACATAAAACAGTAGAGCATTGACAAAGTAAGACAGATTTTCTGTTGGCAAAACATGATCTGTTGTGAGGGCGGATGACAAATGTGAGTATTGAGTAATCCATGTTCGGGACGGGGACAGAGTTCAGAGAGATTAACACATCAACAGTTAGAAAAACGCAATATGAGTTGCTCAATATGTGGGATAATTTCTTCCAAGGAAGGAATGTATTACATCGCTTAACACTCTGTAAATCGACCACTGAGAGTTATCAGATCATTTAGAAAAAAATGTTACGTGAAAGAAGTTTTATCATTCGCCTGTTAAAATCAGACAGCAGCTGGGTGTTTTTTTTTCTTTCACAAAAAACAGATTATGTATATTATTATGTATATTATTAAGTATATTCGTGTAGTGTATTTCTAACTAAGACATACAAACCCAATACCAAAAATGTTGGGACATTATGTTAATGCCAATAAAAGCAGACTACAGTGATTAGTAAATTCTGTTTGACCTGTATTAAATTGAGAATGGTACAAAAACAATATTTGATGAACTTTGACGAGCATGTTTACCACTGTGTTACATCACCTTTCTCTTATCAATACTTATAACCGATAAACATTTGGGGACTGAAGACATCATTGCTCATAAAGGACTAGACCTTTCCTGGTTGCTCCTTTCATGTCTAAGCATAACGGCATCACCTGTTTAAGATGTTTTTGAACATTTCACAGCATTTCTAGTCCTAAATTGTGCCTGTTCAAACTTTTTTTGAAGTGTGCAAGGCATCAATTTCAGAATGAGCAAATACTTACAAAAATTGGTAAGATAAAACATTGCATATCTTGTCTTTGTACTATTTTGTTCAAATACAGGTCAAAGTAGATGTACAAATTCCTACTTTGTGTTTTTATTTGTATTTTACCTACTGTTCTAATGTGCAATCGGGTTTGTACAATAAATTCTTGTTTTACAAAAATATTTGAATATCTAAACAGGACCTCAAATGTGGAACAACTTAAGAACAGATTAAAAAACAGTATAGTAAAATTAACAGATATGTACAATTTGAAATAGTCTGTATTAATACATCATATATATTAATCCAAATGTAACTATTCCCTGAAAGGGCTGTCACAATCATTTTAGCATTCGTGCTAATCTCAAATAGTTGTAATTAGGTGATTATGTAATAATTGTGACAGGCCTGTTCCCTAATATGCACTATTAAAATGTTTTGTGTGATCAGCAAGGAGTAATGGTCAACCCAAATAAAGCTCTCTCACCTCTTAAAATGAGACTTTTGGTGTGATTCTCCATCGCTCCTGAGGTTGAGGTAGGAACCCAGGGAAGAGACCCGGCTCCTGGGCCCATCAGCATGAGATGGACACTGCCCACCAATGGACAAGGTGGGCCCGCATGGCACGTTGGCATTGTTGAGGTTGGAGTTTGAAGATTTGGGAGATTTAAGGTATATAGAGTTGGGGTTTGAATGGGAGCAGGGGTGAAAATCCTGATTTGGGGAGTAGAGTGGGTGTGGAGGGGGATCCACCTGGATGTAGAAAGGAACAGGTGGGACTTGTAGTGGTCGCTTTGTAACATTAGTGGAATGGGTGGGGCCTCGGTGGTCTCCATTTACATGATTCAAGTGGTTTCCAAAGAGACCACCATTTCTCTAAAAAGAGAAGGTAGAAGATACATTACAACTCAGCCTTTACCCGTCCTTAAAAGTAATTTGGAGCTCTGGAGCTCAGTCATAACTTCAGAAACATGAGTCGTTGGGGTAATGCTAAAATCATTTATCTAAGAAAAAATGGTGATGCTTCACTTGAGCTCTGCTAGACAATGACATAACCATGTCACAAACACATCAGGGCAGACTTCATGTGCTGTCATAAATTGTTGTGACAGATTTTGTTCCATTACTGCTAACTGTCATGATAGATGCCACAATGTTTGATGTCAGCTTATGTCAGATGCTATTTTTTGACATGTACTCTGTTTGGTGTCATATGCCATGAAAATGAATGATAACGCTAACATAATACTGACATTACTGGACATAATTTGTGATGACAGAAACCACTGTCTAAACTTTTTTGAGATGTGTTGCAGGGATCAATTTCAGAATGAGCAGAAAAACTATGAAACTGATAAGGTAAAACACTACATATTTTTATACAGTTTTGTTCAAATACAGGTCAAATCAGATTTATAAAAATTAGTACTTACTGTTTTTATTTGCATTTTACCAACTGCCTCAACTTGGAATTGGCTTAGTACAATAAAGTCTAATTTCATTGTTCAAAAATATTTTAATATCTATAGGACCTCAAATTGGGCACGACTTAAGAACAGATTAAAAAAACAGTATGCACGTCTATATAAAGTGGACTATGTTTGTGGACAATGGTTATAAAAAATGTATAAGCTCATAGTTCTAAGTTATAAAGAGTTATAAAGTTATAAAGATTTGACTTGCTTGAGATTATGTTCTGTCTGTTGAATCCCCATTTAAAACAGTCTGTATTCATGCAAAATTCAAGTCAATCTAAATGTAACTACTCCCTGAAAGGACTGTCACAATCATGACAGTTTAGCTGATGATCATCATATAAATATTTGCGATTAATAATTTAATTGCTTTTTCTTGTACAAGTACAAGCCAAAAGCAGACAAACCGTCTTATTAGCCATCTTGCTAGTAATCTCATATTATGACAACTCATGATAGGATGGGACAGACATTTGCTATGATATGTTTATGGTATTGTTACATCGAAGTCATTTAGTAGGGTTCAAGTAAAGTGTTACCAAAAAATGTATATATACAATGATCTCTCCTTATTTACTCCTTATTTACCCTGTATATTTCTTCTTCCTCATCAGGGTTGAAGTCCACCAGGCCTTCATCTTGTAAGTCACAGGATATGGCTCTGCGAATCTCAGGGCCGATATCATGTAGTGTGCGAAGACCAGCCTATCACAAGACAAGGATATGAATCATGCACATACAAACACTCTTTCTCTGGCACTATCATGCTGTCTTGCTTTTATATTATCCAACTGTACATATTTTCCAGCACCGCAAACACCAAAACATGTACATGCATGCATCAAAGCAGTAAACATTGAACTGCTCCTGTGACACAAACATAGGTAATGACAAATATCATCAGTAATCAGTAATTCCCGTCACACAGACAAAGGTAATGACAATTATCATCAGCAAAGAGTAATTATCTGACAAACTCAAATGTCCCAACTAATGACGGTTTGTAGGTGGAAGATCAAATAAAATCTCACCTGTAGCGCAATGGTAGTGTTCAAGTTGGTGTTGTGCCGTCCCACAAGACCTAGCTCTTTGCGTTTCTTGAATTTCCTAAAGTAGTCCTGTATCAGGAAAGTGGCATAGAACTTCCCCACTGTTACCTCGTCATCTGAATGAACAGACCACACAACCCCTTTCTAGGTCAGCGAGTAATAATTATAACTAATTGTAACATAGGCAGAACCCACTGCCTCTGTTTTTGTCTTGTACAAAAGGCTACCATCCCAATAGTGTAGTTTGAAGTCAGAGTGCTATATATTCTGTACTGCATACTGAAACATTTATAATCCTGTAAATAGATGGTAAATAGATGTTTCATGTGGTCCTATCACATTAAAACAATGTAAAGAAAGTTCAAATGTAACTTCACAAAGGCCACAAGACTTTGTTAAGGCATTGTTAGTGCTATCAGTATTTTAAGGGATTATTCTTCCTCACCTCATTGATCTTTTAAAAATCACTAGACAATTTATACTGTTTTAGGTTTTCTTATACATTTATCATTTCTCATTTCCTTTATTAAGAGTTTCTTCGGCAGATCGCTTATCTTGAAAACAGTGGGGCCACAGCCAGCAGGTATCTCTTGAGGTCTTCCTAAGTATCTATTTGCATATTACAAGGCTGTTTATCTGAAAACTATTATCATCACGAGCAAAGATCATTTGTTAAGGTGACATGAATCATCTTCTCAGCCGAAATCTGATAACTTTTTCTATAATAACTACCAGTCACGTGCAGGTATGCATGTGCAAACCAAGTGGTACATCCGAGGCGTGCTTACATACTGAACTGTTAGCATTTACAGGAAGTTGTTTCTGTGAGCTGGAAAGGTTTAATTAGTTCACTAACAGACTACTTTATTACTACAACACAGAATGCACTTACAACACCAGAAGTACAATATTCAAATGTATACTACGCAGAGAGTGACAAACCAGATATTACAGGCACACCTAAACAGCTTGAATGAAATCATTACATGGAACAAGATGTTCAGCCAACTGAAGCTACATGATAACTGATGCCTCAGAACTAGTTCATGCAAAAGCAAGCAGCCACTAGAAAGCAGATGGTGTATTTTCTTAGAAAACAAAGTACAAAGAAAAAAATACTCTCATTAGGGTGGCCGAGCAGGTTTATTTTCTAAGAGCACCACAGATTAGAGTCTGAGTCACATTGAATAAGTGAGCTGGGGGAGAGATGAGTGACAGGTAACTAGTTTCATGCCACTGGCCTAAAACAGAACTGCTTCGGGTAACTCATTAGTGCAAGGAGCAAGAGCAAGCTAGCAGACTGAGCGAAAGATGCGCTGTGGAAGACAGAAGCTTACGAAGGAATAGAAAAAAGCATTAACAGGTAGCAAAGCATGCAAGCACTAATCATGCACTCTACAATCAAGCATTAGGCAGCACAACTTAGCAATGCAATGCTGATAAAATAATCCACAGCTAGAAAGTCAGACTTTGCATTTGCATTTATATGTTTTATTAATTTAGACTAGCATGGCAAAGAGAGGTCAATCAAATAAAATGTAGAGCAGTTGGCACATTGTTCAAGCAAACAAAAAGCAACTTTGTGAATTAACCTACTTAATTATCTGCAGATACCAATATGATTCCATTATCATTGTGCATTATTAATTACATTACATAAGACATTAGGTCATTAGGAGCATGTGAGGCCTTTTGTTTTGTCCTGCGATTACCATACTGCCTTACCTACCACAGCAGCATCCAGACTTGCATATTTCATTAACCTCTTAATACCTGCTGTAACATAAGATACTGATGACAAATTATAGAAAATGCCATTTTTGATTCTTTTTAGCAAAGTTTTGGTGCTGGTATCCTGCTGTTTCGAAATGGTTCAGAACCAGGTCCTAAATACACCTTTTCCCAGAAAGTCACTTGATTCTCTGAATTATCAGGTCATTTAGCAGCTAAAATATGAATAATGCTGCATACATGCTACAAACAATCTTCAAAGCAATTTTCAAAACTATTCATTTTCCCCACAGAGACTTCAGGTTAGACAGTTGTTAACAGCTCTGGGATGGGTTGTGTGTGTAGCTACTATGTTTTAGCTCTTTTTTGCTATTTTTGTATAACATGCCAAAACTAAAATATATTACACTTACAATTCATATGAAAATGTAACATGCTGTAATAATGAGTAATTTTGGCCAGTAACAAAAACTTTCCAGAGGTTCAATGTCCTACTACGTTGTCAGGCTCTAGTTAACCAAACCATGGGAATATATTTTTCCACATTTCCCTATGGCAGCATAGTCATAAAACCTACAAATTTTTTTAATAATGAAAATTCAGAATTATTTTGTGCATTAGAGAACACCTGGAACATTTATACTGTGAGCAAAGCTATGTGATTATGTGAATATGCTGTAATAATGTATGTGGAGATATTACTATTTTGAAAATAACACTAAGAAAGGAGCAGACGAGCAGACAAGTTCTGAGAAGGATGATTATGGAGTCTGGGGTCATCTTTTGCAACTGAAGTTTTATGCATTTTAAATTTGGTTTCAGAATAAACAGAACAGAAAGTGAGTTGTGGTGTTTGACAGTGGTAGTTATATGTGTATGTGTGCATGGGCATGAGAGACAAGTGTTCTTATTTATTCTAGAAGCAGCTATTCCCTCAGGACAACTAAAGATTAGATATAGACACTTGTTGTTCATCAAAAACATGTGTCTTTAATAAAAGACAGAACTTTACAAATAACAGATACTTTCAGGAGAAAGCAGGAACACTATAACAAGTGTGTTTGTGTGCGTGGGTGTTTCTAACCTCCTGCAGGGGGGACCACTTGATCCAGGAGTTTTATACTAGTTCTCTTCCAGATTTTCTTGATTACAGCCCTCAATTCCTCATTGGCCTGTTCCAAATTTCCTGATAGACACATTTGTCACAAAAAACACACACACATAAACCCATTCCAAAGATGTCTTCACGTGTAAAATCTAAATGTTTGTGCTTAGTTAAGGACTTGGAACACTATGGAACTCTACTGAGAGAAAGATCGGGTAAAATACCTTCAAATGAAAGGTAGGGCTGCATGATTTATCCTCTGTTTATCGTTATCCAAATATTGGCCTTTGTAATACTGACATCTTCAGATGTGCCTTGGCTTGCAACAACCTCAGATGTTCCATGTGAGTTTCTGTTAGAGTCTTATTTAATCAAGAGACTCACAAGAGGCAACAAGGGTAAATCATTTTGGTTAAAATATTGCAGGTCAATCTTTGACCTAAACCATAACCGTAAAATCAAGATGCTTTAATATGTTAGGCAATGGAATCACAATATGCTATTTTTTCCACATCATGCAGCCCTACACTCTCAGAGAAAAATGTACTAAACCGTCACTAGGATGATACTTTCGAGGGTACTTCTTCAGTACAGCGTCCTGACTCCAGGCTTTATATTACTTTTCTATTTAAAATTGAAGAAGGTACACTCTATGGCCAAAAATATGTGGACATTTTAACATCACACCTAGAAGAGCTTGTTGAACATGCCATTCCAATATCATGGGCATCACTATGGAGTTGGCACTTTGCCCCTTGTGGCTGGGAAGGCTTTTCACAAGATTTTGGATTTTTTTGGTCTGTGGGAATTTGTGTTCATTCAGCCAAAAGAGCATTTGCGAGGTCAGGCACTGATATTGGACAATAAGTCTTGTTTTGCAAACCATGTCTTTATGGACTTGGCTTCGTGCGCACAAACACAGTCATGGTGACACATGAAAGGCATTTCCCAAACTGTTGCCACAAAGTTGAGAGCATTAATGTTACCCTTCACTACAACTAAGGGGCCCAAACCCTGACAAACAGTCCCAGATCATTATCCCTCCTCCACCAAACTTTCTGTTGACACTATGCATTTTCACCCATCAGACTCCCAGATAGGGAAGTGGGGTTCATTATTCCAGAGGACACATTTCCACTGCTCCAGATTCTGTAGTGAGTGATGCCACAGATGACAGAAGATTTTTACATGCTGTGCACTTCAGCACTCAGTGGCCTGCTCCACATCATGGCTGAGATGTTGTTGCTCCTGGATTCTTCCATTTCACAATAATAGCACTTACAGTTGATTTGGCAGATCTATCAGGGCAGACATTTTAAAAGTCAGTGAGCTCTTCAGTACTACTCATTCGACGGCCAGTGTTTGTCTATGGAGACTGTGTGGCTATGTGCTTAATTTCATAGACTTGTTACCAATGGTTGTGGCTGAAACACTTGAAACACTGAATCAATCATTAGGAGGGGTGTTCACATACTTTTGGCCATATAGTATATAAATATGCACTTTTACCTGGAAAAGTGAAAGAAGTGTGGCTCTGAAACTCATTTAAGGTACATAGTTGGACCTTAAGACAATTATTGTAACTCTGAGGGTACACTTACATTGTTTGTACTGTTGAACAAAAATGTACCTGTACCATATCCTTTTTTTTGACAGTGTAGTGGAAAGACTTAACCACATGAACCACCTAACCAGAGTGAATCCCTCACCTTCGGTCTTGATCTTCAGTGCAGTTCTGACCAGAGCAAAGAGAGTGGCGTTGAACATGACTGTGCCATCACTGTTTAGAGGCATATTCATGGCCACCAGCCTCTGAAAAGACCAAATCAGATCTTATGTCATGCTAAAGCAGGCACTCGGGTTTAGTGTCATTATGTCAGCTCCATCTATTTGTTTCTTTTTGTGTGTGAGATTGTCTGTACTCGATGCAACTGCAATATGAGCTCATAATGAGCCCATTTTGGGAGCAAATCAGTCACGTTCTGTCTATCAGAGTTTACAGGGCATGAGCATGGAAAAAATGTAAAATGTGCTTTTCTTACTCATGCATATGCATTGGAAGGAGTGAGAGGATCATGTAGACAGTGGGTGGAGATATTGGATATTCATCTGATTACATATTCCATGTAATTTACGATTTATTGAGTAATATCCTACAGTTCTAATAAATCGAATGTTAAATTTAGGCACATTATGAGTGCTTATTTGCAGTCACATCAACATACATTTTGCACTGCATCTGCACTCATACATATAGCTGCCTCATAGTGTCTGTATTTAATGCTAACATGTACTAAGGCTGTACAGCGGGCTCCAAACTCTGCATAGGTTTGTCTTCTCACTGTAAGCACTTGGTTTAAAAGGCAAAATAAGGCAAAATAGTGAAGCCATCAACAAGCTAGAGACAAAGCAGAAAATACAGATTCGGTGAAGAAGAGACAGTGGTGTTAATGCAAATACATATTGCAGATGCACCAAGAAACATTTTGCGGTGTGTCTTCTTACACACATACATCTGATCCTGAGAACTGAAATACTGTTGGTAAATTATTTTTTCAGCACATGTTCAGGCTTGTGACTCAATTTAGAAGCTGAGTCTGCTGCTCTTGTTTAAGGAAGTCATTCAGCAACATGACTCTGAGACATTATTGCAAATTTAAAAAAAGAATTTCTCAGTTTAAAAGGAAAAGAAAAAAAAACAAAACTGGATGGCACCAGTTGCTCAAACTTTAGTAGGTCAAGCGGAAGATGTAATGAGCCACACATCCAATATCTTTAACCACTTCCTGTGTGATCTTCCCATTTAATGTGCAATCTTTCCTTCAATGCATACACACTTTTTGCATTTTTCTATGCACACTGCCCATAAACTGGGTGTGCTGAAGGAAAGACTAAGGCAGAGATAAAAAGAAAAGCAGAGAGTGCGAGGTTGTGTCTGTGACTGTCTTTTAATACTGTAAATGTAGAGGGAAAAAAAGCTATGATAATTTCTGGTATAACAGAAAACATTTGTTAAGAAACATTTGAAAATGTATCTCTTTAATTTAGCATTTGATGAAAATTCTACACCTACATTATTTATCTTTTTAATTTAATCTGTGCCATTGCCTTATATTATTTCAATTTAATACTGATAATTTCTTCTATAACTGTTAAGCTTTATAACCTGTCTGTAAAGCACTTTAAACAGCCACTGGTATGAAAAGTGCACTATAAATAAAGTTATCATTAGAAGTAGTATACTGTCATCTTTAATTTACCCACAAACAAATTAAAAAAAGGATGCAATGGGGAATGTTACATAAACTTTAACGTCTGAGAGTTAAAGGACAATTAACTTAGTGGTCCTCACATTGAAGCAAAAGTCCCTTTTGTAGTTGTGTGTGCAGACTTTTATTTGCATATGTGTCTGTGTACATGTTTGCATAGGCATCGGTCTGAATATGACTGTTGAAGTCCTCCGTACCACTATAAACATACACTCGCTGGCTACTTTATTAGGTATACCTGCTTTGTATCTACACTTATCGTCCACTTCATCAGCACTACTTACCATATAGGTGCACTTTGTACTTTTACAATTATAAACTGTAGTCCATCTGTTTCTCTGTATAACTGGTTGGCCCCTTTTTACCCTGTTCATCAGTGGTCAGGACCCCCAGAGGACCACCAAAAAGCAGATTTTCTTGGTAGTGACATGTAACACTGCTGTGTGTGATCCACTCAGTGCAGCTCACACACAACAGTGTTATTGGAGTTGTTAAGGTAGGTGTACCTAAGAACTAAACAAAATTGAGCTAATGGTGAACACTCTGTTCTAAGTACACTTAAAAAGGAAGTCAGTGTACATCTGAGCACCACTAAAATGCAGTCAGGGGAAGGTCTCGGATCAAAACAATGCAGTCAATAGAAACAATTGCAGGTCTCAGAGCGAACAATGCGGTAATTGGGAGTTCTGTTCAGCAAATGGCGCTCACCACACCGTACAAACTTAAAACACTGCTTAATTCAGACCAAAAATATCATTTTGCTTCGAAACACTCTTTTTGTTTGAAGCATACGGCCAGCTTATGTCTTGTCTTCATATTTCAGTGTACTTATTTGATCATGTATATTCTATCTGTATATACTAACAATACAGACAACTTTTCTTCAGGTTTAGATTCATATCTGCATTCTCAGTATCGAACAAATTTTGTATTCAATCATTTGTAATGTGTACGTGTGATCACATGTTTGTTCGCACCTTGCATGCCACCCGGTGGGGACACAGTTTGCCAAAGCCTAGTGGTGGCTGGATCCTACGCAGTAATGTCACCACATCCAAGTGTTTAATCCTGCCTCTGAGAGAGGTGCACACATTCTGTAAAACCAGCAACAACACAAATACAAACACACAGAGGAAATAAAGAGGGCTGAGAAGCTCACTTAGCCTCTGGGTCATATTCTGACCAAATCCTTTTGAATTCATCCAAATGATGGGGTCCCAGGATTGACCAGTCACGTGTCAGATAGTCAAAATTGTCCATGATGACAGCCACAAACAGATTGATGATCTGAAAAAAGAAAACAGCTATCAAAACCTTTCAAAATGCTTGAAATCAGAAACCCACACAATTGAAAGCACATTTTTGTGAAAAAAATATATGAGGCACAGAATGTTTGCAAGTACCAGGAAAGCACAGAGCATGTAGAAACTGATGAAATAAATGATTGCAAAACCACTGCCGCAGGTTCTCTCTTCACCAGGGTTGTAGTCAGACTCTGAGTCACACAGTTTACCAGGCAAACATGCTAGCATGATCTCCTGCCAAGCCTCCCCTGTAGCACACCTGAGAGCAAGAGAAAGATTAGAGCACATTGATGTCATGTATCTACACAATACTGTATCAACCAACCAACTTGCAACAAAATGCACTTCACACATGCGGTCAGGTCCATAAATATTTGGACAATGACAACGTTTAGTTATGTTAGCTGTCTACCACAGAATATTTGAGTTCAAATAATACAATGAATATGAGCTCAAAGTACAGACTTTCAGCTTTAATGTGAGGGTGTAACATCTAAATTAGATGAGCAATAGCACAAGTGCAAATACAGAGGAGTAGGAATTACATCCATTTCCATATATGCCCCCCACACCCATTTTAGGGGCTCAAAAGTAATCAGGTAAATTAACATAGCCATGGAATGTTCTGCAATGGTCAAATCAATTACCTGATCCAATCAAGCATGCAGCAAATGTCTGGCAGAGAATCACCAGAGAAGAAACTCAGTGTCTGATGATGTCTATTGCAGTCACTGACTTCAAAAGATTTGCAATTAAGTATAAAAGATGACAATTAAATATGACATTTATGATTATGTTACTTTGTCCAACTATTTTTGAGCCTCTAAAAAAGGGAGGGGGCGCGGTTCTGTATGAAAATGCTTGTAATTCCCACACTGTTCACCCGATTTGTATGTAAATACGCACAAATTAAAGCTTAAAGTCCTCACTTTGAGCTCATATTTATTATTTATTTTCAACTCCAATATGCTGTGGTAAACAGATAGAATAATAACTTCGTTGATGTCCAAATATTTATGAAGCTGGTTATACATACCTAAACAGCAGGAGTACAGCTTGCGGAAAAGTCTGGAAGTTGTTGTTGCGGTTGATGCTGGTGCCGTCCACCATTGCAATCTTCCCAAACACCTAAACAAACGCATGGATGTAAATTATATCAAAAATCTTGTATCAATTTTGATTATTCACTAAATTGCTAAAAAGTCTTGAATAATGAGCCTAGTTAACATGTCACTATACTGTCACTTTAATAAAACTGCAGTTACACATGAAAACACTTGGAAATATTTTAACCTGCATCCCAATGACAGCATAGATGAAGAAGAGCATGGCTATCAGCAAAGCAACATAGGGCAGAGCCTGAGAAAGAGAGGTGAGGGATAACAGAGAGAAAATAAACAATTAGGCCTTTCATGATCATGAAATTTGAGCTGATGATTAACTGTCATGTATCTAATTGCGATTAACAATTTTGGCTCTTCATTGTTCATCTTATGCAACTATTAGAGTACAAGCCAACGTGTCTAAATTAGCTGAATTAGCTAACATGCTTATTAGTAGTGTATATGTATGACCCAGAAATTGTTCTGTTTGGCTTTTCAAAGTTCTGTCCAATACCTTGATAATTGCATACAAACAACTGTTACATATGGTGTGATAATTGCTAAAAGGATCATTTTAGGGTTATGGAAATCAGACACCTCACCTACGTTTAAAATGTGGTTTAGAGAAGTCACAAATATTCTGCATACTAAGAAGCTCAGATATGAGCTTTCTGGTAGTCTTAGAAATTTTTTTAAAAATATGGAATCCTTTTTACAGTACCTAGCCAATGCACAGGATCATTAGGCTTGATGTAGCTGTCTTTTTCTTTTTTCCACACTTTCAGTCTTGAATCAAATACCTAACAGAAGTGTTATAGGTATGTGAACCTCTTGCAGTGTGCCATTTTAATGATATCATGTATAATGGGTCTAGAGATTTATTAATATATTTATTTTAATTATATATTTTTCTTCCTCTATTTTCCTCTGTTTCTATCTTTCTTGTTTTCCATTTTTATGTTATGTTTTTCTATCCTTTGCTCTGCTACATTTCAACAATATTATTGTTAACATTGTGAGAGCATGTAATATATCTGAAATTTCCATAAATAAATGTATAAAAACAAAAGCAATATTTACGTAATAGCTAACACTAGTTGTACTGTCAAAATCACACAATATACGGTTGTCTATAGTAACACAGAATCATATGTAGCATTCAAACAAGCTACAGTTTTTCTTGAGAGTGAAAATATAAGCAAAAAAGTCATTCTGCTAGCATACATGTTAAAAATGTTAGAATTAGATTACTTGCACTGCCCTAAACATGTTAGAGCACCAAGTTAGAACCTTTTTAGTTTAAATAAGCCCCATGATCTGTCTCAATGAATGCATTTACTACTTTCATTTATGCACCCAGTTTACATTTTCCTTGTTGCAGCATAAAACAGTCACGAAATGTAACAACTGTGGAAAATACTGCAGTCAGCTTAAATAACTGCTACCATTTCAAACAACTGCGATCATTTTAAATAATTGTGATTCAAGCCTATTCCAGCCATTGTTAAGAAGACACAATAAATATACCTGAAACGACTTGATGAAAGTCCAGAGAAGTGTTCGAATGCCCTCGCCTCTACTCAGCAATTTGACCAAACGCATGACTCGGAATAAACGAAAGAATGTGATGGAAATGCGAGCGCTGTCCTCTGTATTCTAAAAATCAAGGAAGAATGTCAATGAGAAAAAAAAATACTGACACTTCACTGAAAGAATAACATGGAAATATGCTTTTACTACACTCCTAAGCATTATAGTCCCAACACCACCAGAGGATCACAAAAAGCCCACATAGTATTTTGTGAACAGTTCTTGTTTGTGAGTCTGTACATGTGTGCTTCTATGTGCGCTTGAAACATTACAGGCAGGGACGCATGCGGAGAAAATCATCTACGTCAGCATAAATGATCACATCCACAATCAAATGCTGTGAACATGGACTTCATTTCCCATGGTGCACTTCATGCGTTAGCTGTTGCTGTCCATGACTTTGTGTCACTTTATTTTGAGACACATGCACTCAGTAATTTTGACCTCTTGGACAACTTCACAACTTTCTTCATCTTGCTTCAAAAAAACAGACACTAAAACATTCTTCCTTCCAAATACAGTCAAGAGACAGAAAAAAAACATGTAACAGAGGACAAAACATGAAACCAAACACTTCACCCAAATATGGACACTACTAAAAATGAATGAAAGGTAACTGGGGCTAAAGACACTGAGCATCTCATGATATGAAAAATGACCACCACTAGTTTTCATCCATTCTTAGCCATGTTAGCTTTGCTGGGTGAAGTATTTCTTTAACAAGTAACATTCATCAACATTGGAGGTAAGGGGCTTCTTACCCCTTGCTCCACTGCCACAACTATGGGAGCTTCAGTCTGCTTAAAAATCAAAGGGCTTATGTTAAAACTTCCCTACAACATCTTTCATTAAGACATGTAATAGTAGAATTTTAAATACAGAGTAAAATAGTATAGTATATAGTATAGTATAGTACAATAACACATTCTTTTCTTTCAAACTGTTCAAACTGATCAAACAGAATATACTATTTAACTCCACATGCATGCTATCAAAATGAAAAATTGTGCTGTATGTCCAGAAACTCTAAACAATATCTGATATGTGGTAAATGACATGGCAACTGTTTTTTTTTTACATATACACTGATATAGGGCTGTCACTATTGATTAGTAATGAAGTACGAATGGATTATATTAACAATTAATCGAGTAAGCAATGTGTTTAGGCTAACCTATCATAACGGGGTTAACTGAACATACCACACTATAATAACATAATGTGCAAAGCCTTTCAAAGATGGCAGAACTCACTGAAAGTGCTAAGAAGATGGCAAAAAATACAAAAAAAAAAAATCCTACCCAAATCTTGTATTGGTCTACCCCGAGGTCCACTTATTAAGTTTGTGGGGGTCTATGTACCTAAAACACTCATAATTCCCTTTTAGATGAATTTTTCTATATTCTATTTATTCTTTATTTTATTCCTCTTTATCCCTTATAATTAAACAAGTTCTTTATGTTACTGTGCCTATTAGGCTAATATACGTAAAAGAGCTCTGTTCTGATTGGCCGCCTTGTATTTTGTCACATTAATAAAGCAATCGAGGCTGTAACACTCTTTTTTCAACATATATATTAAAATAAACTTCGGCATGAGTTGGCGCGCTAAACTGCTGTAGGCTGAAAAAGAGGACACGTGTTTTTGTGGGATATTCCTGTTTTCAAACATGGAGTAAATGTTATGTTTTGAAACTTTTACATTCTACACTAAGTCTTATTTCAAAAAAGTAAGGAATTTTGATTTCATATGATATGGGTGCTTTAATGCAGCAAGAGAACTTGAAATATGCATTATTGGGGTATCTGCAGGTATCAGCAAAATCCTTGTATTCTTTCTCAGTAAATTTTCATCTTTCAATTTATTTATTTATTTATTCTGGTTTTGAGGAATCTTGGCCATGTTCTGGCCACTCATATCACTATATAGCAGTATTTAATGCAGAAATCTGCACTTTTTAAGTACCTAGAGAACCACCACTAAGATAATGTTAATTTCCACTGGATAATTTCCACTGTTCTAAGGGAATCTCAACATTATGTTAGCAAACAGTGGTGCACCTTCACTTCCACACATTTTTACAGTGAATCTTTCAGAAAAGCTTAATTCTGAATATTACTGGAGCAGTCTGTTGGCCTGTCAGCCGTCTGCCCAGCCAAAACCTAATTTGCAACATACAAGCTTTCATGGAATCCTGCTGGTAAGGGTTTCCTCTCTTGCAATGGTGCACAAAAAAGTGCTAACAGCTCCACCTTTTGGAGAATCTTCTAAACACAGCTTTATAATGACCTGTGGATATCCTGTTCATCGCTTAAACTGTGAACTAATCAACTAAGTGGATTCATCATGAATGTAAATTTAAATAAATTAATTTATTTAAGTAATCAATTCATGTCAAGTAATCGTGACAGCCCTACATTTATATATTTAAGACATTACATATTTATATGCAGCACAGAACAGTTTTATGCACTGCATTTACATGTAGCATGGAAGGTATTTTTAGCATGCTTTTACCTACCCACGTTCTGCCCTCAGCCTTTTTCAAATCCAACATTTACATTTCGGCAAATTACATACAAAAACACAGAAATATAATAAGTAATACGTTCAAAAGGCTCCACCTTCAGTTAAGGTTCAAAACATCCATTTTGGGAAATTAAAACTAAATATACTGTAAAAATGCAATATGGGATGTGATGAACATAATTATAATATGGAATATATGCAAATACACTACAAAGCTGCATTAACATGTGAACAATAGTTTGTGTGTCTGTGTGTGTGTGCGCATACATTTGTGAGAACACAGAACACATAGTAGGCAGTAGCAAATACATAAAATATGAATCCAAAATTACATTGCAAAGCAGGGGAACATTAGAGCATCAACTCTTTGAGGGTGTAGGGCCTTGCAATTACTATGGAGCACCTCTATTCACAGACAGGTCTATGTATTGACTGAAAAAATTCTAGCGCCCCTTAAAGGGGCTGCACTGCAAGACCCTTCACTTGAGAGGTGGAAACAGCCAAGCACACAGGTTCACCACTACTTACATTGATCTCTGTGATTGCAATGTCAACGACGCTACCAACAACAATTAAGGCATCAAACGTGTTCCATGCATCGGCAAAATAGTGCTGCTCACACCCACCAAACAAGATATGGAAGAAGAAAGAAGAAGAGAGTGAAAGAGGGGTGGAGAGAATGAGAGGAAAGAGAGACACAGAAGAAAGTCAAAGTTATGATAGTACAGCCATAGAAACAGAGTTGAAGAGGACACACTGCGTTTGAGACACATCTGCTTTAAGTAGTTATTAAATATTACATGCAGTCTTAAAGGGAAATTTCCAATTTTTCCACATTTTTTCATAATTAAATTGCTAAGATATAAACAAAGTCACTGAGAGTGTTTTAATATGCAGCATTCTAGAGAAACTTACAGAGTCAGAACTGTGTCAACAGTGTTCATCTGGTGTGTTTAATGCCTCTAAAAGATTTCTCACAGAACCCTGTTATGATGGTTATGAATATGCCACCTGAGAAACTGGTTTACAATAGTTTTGAGATTGTTATTTTTAAAGCACACATGGAAGAGGTGTACATGCAGGGTGATCTAAGGCAAAATAATAACCAAAGTAACCTTTGTTTTTTATAGATTTACCACTATTTTACCCATATCAACATTACACATAAAAACCCAGAAGTCATGTAGGTTCACTGGTCATTTTGGATAATAAATACAATGGCTATAACTGTACTATAGACATCAAAACCTCTGGTTCCTATCTAAAGGAATCTTGTGAAGAAATCAGAGCTGGCAAGTTTCTCTACAATGTGCCATTTCTTGTCATATCACTGTGAATGATTTTGTTTACACCTCAATGAATAAACTATGCAGAATTTTGAAAAATTGGTGGAATTCCCCTTAATGCTGAAGCTAATACATGCATTAGTGAAGATAACGTTTGCAATTTTTTTGTGTGTGTAAAAAAAAACCCTGATTGTTCACTGAATTATAACTTTTATTACCTGTTATTTAACTTAACTGGACTTCATCACAAATGGCCTCTGTTACAATGTTAAGATTTTCGCAAGCACAGTGGACCCCTTAGCAGAGCATGATCACCATAGACACAGATTTCACAGATCAGACTCCATAACAGTCTCCATAACAGTCCTTACTGTTAACAACTTCTAAACCTCCATCGTAGGGCTGGCCTGAACTGCATTCTACAGGCTTTGAATACTCATTTCTCTCAAAACCACTCTTAAAACAATAACATTTCCATTTCATAATTAACCATAATTTTAGGTTTGTTCATGATTGCAGTTCAAAATACATCCAGTATGTGGCAATAATGTATTGATAGTGTAGGGCTGCAACAAACATTCCACAATATCTCATAAATCAAGATGATCAAACAACCAGCATGATTATCACTTTTGTGAACCCCCAGACTTTTGTGGGGATACCCACATTAGCCTTACCAGCAAGACATAGCTGTTAGCTCTGCTGACCCTCACTCTGCTCAGCTCAGTGCGGACTCCTTGAGATTTGACATAGCTTGTGAGACTCTTGCAATTCCAAGCGACGGGATCAGTTTTAACTCCAGGTTTTTAACTCAAATAAATTTCCTAGATTGGTAGCTAGAGAGCAGGTTCTCGGTTGCTTTATTACCAAGAATAAACCACAGCATTCCAGTTAGCTATCAGTTTAGTTTAGAGCGTGCTCCAGTACAAAGCAGTTTTGACCAGCTAAAAAACCTCATCACTCCCCTGTTCACTGACAAGAGTTGACCAAAAAAGTGTTACCATTTTTTAGACCATGGTTAAAAACGAATATGCTGTTAACAAATGCTGTTGCTGCTTTGCTGTTCAGATCCAGATCAGGGTTGCCAGATTGGGTAGATTCAGTATTATGATGCAGCTTTTAATGAAGCTGTATTAAGAAGCAAAATAAATAAATACAATTTATGCAATAGTGCAAAAAAAAAAAAAGCCAACAATAAGATTGGCTATTTAAACAAAATTACATATTTTTTCAAATATTAAAATATTCAAGATAATATTCAAAAGAATATTTGAAAATGATATTGCATAGTTGCAGCCCTATAATAGTGATAAATGATATTACTATAAATGTGATACCAATGACAGCAAGTAAGGTTAGCTTACCAAGCGCTGCTAAAATAAAGATCACTATACTTTCTTATTTGAGAACATCAAAGTTGTCATGCCTCTGTGGTACACTAACCTCTTGCTCCAAATGTTGCACTTATTATCTAATACCTAAAAATGCTCCAATACATGATTTCATAGGTGTCTTTGTTCTTTTGGCCTTAATGGCCACAGTGTAGTTTGTTGCGCTCTGAGGCAAGGTTATACGGACGCCTGCCATGAATTAATGATGCATTCAGCTAAACCTGGTTTATTTATTTTTAACATTTTCTACATATTAACAATAACTGTTCTATCTAAAGGCCTTTACTCATTAAATTTATTGTAATTTAGGCAACAATTTCCATGACTTAAAAGAGCTTCAAATTAATAAATTAAAAAAAAAATAGCATCGAATACACAAATATTAAAAGCATTCTGGCCAGCCCTACTAGAGCATCACAAAAAGATCGTAGATGTAGAGCCTGTGGCCAGGAGGTATGGTGTCTGCTCTGAAAGTCAAACTCAGTATACACAAAATTTGCAGAGGAGATTGATAGTACGAGACCTATGCCTACAGAGACAAGCCCAGAGGGCGAAAAGGAAGGAGGGAGAGGAAAGAGGCATAAGAGGATGAGGGAGCGAGGGAGGGAAAGGCTGTACTCACATCTACCTGACTCAGAATGATGTCTACTACGCTGCCAATCACGACCAGGGCATCAAACACATTCCAGGCATCACCAAAATAACCCTACGCAAAGAAGGTTAATATCCAGCCAGAAAGGAGAGGAGAGGACAGAAGAAGGGAACCAGGAGGATAAAGAGGGAAGGGAAGGGATGGGGTTAACATAACAGTCTGTGGGACAAAACTATGGGATGTATAAGGGAACCCTTGGAACTGTGAAATAGAGGAAATCTTATATTTTCCTAAAGGGCCCCCAAATGTTAGAAATAACAATTCAGGCAAGAGTTCACCATGGAATAACTATACATACTGGGGTTAAAATGAAATTAAGGCAACTTACCCTGGGTTTGAAGGCGATGAGTTTGAGGATCATTTCTACTGTGAAGACTCCTGTGAACACCATGTTGAGAATGTCCATGGCATAGTTAAAGAGATGAGACTGGCCATGATGCTGTATGAAAGTCAGGGAAAGGGAGGAAAAAGAATGACCCAGGTTAACATTTTAACTTTCTTGAATTTGGAATTCATTCTGACAGTACTTACATGGGCTGGCAACTCAACTGCAAATATTACAACTATATCAATGATACTAAAAATCTTTGACTTAATCACTGACCAAAGTCTGAATTGAAACAAGAAAAAAAAAATTTGATTGAAAAGCTAGAAAAACTCCTAACTCTTAAAACTGCCTAACTGGGACTGTGTAGGTGTTTGAGACCAAAATCACTATCAGACTGGAAGTGACTACAGTAACTGCAACAAATACAAGAAGCAATTTGGGCCAGTCATCCGTTAACATTTGATACACAGCATTTGCTAAAGTTGTGGCTATGCTGTGACTTTGATGATGGTGACAAATCATTTAAGCAAAGATATGTCAATTAAGTTTGACTAGCCAACAAACTGCAGTAGAAGCGAAAGTAGGCAGTTTTCAAGAAAATTCATGCATTACAGTCAATTTACCACAGTTAAGGGGTGGTGTTTTTTAAAATGCTGGGCTGCTAGCTTGATGGTATTCCTTCAGGCACAGCTAAAGAGACTTTAGTTTGTGTGGGGCGGTGGTATGGGGCTGTAGTAAGAAGCCACTGACAGAAAATCTGCTGTAATAGTTGGTTCAATCTATCACTTCGTATACTGGTGCCTTCCAACTCAACTCAAATCCAAACAAGGAAACATAAAAGCGCAAAATCTCTCAACTGAAATGACCAATGTTCTTTATTTGGCAATCAATCATGCATGAGCCTGTAGCTACAAGTATAAAAAGATAAACAAAATATGTTAACAGGTTCTTTAAAAGAATACTTAATTACTTGATTCATTCTATTTTTCATTTGCTTGTTAAACATTCAAAACATTTTTTAGGCCATAATGAAGTTGAGACTGATTTCTCAGCTAAATCTGGGGAATAATATCCACTGTTGTTTCTGTAGAACTGACAATAAAGTAGTGAATTATTATTACAGCTTGGACTCCTCCCTACCTGTATGGCCAGGCAGAGTGTGTTGAGGATGATGAGGATGAACATGACGTATTCAAAGCCAGTGGAGTTTACCACATACCAGAACTTGTACTGATAGCGGTTCTTAGGAATGTATCTCCGCAATGGACGTGCTTTCAAAGCATACTCCACACACTGACGCTGTTGAGACAGACAGAAACAAACCCACGCTCAGAGATTAAGCAAGCAAGCAAAAGGACAGCACAGTATAGTATTTTGGTGCCCAGCATGGTATATGGGAATGGCTTGGTCTGCCAGACAAATTAATCAAATTCTCATCTAGGTTACTGAAGTTTTGCGCAAAAATATTGAGGGCTATACAAGATCAGCTAAAACTGGCTGTAAATGTTTAATTTATGTTTAACATGTTTTTCACACAGCCAACACAAAGAAACGCAAATGCAAAATCAAACCATTGTTTACCACTTCGTTTGTAATGACTGGGGTCAAACAACCTTTTCCTGTCTCTTTGGCTAGTCCAAATGTTACCTGGGTATGCACAGTGCTGACTCAAATAAACACTCTTTGCTACCGTAATTAAAAAAGGTGCTACGTCGGAATTAAAAATTATGTACTCCTGTATATAATGTTAGCACCAGAAAGCACAGATGCATATTCAGTGGTCTTTACTCCTGCTTTTAGCAAAAACACATATGACTTATGGTGTCACAGAGCTGCAGCAACACCTGCTGGACAAGAAAAACTCAGCTGTGATTCTTGGACTGTACCAGAGTGTGCTTACAGCTTATTGCAAATATCAGCATTTCAAAAAGGAAAATACATTTTCAGATTTTGTTAAGCTTTCTTTTTTTTAACATAAACTGAGCATTTTCAACTCTTTTTGTTAACTCCCTGTATGCATTCTTAAATACACTATTTGGTCACAAGTATATGGACACCTGACCATATTCCAAAACCATGGCCATTAATGTGGAGGTGACTCCCTTTTGCACCTATAAAAGCATCCACTATTCTGGGAAGGCTTTTCACAAGATTCTGCAGTGTGTCTGGGGAGTTTGTGTCCATTTAGTCCAAAGCGCATTCGCGAGATCAGGCACTGATGTTGGATGAGAAGACCTGGCTCACAATCAACGTTCCAATTAATTCCAAAGGCGTTTAATGGGGTTAGGGTTGGCAAAGGTGGCATCCTCTGACAGTGAATGTTAAAATCACTGAGCTCCTCAGTATCAGCAATTCTACTGCCAATGTTTGTCTATAGAGATTTCATGCTTGTGTGCTTGATTTTGTATACCTGTTAGCAATGAATGTGGCTGAAACATCTAAATGTAATCATTAGGAGGGATATCCACATACTTTTGGCCATATTGTGTATCTCTTTTTACTGAAACATGAGCATAACTGAAATGTAAAATGCAAAGGTTTTCTTTTTAAACTTATGATATGTACCATAAATCATGGTAATGTGACTGCAAACAACAACAACAACAAAAAAAAGAAAACAAAAAGAAACAAGGAAACACATCAAGTCACTATCTAAAGGAAAAACCTCTCTGACCTGGTTTTTGTCCAGCTCACAGTTCTTATACTCTTTCTCTCCCTGTTCCTGGAAGGTGACAATGACGAAACCCACAAAGATGTTCATCATGAAAAAGGCAATGATGATGATGTAAATGATGAAGAAGATGGAAATCTCTACACGGTAGTTGTAGATGGGCCCCATGTTCTCTCGGTTTGAGTCTATGGCCTTGTATAAGAGTCTAGAAAGAACACAGACAAATAAAAAAGAATAAACAGATAAAATATAATAACTAAAATAACATTTAGGTTTTGAACAGCTTTCTAAATCTGTGCATCTGTTTCCACATTTGAAACTCAAATAGACAATGTACAAATTTGTGCTTTAAAGACAGATGGAGAAGGTAAGTTTTCTTACGCTGGCCAGCCCTCAAAGGTAGACACAGTGAAGAGGGCCATCATAGCCATCAGGACATTGTCAAAGTTAAAGTCACTGTTGTACCAGATCCTCTCCCGCACTTGCGGCAATGCATTATCGCCAATATTATACAAAATGTAAGTCCCCCTACAGAGAAAGGAAAAGAGAGGTTGAGCACATGATCTCAGTTCACAGTAAAATCACCAGTGTTAAATTACTGCAAATGAACCCCTGTAGTGTTCATTTGATTCAGCCTTGTACAAATTAATGTAACAATGCTGATTAAATTATCTAGTGCTATAACAAGATGCATATACTGTTAATACTCACTTGCATTCTTCTGGACTTGACTTAGCTTCATCTGTGCAACGGTAGAACTTCCCCTACAGAAGGTTGACATATTACACTTCATTTCTTGTTAAAACAAAAAAAAGTTTCTAAGTAACTTTTCTGTTTGTCTGATGGTGTTGATCGGAGTACCTTGAAAAGCTGCACCCCAATACAGGCGAACATGAATTGCAAGAGAGTGGTGACGATCATGATGTTGCCAATGGTTCTGATGGCCACAAACACACACTGTACGACATGCTGCAGAGAGACCAAACGTCATCAGATTAAGGCTTAGAAGTTCAAAATAAAGCCCAGAAAGAAGAAAAGAGTTATTTTATTTCATGTTAGACTAAACATCAATATATTATGAGTTAGGGAACCTTATAATATTTGACTGCTTAATCTTTGAATGAAATAATTTCATAGCTATGATAATTTGGATCCATGAAATGAAAAAGTTTAGCCTACTTGGCGATTACAACCAGTCTCACCTCGATGTTCATACACTATCACAAAAGGCCAGCCTTTACAGTGATCTAATTGGCCAGCACTAAAAAGAACACTCATAAGACTTCTTGACTGTAAGCTGAACTTTAAAAAGTGACTCTCCCACTGAAATCATTTGGAAACCGCACTGTTCCTTATAAAATAATTTTCATAATGAAATAAATAAAATCAAATAATAATTTTACATAATTAATTTTTGTAGAATGTTATTCAATTTTTCAAAATAATTATTTAATGAATAATAATTTAATCATTTTCTTGCACAGACAGGGGCTACTGCAGCCCACCAGCTACCTTACTTCTCGTGGTTATGATTGATTTTATCATAAACTTTCAAAGCTCTACATGATTCCTATCGTTTTATGCAGTTCACTGACTTCAATGTTTTCTGTAGCAACAGAAAACTGTTTTTATTACAGTTACATCACTAATGCTCCCTTAGAAATATACACACAACTCCACATTCTATGCTTTGGTCTTTGCTCCGTTTTCACAAACTGACCAATGACCCAAGCAGAACATCTTACTTTCAGTCCTTTGGCTCTGTTGATGGCTCTTAGTGGCCTCAGCACACGCAGCACTCTGAGAATCTTCACCACAGAGATGGCTGAGGACCTGTGGACACAACACACAACTCACATTCAACTGTGCTTTAATGCTGTGAAAAATGTGTGAAATTTTGGTATTTTACATTTATCATTCATACTAATTTAAATCTGTGATGAAAAACAGAGCCCAGAAGGTTGCCCAAGTCATTCAAACATTTTTGAAATCTTCATGCTGTTTGCTTAGTGGAAAAAGAAAATCTTTTTCAAATCTTAGTAAAAAGTGTTTGAAAGCTTTGGACAATGTAATAAATGTATGAAAACCTGTGGCAAAATGGAATACAAGGACTGCTTCTGGCCTTCATGTTGGCAGACTAATAAAACCGTAAACCAGGAGTGCACAACTCTGGTCCTGGAGGGTCAGTGTCCAGCAAAGTTTAAAGGTTTCCCTACTCAAAAATACTTACTAAACCTGGCAATTCACCTATAAATGTAATCAGCTGTGTTTAAGTAGGTAAATCACCAAACTGTGCTGGCCACTGGGTCTCTAGGACCAGAGTTGTGCACCCCCAGTTCACAGTTTTTGTATTGCATATTGCCGCTGATTATTTGTGTCCATATATTTATTACACTGTTCTGTAAACTACTCATCAATTCCTTGTAATCAGCAGTAACCGGTAAAGATATCATACAATATTAGATTTACCGCACTTGACATTCGCAAGTGTATGTGAAGTGTACTGTTGGGAACTGTTGTCATGTCTGGTACATACTGTATCCCAAAGGACACCAAAGAGACTCCAACAACCAGCAGATCCAGCAGGTTAAAGTAGTTTCTGCAGAATGCTCCTTTGTGTAGAAATGCCCCAAAAGCTGTCATCTGAATGAAAAAAGAAATGTAAGAGGACAGTTTGAACAATAGAGTGCTGCACAGATGTACAAATGAGTGCTTGTCTTGGTGAAAAAACTCCAATCAGGAATCGCTGCCACCCACTTGGCCAAGCATACCTCTGCACATCAACCACATTGTATATTTACTACATTTTCTTTTACAAAACATAAAGGTACCCAAAAGCATCTGGGGGGCAATTTCTGACTGGGGCTTTAAAGACAAGCACATTCATTTCAAATATCTAAAGTTTTATTATGTGTAGAATGCACACTAAGTGCAGTACTGATGTTGGATAGCTCAACTTCATTTTCCATATACTGACTTCGTAAACATTACTAGGAGCCTATAAGGGCTGAGAGTAATAAGTTTAAAGATTCTGAAAAGGAAAAAATGATGCTGTCCCAAAGCACTGACTCTATCCACAGAATTAGAGAGCGACAGGTCAAATTTGTTCAGATCTGAGCACTTATTTCATTGGGTCTCGCACTAAGAAAGAAAATGCAACACCAAAATAATTTGTTTGACATATGTTACTGTTCAAAAGTTTACTAATAACTGTCATTCTAAAATAACTCAAAGTATATACTGAAATGTTATAAACCAGTCACCAAAATGTAAACCAATGGTTTATTTATAACTTTTACAATTTTTTTACAAATGTTATTAAACAATAAACTTATTATCTATTTATAGTAATATCCTGTCACAAAATTACTAGAAACAGTCTTTTGATCAGTGAGATTTAGTCACTGCTTTTTGAATATGAGGCATTCTGAAAGTAAACTGCGCCATGCAATTTTATTATTATTTTAGAATCATCCACAGCTCTGTTCATCATTGAAAATGTCTTTACAGGTTTCAAATATATAGAATATCAAAATCATATTAGAATCAGTTATTCACATATTTGCAACAAAAATGGCTTTATATTATTAACAACATGATTCCAAGCTTTTGAATGGTAGTGTACATCGCTCTTCCACTGTCCACTATAAATATGAATCCTTTGAATAAAGTTTATTAATTTTACTTTTTATTGTGTAATTACAAGTAATACTATTCTTACTTGTAATAAAACAATGCAAGGTTTGGAAGTTTTCATCACTTTTTTTTATATCCTTGGCCTATTTGGCTGATGATGATGCCTTTTATGGCAGATTAAAAATCATTTAGATGCTAGATGGCATTTATTATCTGACTTAAAATTAGCATTAGATTCAATCAGCTTCATATTCAGTTACAGTATTGCTAAAGTATTCAGTATCTGCATTAAACTGATAATTCATTAGGACATAAGAGAGATCGGAGATCTGACATATGCTCTTCTAGATTTCTGTTTTGTTTAATTTGTGATGTATTCAACAAATGTCAACACCTGTCCTGAACTACACCATACAAAACACAACTCAGAAAAGCACAAGCAACCACAGTGACACAATGACAGACTGTCTCCAAGTCAAACAAAGACGACTTTGATGTGCAAAACACAGCCATAGATCTCTGAAGTCATGTGCCTTTTTGCAGTTGATGCCTTGCCCAAATAAGGAGCTCTGTTTCTTGTTGAAAAAAATAACATTTCTGAAAATTGTCAAAAGTTATCACGCCTTGTGGTAAAATAATTGGTCCAAAGCCAATAGGTTTTGTTCTATGTACATAACCAGATGTCACTGGATCCTCTGAATTATGAGGTTGTATAGTAGTCAAAATATGAATATTGCTACATAGATTCTATAATCATATTAACATTGCTGGGCATGGAAGCAAAGTTGCATCAAAGTAGGCCAAAAATTAAACTTCAAGACTATTATATAATAACACCAGATACACCTGATTTACTCTACTATGTCAAAGCACCTTCACTACCACACTTGACAAAGCTTGCTGGTTTGTGTGGGGAGTTGTGGTTACTTCTTACGATGTCAACATGTGCAGCACAGTTAGCATGCATTAGCAATATTCATATTTCTACTCTTCAACAACCTCATAATTCAGGGCATCTAGTAATATCCAAAGAAAGTATGTACACAAAACAAAATGCACCAGTTTGGGAACATTTCATCTTACCATAGGACACCATACAGGTGATTTTTAAGAATGCCATTCATTTTTCTCATAGACAAAAAAGGCTTAGACCTTGTGTTCCTTATATGGGCATGTCATCATCTTCAAAATGACAGCAAAACATTTCTGCTGACAACATACAAACATATCAACCATAATCAGACATAGTTTACAAATATAAAAACATTCAGGCTTCTTAAAATCAACCCTGAGCACTAACACTTTCTTCTTGTGTTTAAACATGCATTTTTTAAATGGAGGGAGCAGCAGCAGCATTGCCATTGTCCAGACACTGGGGATTAAACACATGAGTGACTGGTACAATTAAATATTTAACTTGCAAACAGACAAAAGGAATGACACAGAGATTCAGTACACTGGTTTAGTGAAAACTGATTAATTAAATCCAGATCAGCCCAAACTGGAAAAACTGCACTGTTTAACATGTCATCTCAAATTGGAAGAATGCTGCAAAAAATTTTAAGAAGGTTTTTTTTTTAATCTATGACTATTTCTAAAAGAACATCACCTTGGATGCACTGAAATGTGGACATGCATGCAGATGCAGTGCTGTGTGCGTGAATTACAAGATGTCAGAGGGCAGATGTTTGTGGAAATACAAAATGAATGCCATGCAACTGTATGCACCCTCTTTCACTGCGCTTAGTTTGAAAGTAAATTAAACATCTGGCAGTATGCGAACCTAAAGTTAAATCATATGAGACATGACTGAAAGAAATACTTCATATTTAAGGCATGGGAAAATGTCTAGGTCACTACATTTCAGATTGGCAATGTATAACTTTGAGGACTTTCTAAACACACTGAATCAAGTTGAATAAAAAAAAAATCTGAAATTTAATTCTGAATAATTTGATCTTGCAGTTCTGCACAAGTATGCTCAGCAAAAATAGCTAACATCTATTCAACATGCCTGCAAAACTACAAAATCTAAATATTTATGATTAATGTAGTGAACTTTAAATATATATATATATATACATATATATATATATATATATATATATATATATATATATATATATATATATATTAGGGCTGTCAGAGTTAAAGCATTCATAGTACATAAACACAGTAAAGAACTAAAGTATTTTCCTAACTTCACCCTTCAAACCATCCACAGCACACAAGGCAATCTTGACATCTCAACATTTGTAGCAAACCTTGTCCCTTCACAGATTTACAGAGAACTCCAAACACTAAAGGCCTGTACAAACAAAGCACCTTATATTTGGAGGATTTGTCTTTTGAGACTAAGACAAGTATAAAAAATGGGGGAATATTCTGAATCAGATCTTTTACTCTAATCTCTTATATAAAAATGAGGGCTGTCAAAGTTAATACCACTAATTTTTTTAACTGTCTGCTCTCCACTAACTGTTTACGCCCTGCACTTCAAAAAAAGGGTTAATTGGCTTGTAACTACAGCTAAACCCTCGTTGGTGCTTTAAAGAATCCTTCCTTCAAGGTTTTTTAAAGATTCATATACAACAGGTTTTCCATCATAGAAAAGAACCAGGAAAAGAAATATTCATGTATTTATTTACCAAAATGCAAGTTTCAGTAGTGAAATGACTGTTTTCTTAGTGATAAAAGGGAATGTTAAATCATTTGTTTTAGTAAAATAATCATAATTAAGGTATAGGGTCTTTCAAAGCAAATGGATTTTAGTCTAAAGTCCAAGTCAGTTAAAAGTCTGAAATGGGTTTTCAACTCTGACATTAAACCAATTCAGCAGAATACAGAAAACAGTCATTGGCTGGAACATGCAGCCACTATTGCTCTTACTCAACATCAGTGATAGTAATTGGAAACCGCATTCACTCTATGAAAATAACGTTGCTGAATTATTAAAAGTTAATAATAGTAATACAATCTAAAGAAGCCATTGTTTTGTCCACTCATATAGCTATAACTGAGCTATAAAAGATTTAAGCAAGTAAGACAAAAGTCATTAACCATGATTAATTACACAAAATAATGTGATTCACTGCATTTGATTATTTTATTTGTTTGACAGCCCTAAGATTTATATTTCTTAGACTATACTGAGAAGCATTATTCGCAAGAAATTACAAATACAGAAATATTCCTGCAGCAAAGACTATTGCCTAGTAGTTTCATTACAAAGAGGTGCGGCGTTAATAAACAAGCAACAGTGCAACAGGCTCTGTGAAACAATTTGACACAAAAGGGTGATGCAGCAAAGCCGATGTTGCCATAGAAACAAGGTTACCTTCAACAGGATCTCAAAGGTAAATATACTAGTGAAGACATAATCAGCATAGCCTAGGACCTGTGGAGGCAAGATGGTCATACCATTAACAACATAGCTAGAACACAACACTCAGACATGGATAGGAGCAATTACCTTCAGTAGGATCTCTACTGTAAAGATAGCCGTGAAGGCATAGTCAAAATAACCAAGAATCTGGAAAAGGGCAACATGACAGTTTAGCACAGAGACTTTAAAACACAGCAAATACTGAACTATTAAAAACTACATGAAAAGAGGGTCTTCAGTTGCCAATTGTGATGACAAACATTCAGACTTTCCAGACTAATCAGTCTTTCACTTCTGCAACTAAAAAACTGCATGAAGGACGATTAGAAGCCACAAAGCTTCAGAAGAGGCTACTGAAAAAATTAAGGATATGTTAGAATAAAAATGAAATAAATAAATAAACACATTTATATATACTGTATCTTCATATGCAATGATGTTAGAAGAAATAAGTAATGTCTCTTTAATTCAAAACTTTTGTTGCTACAGTAAACTATCACAGTAAGTTTCTGAAGGCACTTTAGAGTAGCTCTTACGATGTTCCGTGTGGAGAAGCTCCTAATGGGGTCCTCAGCTGCCAGGGACACTGAGCTGAGCATGATGAAGACGAGGATGAGGTTGGTAAAAATCTGGTGGTTGATCAGACGATGGCAGCTCACACGGATCCTGTGGGAAAAAAACGATGAGCAAGTGTATGCGCAGTTAGGAATGCGTGCATCAAAACTGACATCCACAAATGTTAACAAATATTAACAAACACTGGATATTTTGGACTGTGCCACCAAAAAGTTGCATTGTTGAATTGCTTTAAATTGATATGAATCGTTTAAGAAATGGGCTGATTTACATCTAGCCCAAGCTGGAGATTCACTCAACCAATCTGTCATTCCATATCAAATGTGTTGTGATGCATTACACAGAGTGACAACTCTAGAGTCGTTACCCTTTTTTTCTCTTTATCCATTGGACAATGTCCAGCTCTGCTTTACAGCAATCTACAGTCAGTACTCATTGGGGTGGACAGGTACAGTTATGAAGTCTTATTGGCTGAGAAGTTGCCGAAGACGTTGTAAAATTACACTGTTTACGTTGAGAGTCATATACAGTTAAATTGTGAGCATGTCATAACATGGAAATGTTTAGTGCAAAAACATTTAAAAAACTAATATGTTTAAAAGTTGGCATTTAGGCGTTAGTATTTGAGACAGCCACTTTCCAACTAAAAGTACCCTATAAATGATGTAGTACATATTTAGCTTATTAACTATCTCAATTAATGCTTTCGGTTTAAATAGATCCTAACATAATCATTGTAAATATCTAAGGTCATTGTTTTTTAAACAATTAAACACTTTACTGTGGAACCTCAGTTCCCACAGTGCCATGTCCTGACATTGTACAAATCAAACATGTGCGTATATGTGCTGGACTTACGGATTTGTACTGCTGAAGATAAAGAAGGCGCTGCCCTCTGGAATGGGTGGAGTCTTCTCTTTGAGGCTAAGCTCTGACAGCCTCTGAGGACGGGGTCCTGATGGAACCTCAGGCTCATCCTCATCATCCTCACCTGTATATGCACACACGCCAGGAGACGTGTCATTCCTAGTATATCTCATAATCACTGTAGTGTTGAGCATTACAGTAGAAGCAGACATACACAGTGCACCTATAGATTGAACTGCTGCTTCTCTCTCCTCATCCGTGGCCTGCTCCTCTAATGGAATCTGTATGCATGAGAAAAATAACAATTACATTATACATGCATACATGAAAAGAGGTAAGCCAAAATTCAAACTTGGATAAACTTGACAACACTGTCATACTCTCTAGCGTGAGCTCAAATATCAAGTAAAGTAGGACAAAAAAGCTTCATGCTATATTGCTCTTTCAGGCACAGGATGTTATCCAGAAACACTGAAAATAGATTTCTCTGACAATCCAACGTGTAGGGAAATCGTCCACTAAGGAAAAAATACTTTGTGTGGAAGGAGTAGTCATCAGCATTCTGTGATGTACTGGTTAGCTCTATCTTTAATCTCATTAACTCATCTGAAGAGGCAGAATCTCTTATTCATTAAAAACGTAAAAAAAAAAAAACACTGCTTCCCCATTGCATAATAATACGTTTTCAAATTTCAGCCTCCTAACACCAGTGCTATCATCTAAAAAGCATGCCTACAGTCCTATGTAAATCTTTTTGTTGCTGCTTTTTTCCTCCCCTGTGGTTAAACAGATATCCATTCTTCAATTCTTACCAATACATGACTATAATAAGTCAGAATGTACATCTCTACATTTAATATGCTGAAGACTATGTTATCTTCAACATGTTTAATGTAGAGATGTACATTCTGACTACTTATTATATTCAAGTATTCAAGACCACTGTTTAATGTCACTATCATACTTTAAATATGCACACACGCCTCTAACAAACATACAGATTGATAGTGTGTGTCCAAGACAGTGTAATAATGTGTTCAAAACAGTATAAAAGGATGGTGGCGTGAGCGAAAGTGTATGGGCATTAAGTGATCATAATGTTTGACCACCCTGGTACCAAACTCAATAGGATTTCCTAGGATGGGCTTCAAAACCAAGAAGAAAGTAAATTATTGGCCTGTCTTTGTTTTTTAGCTAACTAGTTAACCATTTAACTTGTTAGCGTAAGTGCCATTGCTAATGTTAAATGTTATAATTATGTAGCTAATAAGCCAGGTCAGTTGGGTTTGTAGTTGAAACTCAATTAAAAACTAGTGGTGGTCATATCATATGACCAAGATTTTCAGGATGATTTGCTACAGCATGGTCAATAATTCCACGACTCCCAATAGCTGAAAAGATAAAGCATCTCAAACACTTGCAGTGGCTGTTGGCTGGTGCCACTGTTGCAACACATCTGACATTGCATGATATCATACATTAAAATGTTTGTTAATAGGTTAATTCTGTGCTCTCTGCTCCTTTGACTTAAAAAGAACTTCCAGCTTATTTGCTCAAGAGAAAGAGAAAATATGCAAAGGAATGCTTCAAAAACAGCAAACATTTACCTTAGTTTCTTCATCTTGACCTTCAGGCTTTTTCTCCTCTTTCTTGTCTGTGCTACCACTCCTTTCAAAAACAGACACTTTTATTAAAGCGTTCTTTTACCCTGGACCAAAGTGGCATAACTGAAGATATTTCACATAAGTGTCAAGTTTTATTCTAGCAAGTCAGGGCTCTGCATAGGCATGACTGATCTCAAAATAAATTCAGAGTGGTGGTAGAGGAAAGGCAGGATTTATATTTTCAAACTGCTTGGGTCTATGCAAACTTGTCATAAGTAATCATATTCTGCTCCTTCTTACTATAATTTCTAGGCTTCTAATGTCTAAAATCAAGACCGTTCATATATGTTCGTTGTTCTACTTCTATTTTTGATGCCCTGCTGATTACCTGGCTCTCTTCCTCCTCTTGTTCTTCTCCTCTTCCTCTTTCTGTGCTGAGTTCAGACTCTCCGCATCTGCCAGGTTGTCCACAGCGATGGCCAAGAAGACATTCAGCAGGATGTCTGATTAAGAGGGTCAAGGTCAGAAAACAACACATTACACTGGAACAAACTCCAGCATTCAGCAGGCACAGAATATTCTGCATCTCTTACCAGCTTGTAAGAAAAGATGCTTGTGAACAGAAATTATACTTGCAAACATAAAATTTACTGAATGGCACTGAGTCACATTTAAATAACTGCAATACAATATTCCACTTTTTCCTTTCCAATACCAATACTGATGCCTGGTCCTCAAGTATCTGTCAATACAAGGTATCGATTACAATTCTCACTTTACCTAACTTAACTGCTCAACTGGTGCCTATAAATCATGATATTTATATCATTCCACTTTTTAAATATTTTATATTGGTATAAGCGGTTTTGCGTGTCAAAAATGAAATACACTAAGCTTTAAAGTATAGCATTTAATGGTGGGATAACTTCACATTTGAATGGTTTCAGGGCTATGAAAATTCGTTGTGCTCTTTGACATGGTTCATCCATAAACGGCCATTTCCTTAAGGGCCCATATCCTACATTTTTCTTGTATTTTAATTTTTTATGTACCAGAAACATAACCTGACCATGATCATTTTCTCTCTTTATCCCTTCGAATTAAACAGGATGTTTTCTGTTACTGTGTCGTTAAGAGTGATATATGTAAATTACCTCTGTTCTGATTGGTTCTGTATTGTGCCTCGTTCAGAAAGCTGTATGGGCTGAAACACTCCTTATAGCTCAGTGTGAATAGGCAGGGCTAAACTGCTGTAGGCTGAACAGGCAGATATATGTAAATAAACAGATTTTCATTAGCTTGAGGGTGGCACAATGGCGCAGGGGGTAGCACTGTCGCCTTACAGCAAGAAGGGCCTGGGTTTGATTCCCTAGCTGGGCGACCAGGGTCCTTTCTGTGTGGAGTTTGCATGTTCTCTCTGTGTCTGTGCGGCTTTTCTCCCTATACTACTGACACGTTGCTTGCTTTAGTTAACTCCATCTACTTATGCACATGCAAGCATCACTCATGCATGTTAGAAACTGCTTCATGGTATCAGAGTTCTCTATTGCTGAAATCAATATTTGAGTGCCAGTATCGCTATCATTGCACCACTACTAGCTAAGTGCAAACAAAGTGTAAGACTGGGTGGCCAGAAGGATACAGTTTCCACAGATGAAGAGGATGATGAAGTAAATGCACACCACCATGCCAGAGGAAGAAGGGCCTCCATATGCCATGATCCCATCATACATTACTGTGTTCCAATCCTCACCTGTCAGGATCTGTGGACACACACCCAGGAACATGCTGTTTATAATAAATAATTTAAGATAATTTGTTAAAGTTGCATTAGTAACGCAATAAATTATTAACAATACTCAATTTTTTAACACCACAAATGCATTTCCATAGTTTGACCCTTCAAATCATCTGTGGTCGGGTAGGCTAGCTGTTTGCGATATAATCTGCAAATACGAATTCCAAATTGCTTTTAAAGCAAAACTTCAGCTCGAGACTGGGTTTGAAAACAATATTTCGGAACAATGAGAGTTGTTACAATCGCAGAGGAGCTAGAACCAGTGATTACATTCAGGATATAAACAGTCTTTGGTTGAAGCATACAGCTGTAGTGAAAGCTGTGTTTGCTTAATTTAATCATGTGATTTTCATGTTTAGGATCATGTGAACTCTGCATTTACATGATAAAAATAATTTTACTGAACTACTGAAAATAATGTTATTGAATTATTGAATGTAATAAATACGTAATACATAAATAAATAAGTCATTCTGATAACAACACTCATATTGCTATAACAAATACACTCTTCTTTAAATTGAAAAAATCTTTCTTAATGGTCAAATTTGAACAAATAAGAAAGTTGTCATGATTGACAAAATAATATGATAAATCATAAAAATTTTAATATTTGACAGCCCTGAAAACATAAAAAAAGTTTGTTTCACTATGCACACAAACACATATTTTATGATATTTTATGCCATATACAGTACATGCATAAACACACACCTGAAAGACAGTGAGCAAGGCTTGAGGGAAGTTGTCAAAGGTGCTCCTCTTGGTCACCGTCTCATCAAAGTTAAATTTTCCACCGAAGAGCTGCATGCCGAGCAGACTGAAGATGATGATGAAGAGGAAGAGCAGCAGCAACAAGGATGCAATGGACTTCATGGAGTTCAACAGAGATGCAACTAAGTTACTCAGAGATGCCCAGTGACTAGAGAGACAGCCAGAGAAACAATCATTCAGAGAGAGAAAAACAAGAAGATTTAGTGGTATACAGTAAAATGTTTATGTATACATCTGAATTAGGTGAAAATTGTGAAAAATTAATGGAGTTTTCTCCATCTTTTATATTGCAAAGCTTTTGCAAGGGAAACCCTGGTCAAAACTGTTCTCTGTGCTGGCACCGAGGTGGTGGAACGAACTCCCACTGGCTGTCCGTACAGCAGAGTCTCTCGCTGTCTTCAAATGCAGACTGAAGACACATCTCTTTATACAGCACTTAAATGAGCACTGAATTAAGTATTGATTGTAATGTATTGTACTGCACTTATGTATTGTATTGTATTGCACTGCTCTGTGTTCAACTCTGTTCCTTTTTCTCTAGGTGTCAATAATGACTTTCTGATTCTAGCAGTTTCTGAGCTCAGGACTGACTTTCTCTCTAACCTATTGGTAACTAGCAAAGATACTTTCTCTGGATAGACAAAGCACTTTTTGTAAGTCGCTCTGGATAAGAGCATCTGCTAAATGCTGTAAATGTAAATGTAAATGTAAATTAAAGAGCCTCCAATAAAGTTCTGGATCAGCTTCAACTCTCGCCTGGTTACTCACCGCGTGACCTTAAAGATCCGAAGCAGACGGACGCAGCGGAAGACGGAGATGCCAAGAGGCGACATTATCTCCAGCTCCACCAGGATGGTCTCCATGATGCCACCACACACAACGAAACAGTCGAAGCGGTTGAACAGAGACACAAAATACGCCTGCAGCCCCAGACTGTACATTTTAATCAGCATCTCACACGTGAACATGGCCAACAGCACCTTATTGGCCACATCTGGAGGGAGATGGAAATAAACTAGGTAATGTTGTGTGAAAACTTTCTCTATCATATTTAGGTGACATTTCACTTCAATAGTAACAGTTTGTGGCTATACCCAACCTCAATAGTACGATTAGTTGTCTGTGTGTGCTCACCTTGTACTTCGGTGAGCCACTCAGGTTGGTTGTAGTGTTCTGAGGATATGGTGAGAGTATTAAGGAACACCAGGAGAATAACCAGCCAATAGAAGGTGGTAGATTTAACTGCTGCTCTGCATTTCCGACGGCAGAACCTGTTCCACCGTCGCCAGCTACGACTAGAGACAGAGGAAGTGTATCAGTGAAATACAAGTCAATAAGAAGTCAGCATTCACGATGAGCTAGGTGGGCAGACAGGTGAAGCTGAAGTAATTGTTTGTGTGTTGGGGAGGGGTTCATGAATGTGTGACATTTTGAAGCAGGGCAGCCCAACCGCATTCCTGGAGATCTACCCAGTTCCAACCCTAACATAAAACTACCTACAGGCCTACCTCTAACATTCACGTGTCTATGAGCTCTTTAATTAGGTGGAACAGGTGTGTTAGATTAGGGCTGAAACTAAACTGTCGCAGGCTGAGTAGCTCATGAGGAGCAGGTTTGGGCACCCCTGTTTTAAAGAGACTGTTGGCTGCAGCAGTAAGGCAGTGAAAGTGAATAATATCATAATTATAATTGTAAATTAATATTAATGCATATGATATATAGTACCATGCAAATGTCAGAGACCAGTACAAGTTATTCACTTTATTTATTTTATTCACTTTACTGAGGATATTCAATATAATCAATTTGCAGAAAGAAAGGGGAAATTCTAAGAAAATCTGTAAAAAACAGATTACATGGATTGTCAGAAGCAGAAAACTTCTAAGACTGAACTCTGTAAATGTAGAAAACTTTTCCTTGAAAAACTGAAAGCAAGTCTCTTGAAAAGACTGGAAGCTGCAAAAAAGTCAAAAGGCAGGAACACAAAAAATGAAAGATTGATATTATATTTAAATATATTTTCTGTTAAGTGTTAAATGACTTGAAACTACAACCCCAGTTCCAAAAAAGTTGGGACGCTGCAGAAAATGTGAATAAATGAAAATAAAAGCAGAATGCAATGATCTGCAAATCTCATAGACTCATATTTTATTCACAATAGAACATAGAACATACATCAGATGTTGAAAGTGAGACATTTTACCATTTAATGAAAAATATTAACTCATTTAGAACTTGATGGCAGCAACGCATCTCAGAAAAGTTGGGACAGGGACAACAAAAACGCTGGAAAAGTAAGTGGTACTAATAAAAAACAGCTGGAAGAGCAATTTGCAACTAACTCATATGACTGGGTATAAAAAGAGCATTTTAGAGAGACAGAGTCTCTTAGAAGGTTCACCAACCAAAAAATCCCACCATCTACAGTACATAATATCATCAAAAGATTCAGAGAATCAGGAGAAATCCCTGTACGCAAGGGATAAGGCCAAAGGTCAATATTGGATGCCCATGATCTTCAGGGCCTCAGGCGGCACTACACTGAAAATGAGCATGATTCACTATACTGCAAATCGCTGCATGGGCTCAGGAACACTTCCAGAAATCAGTCTATGAAAACAATTCACTGAGCAATCCACAAATGCAAGTTAAAGCTATATTATGCAAAGAAGAAACCATATGTCAACAAAATCTAGAAACCCCACCGTCTTCTTTGGGCCAAAGCTCATTTAAAATGGACTGAGGCATAACATTCCTTTCCCAAAACTTGAGCAACTGGTCTCCTCACTTCCCAGACGTTTACAGACTGGTGTTAAAAAAAAGGGGATGCCACATAATGGTAGACATGGACCTGTCCCAACTTTTTTGAAAAGCGTTGCTGCCATCAAGTTCTAAATGAGTTAATGCTTTTCATGAAATGCTAAAATTTCAACATTTGATATGTGTTCTATGTTCTACTGTGAATAAAATATGGGTCTATCAGATTTGAAAATCATTACATTCTGTTTTATATACATGTATGTACATTTTACACAGTGTCCCAACATTTTTGGAATTAGGGCTGTAAATAAGTGACGGATAGTCTGACTTTTGCACAGAACTGTAAGTAAAGTTTATTGATTTCCGTAAAGTTAAAAGTGGTTAAAAATGATCATGAACAGTCAGTACACATGGTTACACAGTTATAGATGATATGAAGTGTAAAACCACCCATAACCACACATGCAGAATACCCACAGTGGTGAAAATGGTCATGCAGGTAGTGAAGATGTGCCATGCAGATCAACTAGAATACCCAGGCAACTCAGCACAAGAAACACCAACTGACTTACTGACCTGAACTTTGACTTTGTAATTTTTTGACTGAAAAAGTGACAAAATGGTACAGTTACTATAATGCACTTTTAAATAGCACTGCTAATTGAGAATGCTGATGTGCTCCATTGCTTATTTACACACAACACAAGCCCTAATCCATCTGTGATCAAATCCTCTTTTGGAGTGCCATTCACCTCAGTGAAAAAAGGGTAAGCTAGATGTGACAATATTTTTAACATTACATAATGGTGTGATTTTATCACATAATGACAATGTGTATGTAATTTCCTAGAGAGAACATTGCGACAATGGAAGATATTAGTTTTACTCTATGTGCACATGTATATATATATATATATATATATACCGATCAGCCATAATATTAACCCCACCTTCTCGTTATTTCTACACTCGTTGTCCATTTTACCAGCTCCACCACAGAGCAGGTATTATTTGGGTGGTGGATCATTCTCAGCACTGCAGTGACACTGACATGGTGGTGGTTTGTTGGTGTGTGTTGTGCTGGTACAAGTGAATGAGACACAGCAGTACTGCTGCAGCTGTTAAACACCTCAGAGTCACTCATGGACTGAGAATAATCCACCAACCAAAACAACTGTGCAGGAACAGACAAGCTATTGTCACTAATTTTACACCTACAAAGTGGATCAACAAGGTAGGAGTGTCTAATAGAGTGGACAGTGAGCGGACATAGTGTTTAAAAACTCCAGGAGCATCGCTGTGTCTGATCCACTCGTACCATCGCAACACACACTAATACACCACAACCACGTCAGTGTTACTGCAGTGCTGAGGATCATCCACCACCCAAATAGTACCTGGTCTGAGGTGTCCTGACCATTGAAGAACTACATTGTTCTGACCATTGTATAACAACACTTAAGTACACTTAAATGCTAAGTGGAAGAGATAAAATGGACAACGAGTGTAGAAATAAGGAGATAGTTTTAACGTTATGGCTGATGTACATATGTATGTGTGTGTGTGCGTGTTTACCACACATTTGTTTTCTGTGAGTGCTGTCTTTGTATTATGGCCAATCAAATCATGATGCTCTCTGCCAAGCTCCGCCTCCTTTTCTCAGCCCTCCAATCACTACTTAGCAACCTTTGCTATCTGCCATCATCTGAAGTCTTCAGTTAATTATCAGTGTTTAGATTTGAACCTCTACTTTCAGTTAAAAGATGTAAAAGTGAATGTTTAAAAGCAAGATTCAGTCTCATAGGGCGTTGTTACAATGCTTTTGATTTTACTACAAAAGCTGACATATCTTTTCGCATCTCAGCTGTCTGAATTTATCTCAGTTATGTCGTTTTCTCTGGGACCACCACCATGGCAATATGCTTTAGCCTATGATTAAGTTTAGGTTATTTACGTTTGCTGTGTTTTTTCCTCGTCTTTGTACGTTGTCTTTTTAACTTAGCTTGTTGTCTTCATTGAACCAACGTGTCTGTGTTGGGCAAGCACATGTCGCTTAGTGAAGAGCGCTGTAGTAGTTGTTGGTTGTGTTAATATGAATCATGCACTGCTATTGTTTTGTATCACCAAAGGGTGGAAGCATTGAAATAGATAGGGGGATGACAGCACAATGACACTGTGGAACCCAGCACGTTTGGAAATCGTTATTTACCATAGTGGCCTACCCACTTTTTTAAGATGCCTACCCAAAACTTATTTCTGTCTATGCCACTAAACCAGATGTTCATTTTATTGGAAACATGGATACTGAATATACCTGGTCAAAACCTGAACTTCAACAAAAACACACCATTAGATGTTCTGAGAAACACTGGCATGTGTTCAAAATACTTCAGGTAGAAATGGCACTGATATACAAGTAATGCTATTACTATAGCAACATTTACATGGCTGCATGCCACTATCATTCGTGTATTGTTACTGATTACACCAGTTCTGCTAAATAGGCACTGAACTTTTTTTTCTCTCAAACTTATAACCACAGCATTAATTTTGCAATACATCACCAATGCACTGCAATTTTATTTTATTTTTATTTTCTGATGAAACAAGAGGGTGGACAGTTTAAGTGTCAGGGCTTGCTTTAAAAGAAAATATTGTCACTGTTGGAACAAAACCTTGTATTTCTATCCTTTTTTTTAACAGAATCTGAAAATATCAGCTGTCCTTTACAATGTGTTAAAATGTTGTGATGAACAAACTGATTGAAATGCTCCAAATAAACTTTACCTTCCATTCAGTGTCAATGACATTTTCTTCCTTCTCCCAAGGCCATCAGGGGACTTGTCTTCAGACTAGGAGCTACATGATGCAGATCAGCCCACCCCTAACTCTAACTGTTTTCATACAGTCTATATGTACACACATAGGATTGCCTTTGTACTAAATAAATTTTTCTATAATCTGCACAATTTTAATCTTCTCTTCTTACTCTACTTATTTCCTATTTAGTATATTTATATGCTTATTATTTATATGCTACACTGAGATAAGGTGTCTAGCTAGTGATAAAATGAAAACTGGCCAAAGCTTTTTTCTTAAATCTGACAATCATGACAGTCAATATGCTACAAACTAATACTAGCTAAGTTAAGGTCCCATCAACATTTCTCACCACCCATCTGCTTGGACATATCTTTATCCTCCTTAAGTATCTGTTTTATTCTTGTCCTCTTGGTGCCATCTTGTTTTTTTGCAGTTTTTACCAGGGCTGTACCATCTGAGGTGGGGGCCACTGGTTTAACCTCTAAATTGCTGCTGATATGCACTTGGATGTAACCTTTATAGTTTGTCAGAGCAATCTTGTGCTTATATGTGTGAGTTCATAAATTAGCACACAGTAACTGGCTGAAAACACTACAAGCCCACCAGGAATTCTCTTGATTCTCCTGATTACCCACTCTGGAATTGCTTTCTCCTGTAGTGACCATTTTGGAGATATGAGGTTTTGTTGCAACAGCGACGATATGCAAATGAAAGTAAGGAAGTACATCTCATACTTTGAAACATGCACATAGATTAAAAAAGATTTTAAGGAAAGACTGCCAAGATGTATCAAGATGTCTGTGTCAAAACTGTGTGTTAATAAACACTCTGGAAAGCTTGAAACTGTAGACAAGCATTCTTCCTTTTGTTTGTATGTCTTTATTTCTCACCAGATGGGTCCACAGCAGCGGGCCTTGTCATCCTCTCCGTTTGGGTTGTCCGTGTTAACAGATTCGGTCTCACTGGTAGGCATGCTCGCTGAGGAGTAGAAAAGACACAGTCATGAAGCAGTATGGGCTGGCCTTGACACTTCAGGATGACATAAATGGAATTTCAAAAAGTTCCTATGTAATAACATATTTCTTCTATCAGTTACAGAAGTGAAAATTCCATCACAGACAGATAACGTTAGCTCAATAATAAAGCTAAGATGAACGGTACAGCTGTTACAGGCATTGACAACCAGTACAGGTGTGAAGACTGTCTTTTATGCATGTATAGCTGAGTTGCAACTTGCCGCCAACACTGAAAGCACAAAACCATTAAAGGGACAGTTGGCAAAAAAAAATAATTTACACAATCTTCCCCGAGTATTACATGCTGTTATGTATAAAAACTGACAACATTTCAGACAGAATTCAGGCTTCAAGTTGACTGCTATTATTGTTTATAGATAACAGTATGTCATACAGGGTAAGAAACCACATAAGCAAGTCTACTTGAGATTATGTAAAGGGGAATTCCACCAATTTTTTAAACTTACGGCATTAATTAATTCATTCAGAATAGTTTGGTGTAAATTATTCCTTTCTAGAGAAACTTACTGAAACACAACTGTTGACAGTGGTGGTGATAATGAACAGACATCTGAAAAGTTTAAAGCCTTCAAAATTACAAAGCATATTACAAATATGCTGCCTGACATCTGAGATATTGTTTTACAACAGTTTGTGATAAGCTATTGGGCTACATTTCTTCTTCTTAACGACTGAATTATGCAAAGATTTTGAAAAAGTGATGGAATTTCCCTTCATACTTTCGACACGGTTTGAGGTGTATCATGCAGTTTGCACAATTTGTGGAACACAGGCTTCCATTACTTGTTAGCTAAATTAGCATTCAAAAGTTTGGAATCACTTGCCATTTTAATTATTTTATCATTTTATCTAATTATAATGATTTACAATAATCTATACAATGTGGATACAAATATTACAACCACAGTACACCAAAAGGTATTTTTAGATGTTTTATTCAATATTTCAAGAATTCTGTGAATAAAATCATAAAATTACACTTCTATAACCTATTTACATTAATGTTTGTCAGGTTTTCTTTGTGGTATTTGATCTCCTCTTTCAAAACATGACAAAATCTGGATATTAATTTTATTATAGCTTAAGTCTTGATGCTTTGTATGACTTTCTTAGTCATTCTTTAGCTCTGTCCATCCATGTAGTTTAAAAGCTTTCTAGTGTCCTATTAGTCATTTTCAACCTTTGGACTAGCATATTTGAATAATTTTATATATTTATCTTCAACCAAATAGGTTTTACATTGCTTAACATATTTATTCCAAACTTTTGAACATTAATTCTAAGTTTTTGAATACTAGTGTAAATTAGTGCAGCTCTGGTAAAAAAAACAAAGAAGCAAATGTCAGACAACAAATATAACTTTTCTAATCTGAGTTAGAGTGTAAGGGGAAAATTGTGTAATTATTTTTTTTTTTACTAAACTATTCCTTCAATACTTCCCAGGGTGAAAAATTATACAAAGTTTTTGTTTATATATATATTTCTATTTTTTCGAAACCACCTCTTTTCCATTCTCTGCCTCACATTCAAACACACAAACTCAGTTGGCAGAATTTACCCTGAGTCTCTGTGGACTGACTGAACCAGCCAGACTTCCCTGCCTTCTTCTTCTGGGTGAGATCGGCCATCGTCACCCCTTTCAGTTTACACGCAGTTCATGCAATCAGACAGCGGGGGGAGACAGAGAGACAGAAGAGCAGGAAGAGAAGCCGCTATCAGCATCTACCGGTTGAACACATAGAGCAGCGTTACAGCACTCACAGTTGAAAGAGACAAATGCAGAAGAGCGCAGGAAAAAAGAAGAAAAATAAGAGAAAGAAGGAACTGTGTGAAGCATTTTCAATAGAGGACGAGGCTCATAGGCTGATGAGGAGGAGGAAAAGTACAAAAACACAACAGTCTAACACAGGAAGCAAATAGGCATTTAATTACAGCGGCAACTAGATTTCAACAACAGCATGCTGTTTGGCGGGTAGTAAATTACGGGTACTACTGCATAGCTTAAGCCACGGAAAAGAGACACAGCAAGAGAGCCAAAGGCTACAGGTAGCTCCTAACTACCAAATCACTCTCTCATTATCTCACACAACTGATAGGGTTGCCACTTGTCCCGGATTTTCCTGGACTGTCCAGGTTTTTGTTTGCCTGTCCAAGAAAAATATAATTCTATTCCTAGAAATTTTCATATGTTAGTGTTTCTTATTCTTTTTATCCAGTCAAACAATTTGTATAGTAAAGCTCTATTCTGAGTCTGATTAGTTTTACATGGGGAGGTGGGCTAATGAAATTTCACCACAGCAGGTCTGTAATGTTTATGACCAATTTGCACAGATAGAAAATCTGAGTACAAATGACAGAGATGGAAGTGGCTACTTGATCCACACACTCATTTCCTCCAGAAATGAGAAGAAAACATGTTCAAACATTTTTAGTTAAACTGTTATTCTATTCTCCCTAGTCATGTGTCTTGCTGTCTTAAGTGAACGCACTATGTCACCAGCACTGTTAGCCTGAGAATTCACAGCCACAGTCAACATCACTGCAGAAAACGTTTTCCTGTGATTTTATGTTTTATTGTTCTGTGTCATACACTTAAGTTAGAACAGTCACAAAGATCATAACAGCCACAGATATCATAAGTAAACAATTATTTGAGTGCTTGCATACTTAAAAAAACGTTTTGTAATAGAAAATATTAACATTTTTACCGACATATCAATTCGTGCATAAGCTTAAGTTATGTCTACCGTTCATTTTACAGACGGTTAAAAAATAACTGACATACCACATTCAGACGGGACTAAAATTACATTACTGTACCCCCTAATGTAAAAATTAATCACATCCACAAAGGGCTAAAGAGTGGGTTTGATTAGTTTAGATTACCCTTAGCACAGGAACAACTGTATGGGAAAGGTGCACTGCTGGTGACATGTTCAGGCAATAGGCAGCACTTTAACTCAAAGCTGAGAAGATTAGGTTCTATAGCATCTATCTTGCTTAGACTGAATCATTAGCATAGCACTGATTAAGTGTTTTAATTTTAAGTGTTTTCATTTTAAACTGCTGAGGTGGCAACCCTAACAACACACATAATCTCCATAGCATTCAAAAGTCAGTGCTGCAGGATGCAATCTGACAGTTACACAACTACATGACTATTTGTTTTATCGTTAACCATCTAACAATGAGGTGGTGAGCCCAGTGCTTGGCAAACTGGATGCTAATTCCTATCTGCAAAAGGCAATGGTTTTTATATTCAAAGAATTGCTCTTGGCTGAATCTTGGCTGAATTCCAAAAACAGACATTTATCGCTGTTGGGAAGCCTATATAGATTCATGAAACATACAGGCAATACTGTTTTAAACCCCTGGGGGATATTCTGTGAAGCTTGATTATAAAGGTCAGGCTTATTTGTCTAATTTAGACTAATAGGTCTCAGTGTGTTCCATGATCCATAAAATCCAGGTGTGATCTGGTGCCGCAAATTCAAACCAGGATTCAGTAATCAAATAATAAAAAAACACTGTATAAAAACATTTTGTTCCAGTAAAAAAAAAAGACTACATAAAGTTATGTAAAACAAGTAAAACATTCTAGAAATCGTATGATATTCAAACATCAATCTTAAAATGAAAAGAATTCAATATTTAGACTAGATTTACGTTGATTTCACTTATTTTTGCAGTGTACTATGTCATCTTCACACTGGTCAGCCTACATTTGTTGCAAGTTCTGAGAATGATACAAGAAGAAAATCATGGCTATCCTCTCACAGTAGGGCAGAAAATGCAGAAACAAGATTTATTTACATAGATGACGGTAATATTCCTACCCTGAGCAAACCTCTGATTTAGATGCCCTTCATATATTCTGGCTAATATACCATCTCCATATTTCTTTATTATCCACACCACTACCTAATAAAAATGTAACTCCCTGTGAGCCTTCCATAAACCTTTGTATCATTCTAAACTAAACCCATACTCATTTATATTTGGCTTTTTAACTTATCGTACGTAGGCTACTCTATTTTTAAGCATAATGATATATAATATAATATAATATAATATAATATAATAATAACTGGGATATGCTAAGTACACTGGACAGTATATATTGCAGTGGAATACTGTTCCTGAGTATTGTTTTAACCCAGCAAACCTATGATGTCATGTGGCTTGTCCAAGAGAATTGATCAAGGTAAGTTTTCAACATCAGCCTAACGCGAGTAGGTTTGTCCTGAATTGTTGAAGGTAATTAATAGTCATATGTAAAATTTTTGGCACCCCTGGTCAAATGACAGGTTTTGTTGATTTTCTAAGTGAAAATAAGTTACATCATCCTCTACAAAGAAGGCACATCTGCATTATTTGCTGAACTTAACATATTGGGGAAAAAATTAAAATAAAACATAAAAACATTGTATGCTTTGTTTCTTCCATTATGTTAAAATCAGCAAGCGAATTAAAATTCTACAACAAAATTAGCAGAAAACGGCCATAGTTGTGCTCTCGGTAGAGGACGTGTTAACTTACTTTCACTTAGAAAATCCACAAAACATAATTTGAGTGGAGGTGTTCAAACTTTTGCATATGACTATACATTCTAGACATTCTAGTGAAGTTTATTTTGTTCACTTATACAACTCACATACTCACTCATAAGCTATTTAAAAAAATCTTTCTTTAACCCTCCACTGCACGCATTATGAGAGCAATTTAAAAAAAATAAATCCGGTTCACTTTTCTTGCATAAAATTGACCTGATTATTGAATTCAAATCACTTTTTAAATAATAATGAGTGCAGGGGTCCTTTTGGGGTATGTTGCTTTGAGGCAACATTGTGCGACAATGGGACGAAATGATATAGATCCGTGTTCCCTGAAGTGGTGAGACCTGACTTGTGACTGGCTAAATCCACTTCACTGTCGCAGTGTTGCTTCTAGGCAACAAACATATTTCTGCAAATTCACATAACTGAAAAATGATACTGAATGTTAAAAAGAGAGTTGAAAGTGCCCACTAAGAGATATTATGACCAAATACATGCTTTTTTGCTGACTTACTCAAACTCTGCCCTTTATTTATGCCCTTTTTTAACCCTGTCAGTGTCCTTAAATATAATGTTATTGTAAAGTGAGGAAAACGTTTGTTGCCCTGAGGTGCAACAGAGTGTTAAGGTCAAATGTAAGCAAATAAGACAATTAATGCAATTAATCATCATTCATTATTTTAATTATTTGACAGAGCTAAGATCAACATAACATCTATTTCTTCAACCTTGGGGCTTGAATACTGAATGTAGTGTGCCAGACTGCCACTTCGCAAACTTTTATTAGGTTAAATTTTCCCACTTAAAAGTTGAGTCAACATTAAATAACACAGGACATAATTAAAACTGCAACTCTTGCTATTTGAAATTGCACTTTCAAATTTGATATAAAGTTGATTACCTGTTTATTACTCTATTAGCAATATTTTTTTTTTATTATCAAAACTATTTTATTCCTAAAGAGCATAGACATAAGTGGCCATTATAGGACTATTTCACTCAAAATCTACAATCTATTAATATGTCATTCCTTGGTTTATATACTCAACACTCTATCTTGTAGCATATTGTAGCTTGAACAAGAAATATCAAAGTGCTACCTCAAACTGAAACATTGAGTGCATCACATAATTCACTTCTGAGTAAGTAGCACAGATTCACATGTGGACGGATTGTGAGAGAAAAACTGAGAGAGAAAAAGACAGGAGAGAGAAAGAAAGAGAGAGTGAGGAATCAAAGAGACAAAAACAGGACGCAGGGTAGTTGAATTGTGTGTTTTGCAGTGCGTCACGCGCCGCTTACATAAAGAGGATTGGGATTACGCTCTCTCTCTCTCTCTCACTCTCACTAACTCTCATCCTCTCACTCACTGTCCTCTGTCCACTAACAGACAGACTGTTTGGCTGAAACTGTAAGATGTAATAAAATTCTGCTTTATCAGGCCTAATACAACTGTCTATAATAAACCAAGCAGAACTGGAGATATTCATAAAACCCAAGACTGCAGCAACATTTCTCTCTATGATTGCGTACTATGTGTAATTTTTAAAAATTTTAGTATGAATGATTAAAAATAATTCATTAGAATTATTTAGCTCTGCTACTGAAAGGGCTAAACTGCACTTTTGTACAGATGCTAAATGGCCAGACAATCTAGATACTTCCAATTGCATCCCTGAGCACAACCTTGAGTGAGGCTATAATTGCAGTGTGTTCATTCAGCTGGATTTACATAACAGATAAACCTACTGTCAAGGGGCAGGAAGACAGTTTAAAGCCTGGTCTGCGTGCGGGCAAGTGCGTTTTTGTCATTCCTAATTGTGTGTTTCTCCTTAATTCATGCAACATCTGCTCCAAGGATGAAAAGGAATAGGCGAGGTAAAGAGAAATGGAAACATGAGAGGAGGCACCTAAAGAGGAGGGCAGGTAGAAGAACATGTGGTAGGACAAAAACATCTGAGCTAAGGAGAACAGAGAAGGAGTGGGATCAGCAGAAGGATGGAAGGGACCGAATGAAGAGCAAGGCTGGGAGGAATGTGAGCGCAAGGGTGGCTGGGAGAAGAGAGGGATGAGCCGAGAGAAAGAAGATTAAGACTCTTATATGAGTTTAAGAGAGAGATAGCGAGGGAGATAGAGGCTGGGACTGCGGCTGGAAGATTATGGTCAGGGGTTAAGGGTTGTACATTTTGCCACTAATGGCTAAATAACATACACATTTTTTTCCTTATTTGACGGTCAAAAATAGGGACTAAGGGCCGTATTCAGAGTTAATCATTTATGTTGAAAAGTTATATCAACAGATACATACATCCAGTGCTTGGAAGTGGAATTCCACAAATTAAAAAAAAATTCAATCTGCATAATTGAACTGTTGAAATGTAAACAAAGCCATTCAGTGTGGGGTTGATGTGAAATAGCTCACTGAGAAACCTACAAACTTACAAAATTTTCTTTCAGTGGTGGAGATAGGAACCAGGGGGTTGCAATGTCTATAACACAAATCAGGCTAGTATTTGAAAATGTTTTATGTAATAACATTCTGCAAAAGTTAGCTTTTAGACATATTAAACATGATCATCTGGTTCCTATGACTACAGCTGTGAACAATTATGCAGACTTTCTTAAAAATCAGTGGAATTCCCCCTTAAATCGATTTTCTAAGCAGCACATTCAGCATATTGAAACTCAATTACTGAATTGGCTCTGAGATTGCCAGATTTTGCTTATGTAGAACTTTCAGGGACATAAGTTTTTCATCTACGGGTGAGCTACTCCTTTTAATATAAACACCTGCTATCTATTGCAATACACGGGAAGAGACCAAATGACACAAAAATTCCAAAACAGAGCTGTTTCTCAATATGCATTTCTGTGTGCTCTTGCGTCCTCGTGTTCTTGCTTGACATCATCTTCCAGTGCCCAAGTTCCATTCCAGTATTCAAGAACACATATACAAAGAACAGTTAAAGTGCTTTACATACTTTAGCTTGTATCTATCACAGCAAAAAGCCATAGCGGTAAAGTGGGTAGACTTTCATTTATCTTTCTCCTCAGCCCAGCTCCCCTCTGAATCAACAAATTAAAACAAGTTACAACAAATTGCCAGACAGTGGCACTAGACTTATTACAGCCACTTGCAGAAGTTATTGAAGAACTGAAACATGTCTAAATAGAACTAAGACATCCACCTCAGTTTACAGCAAACTCCACCCCATGCGCAACTGTCTGAGTCGCACTTCAGTCCATAGACAAGTCAAAGGTCTGAATACTGTTGTGCGCAGTTTTAGTATTATTTCATTACATTTAACTCTGAATACGGCTCTGGCTCTGGAGGGCTAATCTAAACCTATACCTTTCAAATCACCAATAACACAAAGACCAAAAGGAAGAGAGATCGAAGTCATTCTTTAGTTAGTGTATCAGACAGCATTACAGTGTACCGGAAAACATAAAAGTGAACACATGGCACAGAAAACTGGCACATCAGGTGTGCAGTGTGTGGGTGTACTCACGGTTGCGTTTACCCTCCTGGTCTCCTTCCTCATCGTTCTCAGGGTCGATGTCCTCGGCCTGAGTGATCCAGTCCAGGTAGCCTTTCAGGTCTTCCTCTAGCTGCTGCTTCTCCCGAAGCTTCTGGAAGTCTCCGCGAGCCTTTGCCTTCTCTCGCTCTTTAGAGAACTCTCTGTGTTTCAGACACGCATCCACACACACATATATGTGAGAAACAGATGCCGTTACACACTAAAATATTACTTTTGTCAACAAAGACATTTTATAATCTCTTCATATTATTAATTATGATGCATATTCCTGTTTCTGTTGTAAAGGCATGTATATAAACTGAGTTGCCTGGTTACCTGCACTTGTATCTATACTTACCAGCCATATTATCAAATCCACGTACAATATAGATGTACTTCTTAAGTATAATTACTGGCCACAGCCCATCCATTGTTAGGCACAATTGATTAGCCACCCTCTACCCTGTCCATCAATGCAAAGGGATCACCATATGACCACTGTTGATGGACCATTCTCTGTAAAGCAGTGACATCAACTTGATAGCAGCATGTTAAAGGGTGCTGCATTGTTATAAGTGTATCAGGCACAGAAGTGTTTTATACCTCAGTTTTGCATTATTAATCATATTAATATTAATCTTTATTATTCCATCATATAAAATGTTTTAAACATGCATCATCATAAGGAGCTTTTTAAGGAATGTCAAATATATTTATTTGTTTTCGTACACCCTTATAGAAAAAAGCTGTTAGGAAATGCTGGCTGTTTTTTTCTAACATATTAACAATGGACATAAATGTGCTTGCATTTGTGATTTAAGTAGCTATCACTTTTACTATTTTTCGCTTTTTGCCCAGTAATGAATGGAACTTTTATATTATTGAATTTCGGTATACGCTTAAAGGAGCACTTTGAGACGTCCGTTTAATTCATTGCACAGCACATGGTCTGTACTTGACCAGGGATAAATATGCTGTAAAATTATGTCAGATTTGCAGAAAGTTGAGTCTGGTTAAATATTTTGTCTACCTAGACAGCAGAGGTGATACAGAAGTAAAATCAAGAAATAAATCTTTTATATCTTTCTAGCGCTATTTTTATAGTGAGTCTAGCTGGTTTACTAAATGGAAAGCTACATGCTCAGCTTCTTCAGCTGAATATTTTATAACAATCAAAACTACAGGCAAACCAAAGAACTTCTCTTTGTGTGAATGTTTGTCAGTCGTCTTGCCAGTCTTTTACCAACTTATCTTGCTTCAGTCCTTTAAAGGGACGACTTGAAAAATTGTGGGGGGATGTGTGGTTGTGTTCAGCCTTAAGCTAATGATACATGGGTATGACATGTTTTTTATAGCCTAAAATCATGGCCAGTGTTAAGTAATTGCAATTTTCATCTGGTTTTATGAATGTTTTCTTGAGACAAGTGATAAATAAGGCTCATACTCTCATACTCATAAAACTGTCAGGAAACTACAGATGTTCTAGAATTTTGTTGGGGTCAAAAGGGTCAAAAAAAAGATGAAGCCAGCCCTAAAAATCACAATACTTTAAGATTTAGAGATATATACAAAATATGCATCACAATATTTTGTCTGAAGTTTGATAAGGTGGAACAGACAGAATAAACCAGCTACGTATTATCAAAAAAGAGTACAATGATTTTCATTCAACATTTCTCTGTACTAAACCCAATTAAACAGGACTAATTATGCTCCATTTTTAACGAAACATGCAGTAGGTCAGTGTTTCTATTGACTATATATACAACATGCTCAGAAAAGCACATTGTGGCATATTATGATATAATTTATCCGTAACACTTTATAATAAGGGTACATGAACTGGCAGTAATTAAGGCATTTACTAATGAATAACTAATCAGAAAGTAATGAGTCATTAATCAGGAACAAATGAATAAGTCATATATTAACAACCACAAGACGAAATTACTAATGCACGTACTAATGAATGAAGATGAAGGTAATAAAGGCTTTATTCAGTGCCTGAATTAATCAGGAATTCATGTGTTAATTAAGCATACAAAAAGAATGTTAGTACACATTGGCAAGCTGCCAGAAGCTCTGTTAGTTTCATTCTATTCATGCAATTTATGATTACCTATGTCATACTGCAGTGTCATACTGTTACAACAGAAACATAAACTGTTGTATGTTTAATAAACTGTAAACTAGTTTATTTACTGAAAATAGGCATTTGATTTAATTAAAACTGTGAATTATCTTAATATATGCCACAGTTATTCTGAGAAATACCACCTTCAGAAAATGACAATGTGTTTCCCATTATACATCTATTATTCTTTTAAAAAATTTGCTATATCTAAATGTTTTATTAATGAAAACACAGCATTTTTTTACCACAGCTGGAAATTACTGCTATTTTTCTTCACCAGTAAATGGCAGTAATTGTGTTAAATGCTATATGTCAAGAGGCCATAGAGACTTGAGTGAATATCTCTAGTACAATGTTTAAGAGCAGCGAATGAAAATAATTGAAATAATAAAAAAAAATTCAATATTTATCTTTTCGCCTTTTTGCAATATTACGCATTTTTCTTACTTTTAAAGGTGAGTTATGCATATGCATACTGTATTATATACGTAATTTACATCGCAGATATAATATTTACACGTGGTATTGTTGTCTGAGTGTTGTGAGTGCTGGTATGTATGTTCATGCCTCACCTCTTTTTAGACTTTTTAGAAGGTGTAAAACATGCAGCTGTTATCTGTGGTAAAACAACGGATTTGCAGGAACTATCATTTCTAAATTCGTTATAAAGTAGCTTAAATATTTGGTTTGGTGCTTAGTTATTTGCAATAAACCTTTTTGGATTTAATAATAAGGTGTTTGTGTTTCTCACGTGCGTCGTGTGATTGTAGTAGTAATATGTGGCGTCAGGCAGGTCTATTCTGTCTGATTAAAATCACATGTTAATTTTATGCTGCTTGGTTCATTTTATTCCTCCTTTGACAGGGACTCTTATTGTGAAGGGCTATGTGTGCGGTGGAAGTGCTTCACAGGGCCTAGTAGTAAACAGACTGAGCCGAGACAGCGAGAGGGCGCGCTAACTGCCGAGCGCTAACCTAGCGCCATATTCTCCCCTTTCTTTTGTACTCCGTTCTGAGTTTTTCAGTAAAGCTGAGTCACAGACTCGAATCTTCAGCTTGTGTGAGTTATTTGGAAACACCGCTGCAGTATGAACATCTTTGTGACTTTAATTAGCTAGCAGTTCTGTCCGTTTTACAGATGTTTGCAGAACTACAGAACCAGTATTGGTTTCTCTTCATTTTCCGTGTTACAGTGACAGATTCACGTGCTCTAGTTCTGTGTATTGTGTAGAAGTCATAAGATGATAATAAAATATGTTTTTTCTTGAATTCCTGTGAATTTCGTCAATGTCATGTTTTCATATGAGCCATATTGTAGTTAGCTACTTATCGTTCATCACTGTTCTTGAGAGGGCAAAAGAATGACTCATTTTGGTAAGTAAAGTGATTAACCCCTGCTATTGTATTAGCTTATGAACTCATCATGAAGAATTAGTATATAATCAGTAATAAAGTGTGATTCGCTCATCACGTTACTTTAGGGGGCACAAACATGAATTCATTATGAAGAATCAGTATTTAATGAGTAATAAAGTGTGACTGGTTCATCACTTTAGTTTAGGGGGCACAAACATTATGAATTCATCATGAGTTATCAGTAATCACTGCTTTCTTTATAGTGAATTGAGAATTGACACTGCATAGTTTTGTATTTTTCTCACTCTGACACACCTCAGCCAGCACAACAGGAGCTTTTAAATATAGCAGTTGAGTTCAATCAGGTGTACTAGATCTGGGAAAGCACAAAAATGTGCATACAATTCAGGATTCTTATGACCCCAGGAGAAAGACACTCCAATAATTTCTGAGTTCAGTAGTAACTGTAGGCTAAACCATTCCCTCATGAGGCACTGTGTATCAATACAGGAGTTAAAACATGTCATATTATTAACATGAAAGATGAATTAAAACTATGGCAACTGTCACAAATGAGGACTAGTTGCAAAACAATGTCAGTGTAAGCTTTTAATTTTACTAAACAGTCACTAGGTGGGTAGAAACAGACGAGGTAACATAAGAAATCAAAAACAATAAACTCAAGACCTGACAGATAGAAACAGGCAAATACAAGGGCTGCTTACACAACATGATGAAGAAGAAGGACAAGATGATGAGAGGATGGAGCTATAAAAAAAAACAGTTGACTTTGATAGGCATAATATTCCAGAGCACTGTGTCTCAGGGGGATCTTGTGACAACATTAATTAACACATGAATTCCTGATTAATCCAGGCACTGAATAAAAACTTTATTACCTTCATCTTCATTCATTAGTACATGCGTTAGTAATTTAGTCTTGTGGTTGTTAATATATGACTTATTCATTTGTTCCTGATTAATGACTCATTACCTTCTGATTAGTTTTTCATTAGTAAATGCCTTAATTACGGCCAGTTCATGTACCCTTATTATAAAGTGTTACCAATTTATCATAATACAATAACATAGTCATATTGCTCACCCCTAAGTGCAGGCACAGTGTTGGTGTAACTTGGGCAGGGAGAGAGAAAAACTGGAAAACTAGAAGGCTTTTAAAGTGGCCACTCACCCACTGAGAACACCCAAAACGAGATTGAGGACGAAGAAGGAACCAAAAATGACCAGACTGACGAAGTAGACCCATGGCAGTTCAAAACCCATAGCATCATTCATCTGAGGAATAGAGAAATATGAACACACAAATTTCACTTGAACAGGAAGACTCAATAAAACAGGAATATTGCATTATTGTCTTATTATCATCTTAAAACACGGCCTTGACCTCCAGATGATTCCGCTCTGGGCTATGCCATCTGAAAATGACTGCCTCTGTAAATGGCCATGCACATAGCACCTGAACAATGAAGGATCATTCAGTACTGTTTGTGGGTGGTCTGATCCGATTTACATCTTAGCTGGCTACATTATGGAATGAATACAGTAATTAAGACCTTCATATGATTAGAAATTATACTTGTGTTATATTTCTCACAAAGTGGGCAGTATTATCATGGTTATAGTTGTTAAAAGGCTTTCATGTCAGAAAAAAACCTCTATGAAGATGCCATTCATGCTAAATGCTAGTTTTCAAAATAGCCTTTTCTGATCAATCCATCAAACAAAACAGGGATGCTGAAAGTATAAAATACAATTTTGTTTTGTTAGCTGTGAGATCTAAGAGGAACTACTGGTGGCACCGGCAGCAAGTGGTAGGTGAGGATGAAGAGAGTGAAGAGAAATAAGTGCAGGTAGTACAGGATGAAGCTTAAGAAAATGGAGAGAGAAAGAGGGAGATATCATAACCTCATTGTCAATCCTGTCTTTTCTCTTTCCCTCCCACTCCATGTGTGCCCCCCACAATTCAAGTGTCCGGAGCTTTCTCTCCGACACAATGTCAGACTTGCACAAGCTCACTTTGATAGCCTCATTAGCATTTGGAGAGTTTACCATGGAAACGGATGAATAAATGGGAAGTGAGAGAGAGGGGGAGCAAGATGGCGAGGGAGAGAGAAACAGAGTGAAAGAGAGAGAGGAGGGTGGAAGTGACAATTGTTGTGATTCTCCACACTATCCTTGTCTCCAGTTCTTGGTATGTAAAAAGAAGAGGTGGACAGTTAATTCCAGAGGTGGGAACATGTCACTAAGTTGGAAGTAACAAGTAAGTCTTGACACTCAAGTCTCGAGCCAAGTCAAGACAGTCAAGTCTTAAGTCAAGTCCCGAGTCCTAAACTTTGAGTCCTAAACGAACGTTAATGCAGCTTTTTAATGACAGCATGTTAATAGGGGTTGCATTAACACCTGATTTAGGGGGGAGGGCTCGAATGAGGGTGTTAACTGATGCCAAAATGTGTTACCTATCAAACATTAATCGGCTATAATTATTTGTACGTGTGTGTTTAATGATATAGAGGTGTGCTACATATATTGCTTAGAACATCGTGGAAGTCTTCTGTTGCAGTTAAAATCTCAAGAAAATAAGCCATTATTTTGCCATAAGCCATCAAAATCTTGGGAAAATAAACAATTATAACAAATAATAAAATCGTTCTAATAGGACTGGAGTTGGAAATCACTGATTTACACAACCTTATATTTTGACTTCTTTTATATTTGTATTAAAGAGGTGAGGGGAAAATGATAGCACAATGCTGCCCCAGATGTGCTTGGGGTCAAATGCATTCCAAAACACTGCTTGACACTTCTTTACATTACCCTTATGACAACACTCGTTCAAGAAAATTATACTTCATGATCTGCAGGTTTGCGTCACTATTGTCTCGCTGGGAGGTGAAGTGACTTAAATTTGTGTCAGCTCTCTTTTGAATGTGCAGTTATTTACCCAATACAGTACTTCCGTCCAGCCCTCCATGGTTATACACTGGAACACCGTGAGCATAGCGAACAGGAAGTTGTCAAAGTTGGTGATGCCATTGTTGGGCCCCTGCCAGCCGTCTTTACATACGGTGCCATTAACAGTACAGTGGCGCCCATGGCCTGACAATGAACATGGAGCAGGTTCTTCTTCTGCTAACGTACCTACACAAGAAGAGAGAGACAAAAAAAAAATGAGCCATTAAACATTTAGTGTTTCAAGCAGACATATTTTATTCCTTTTTCCAGTTTATTGCAGTTTCCTGTTCTCTTTAAAAGACAACAGTGAAGAGTATCAAATAAACAACACCTTACTTTAGTCTCTGTGAGGTGTGTTTTACCCCATTATTCACACTACTATGAAGAAAAGGCCATTTGCTGGGTGCTGATTTTGTATGCTAATGCTTACAGCTCTCAGTGGAAGGGGTCGGGGGGGAGTAGGGGTTGTGGTTACTGTGCGGTGGTGGAGAGACCAACAATGGCTGTAGTGGTGCACAGTACAGTGAGACCAACTTTTGGAGACCAACAAAATTAAATCAGAAAGCAATATGCAAAACAGCAGCATCATCCTAGGTTTGAATTTAAATTTTCCAATCATACATGCAAGTTTGGGCTTAAAATTAAAAATGAAATTCAATAATTCAATTTACATTTGCTATTTGGTGCACTAGTGTTGACATTTCATTTACACAGACCGCATTTTTACTTTCACAGCCTTCCTAACCAGTCAATCATCCCATTATGGCAGGGCCTACAGTACATTCAGCCAAAAAAAAAGTTGTATCTGGACCACGGTGGCTGATCTTTCATTAGAAGATGGTATGAAACAGAGCAATACATCCACTTGTAATGTCTTTGTACAAGACCCACCAAAAATCTTCAAACGAACGTGTTGCAGATTTTCTGATTTAATAAGTGGGTCGAAATTGAGCGGGACAGCACTGAGCAGCAAATCCAAACAGCCTGCAGAATCACATGCTTTCTGAAAAAGTAAGACACTAAAATGCCAGAGATTTCCCTGACGGTTCATCCAATGACATATAATCTATATGGTGAATTGGCAAGGAAAGTTTTGTTTTCTGCAGTTTATGTCACCTTCTAGGAGAAGTAACTACAATTTAATTAACTCATGACATTAACAATTAAATCATAGTGCCTTACTGAAGCAATCTTAAGAATGTATCACTACTCCACTGCTTTGATCATGAGTTTACCAAAACTTCAAGGCTGTTTAAGGATCTCTGACTAATTAGCTGTTTGTAAGGTTTTAGCAATGACGAATGTCAACACATACTCAAATCAGTGATTGTAGTGAAGCAATCGATGATCGCATAGAACAAGAAAAAGTAGAAAGACGTGACAAACTGAAAAAGCATGTGCACACATACGCAAGGATACTCACGTGTGCCGTTTATGTAACAGGTGGAATGCATCTTTCCAATGAAGAGTTCCAGGCCTATGATGGCATAGATGATGATGACAAAGAGTACAAGCAGAGCGATGTGCAGCAGAGGAACCATAGCTTTAATGATGGAGTTCAGCACTACCTGTAAACCTGCAACCACAGTAAAAGTATTACCAAGGCATTAACAATGTCACAGTTTGGAGCCAACGTTAAAACAAGTTCAGGCGCTACTAAGTAAATCAGACGAAACTGTCTGTAGTTCCTTGTTGTTATATATGCAGTATGAAAAGTGCACTGCTGAACATTCTAAGTAATACACTCTCAGTAGTCTATGGTGAAATTTTGCAAATATTATGGACATAGACGTTTATCTCAAGGTTCCTCCTACTCTCACCCTTTTCAATGATGAATCATTATGAGATGAATCACAACTGTGTTAAACAAGGAAAACCTGTGGCCTTCTGGGTTGAGAGCAAGACAATACTGGCATATTCAGAGCATTATAAATCTGCTGATCTTCAACATACAGATTTCAAACCTATTTTCTGTTAAGGGAGATGTGAGATCAAGCAAGCTAAATTCACAAATGTAATTTCTTATTTTAAATATGAACTCATCGTAGTAAAAATTGGGGAAGTTCTTAGAGTGATGCCAAGGTGCCAACTCACTGGGCACTCCTGAGACGAGGCGGAGGGGGCGGAGCACTCGGAATGCTCGCAGGGCTTTAACATCAAACCCGCCAGGTTTCCCTCCAGACTGGCTTGAATCGCCTTCTTTGGTCATCAATTCCAGGACCACGCTGAACAGGCTACACACACACAGTAAATATGCACGAGTTTTATCAAACAAGCAACCAGATAAACACAAATATTCATTATGTATGACAACAACAGAACGTTCTTAAAAGCTGCAGTACAAACAGTACCATGGCATACAGCATATCTGTTCTAGAGCTGTCATGATAACTTGATTAAAAGTCATCAATTAAAATTGACCTTCTCAATGAATCAGCAATAATTACATACAGGCACTATGCCTGATGATGAGAATGTGATACACACACCAATATACAATACTTTGCAAACATCAGAGAAAACACTTCATTTCCTGTCAAAACAGTAGAAGTTATTAATTCTTCAGGAGATTTGATATAAAATAATCCATTTGTATAAAGAAAGAGAAAGTAAAAAAAAACTGGGGCATCCAAAACTGGAGTTCAAAAAATTACTGAAAGATTTAGAAGAACAGGACTCTTTACAACCCTGCAAGACCTGGTAGACCACCAAAACTGTCACCATTAGATAAATAGTATTTTTAAAGCTTTCATTTTTGCGAGATAGGAGAAAGTCTAGCTCTACTCTTGCTTCAGATCTGAAAAAATCACAGGAGTTTCTGTCCATCCTTCCACTGTAAGAAGACAACTCAACACCATGGGTCCGAAAATATGTGTAGCTGTCAAGAAGCTATTACTGAGAAAATGAAACTAAACAAAAAAGAAGAAAATTTGCAGATTAAACAAAGTAGCTGCTGGAGTTTTCAGAACAATAAATTGGCCACCCCAGCGTCCAGACTTCAATATCACTGAATATGTTTGGGATTACTTGGATCGTGAGAAGCAGAAAATAAAACCAACATCTAAGACTGAACTTTCGAGTTGTGGAAAAAATATCCCTGCAGATTTCTTTGTAAAGTTTGAAATTGAGTCTCCCAAAAAGAACAGAGATTGTAATAAAGGCAAAGAGTGGAAACACTAAATGCTGAAAAAAATGTGATTAAGTTGTTGGGGCATCTGTATAATTTTCTGTTAAATATGTTTTTTTTCTAATGCTGAAAAATAAGCACTTAGTGCTTGTTTTGAAGCTAGAAATGGGTGGTCTCTGACTTTTTCACAGTGCTGTATGTGCATTTACAAACTGACAGCTCAAATCACTGTTAATTTTTATGAATCAATTTTGTGTGTGTTAATAGTAAACACCCAAATCTGGCTGATACTAGGCTGAACGTCTGTCTAGTATCCAAATGTCTAATGTCTAGTATCCAAAGCAGCATAAAAATAAAGCTGCACCACTTAAAATGTTTTTTTTTTTAACTGCATATGCATTGTACCCAAGCATGCACATTTTGTTGTATACTCAAGCATCACTGTAAAAACATTATCTACAGTAGGAATAAACAAAGAAAATAAATAAAGAATAATAAGACATCCTGATCCTTTGCTAATATTTCATTGGTCTAACAGTGACAGCGGAAGTGTAGCTTTAAAAGGCAAGGTGGGGAGCTCCAGAACACATTACCTTGACTCGCGTGAGAGAAAAAGCATTAAATCTCTGTGTGGGAGCCATCACTATGACAACATGATGTCACTGGGTTCAAGAGACAGGGCAGTAGTATTATGCAATGTTTTCTTAGATGAGGCACTGCACTCAGAAACAGAATCTTCACAGAGCCTCCACAGTAAAACAAACTTCTATGATCAGAATGAATGTACCAAATAGTTTTGAGGTGACAAATGTTTGATTTTTCAGTTCTAAGATGGTAAATTGTATTACCTTGCTTATCCTGCAAGGCCACAGTATTCATTTTCTTTGAAATGTATGTAACTGTATCCACTTAAAGTATATTTCTGATGCGGTGATGCCAAAGAACCCCACAGCCTACATCTTAGGACTGTGTTCTTTAAGTGATTTACAAATGACCACCACAAGTTTGGTGTAGGGGGGATAATGGTCTAAGGCTGTTTTTCATAGGTTGGGCCTAGTCCCTTTTTTATAGTGAAGGTTATCTTATATAGTACACAATATTTCCTACAGAACTGTGTGCAAGAGTTTTAGGGAAGGCCCCCTCCTGATTCAGAATGACAATGCCCCCCTGTAATTGAGGTCCATAAATAATTGGTTTGGCAAGTTTGGTATGGAAGAACATGACAGGCCTGCACAGACCTCAACCCCATCCAACACCTCTGGGATGAAATGGAACAACGACTGCAGGATAGGCCTTGATTCTCAACATCAGTGTTTGACCTCACTAACACTCTTGTGGCTCAGTGGAAGAAAATTCACGCATCCAGAATTTGTGCTTCCAAAATCTAATAGAAAGACTTTCTAAAAAGAGCAGAGGCAGTTATTGTAGCAAAATGGGGGGCTAACACGATATTAATACTGATGATTTTTCGAATGAGTAAGGATGTGATGTCCACATACTTTTGGCCAGATTCATAAAATGCAGTGCCAGATTTATGTAACGTTAAGTAGATAGTGTGGCGGTAACCCCTTTGCTCATTCATAAATGAGGATTACCGGTGTGTTTTACCGCTTGTGTGATGTGAGGCGTGGTAGCGCTTTTATCTCATTCGCACGAGATTCAGAACATAACACAACCCTGCAAAAAGTAATGCCTGAACCACTCTGCCTGTAATTTACTTGGTAAGAAGCTGATGTGGATTAAATTATATTTTCTGCAATGTTTCCTAACGTGTTTGGTCACACACTCAGCTGATTAAACAATATATTTAAAAGGCATGTTTTGATCTGTTTGGACTAAACATGGCAGACTTTCTAACTGCTGCAGGAGTTCACAAGGAGATTTAGGTCTGACAGTGGAAGACATTACTAACAGGTTCCTCTCACACTTTTAACTGACACTGTACTTAAAATGGCCTCTTCCTCCTGTGGCAAATTCAATGTTTCGCAAACTCCCTCCTGTGTAAGGAAAGTAGCTTGTAATTCAAATACGTGAGCAAGTAATATGTAAGTAAGTAGTTAAATAAGTAAGTAAATAAATAAGTAATTTGACATGTTGAGATTCTAATTATATGTTAAAATTGATTTTATTGCAAGTAGTTTTAGCTTTTAATCCCATTTTTGAATTTACAAAGGAAATCAATTTTAACATGAAAATGACATTTTGACTAGTAAAAATTCTTTCTTGTAAGTAAAAACTGATATTTAGTATTTGGTAGAGGAATTTTAATTTAAAATTTTAATTTTAAAATGTACTTCCTGAGACCAAGAAAAGTAGGAAATAAAATTAAAATTAAATTAAAATTTAAATTTCATGTTATAATTCTATTTTTATACACATCCTTTTTCTGGTACCAATAACCTTTCTGATAAAGACACTTTGTTTCTTGATTAAAAATTAAAAGCATCTTTACCAAAAAATGTAATATTATTTTTCAGCCCTTCTTCCCTTAAAATCTATAGCTGTTTCAGAGAATTTCATTTTCTTTGTTTTCATCTATTTCGTGGTGTGTCCATTTTGGCAGCCAACTGGAGCTTCACTTGCCATGGGTCTTTAATATGTATGATCTTATTTACATGTTGATTTTGATTGGCTCTTGCTCGAAAACACAAGTGAAAATACTACAGTGTTGTACATGGTGACTTTATGAATAGCTCTTATTTACCGTGCCGCACATTTTGCATAGCGTAGCGCTGTTACCGCTGAGTTTTTTGAATCTGGCCCAGTCTCTTACGTCGTAGGAAATGAGTCATAAGAGTCTGAGCACCCTTTCTGTTTCACAGTGTGTGTCTGACTTAAGCAATAGAACGTACGAGGGAGTGTGTTATCGTGAAATAACATCACAGCTGCGATTTGGTCGCAGACACAAGCTGAAGGCGATTTGCAATAACAGTTAAATAAATAAAGTAAGAAATAAATAAATTGGGCTGTGAATGTGTCATTTAATAAGTTTTAATGTTAGCAATTCCTTCCGCCAAATTATAGTTCCTAAGCAAGCAGCTTGTTGCTATGTCAGAGTAATGAACTCCGCTCACTCGCTGCACAGCCAGCAGTTCGTTCTCCAGCTCCTTACACTAAATTCTGAAACAGTCATTACCACTAAACAAGCTTTTCAGTCGGGAACTGTGACGGAAGGACACCTAAACAACCTGGAATTAGCCAGAAATTAACTGAATACCACTCGCCAAAAGTGTAGTCTCATCTTCAGAGTCTGACCAAATCGGACTGAGCCATAAAACTGCCGTAATATCAAGTTTAGGTCAGTTTTGTCAATTTTTGCTAGAGCAATAATAATTTTGTTTTGTTACAGCCAGTCTGTAAAGCATTTTATGGCCCACTTTGTTTGGCGAATGGTATTTGGTTCATTTCTGGTTAATTCCAAGTTGTTTAGCTGTTCTTCTGTCACAGCTGCCGACTGAAAACCCCGCTCAGTGGTGATGACAGTTTCGGAATTTAGTGTAGTCTCTTCTTCAGAGTCGGACCAAAACGGCTGTAGGTCATATGTAATCTTAAAAGTATCCATTTTCTGTTTGTGCGCAAAGTAAAAACGTTCAAATGGCTTGAGCGTCTCCTACAGCTGTCAAAGCCGTTGCTTAGCATACAGTGATACAGTGTTTGTGAAAAACCTGTGCTGTTATGGTGAAATAACAGGTTAGAATGCTTCTCAACCAATCAGCTTGCGTGGCCGGAACTAACTGTTGTATAATGAGTGTTAATGTATTCATTTACTTACCCCACTATGACAATTACAAAATCCAGCATGTTCCAGCCGTTTCTAACATAGGAGTTCTGGTGCATCACCAGTCCGTAGGCTATGATCTTCAGAAAGGTCTCTATAGTGAAAATGATCAGGAAGGCATATTCTACTGTTTCCTGTAAAAGAAAAAAGGCAAAAAAAGAGAGAGATTTATTTTATATTTGTTTCAGTGTACATTCACCATTCACTTTTTATGAAAAACATCCTTGTACTTCCACATGCACATCATTGGTTAGATTCTGACCACAGAGCACAGCATTAACACTGACAGGGTAGTGGTATAGTAGTGGACATGGTCCTGGTAGACGTGTATCAGGCACGCTTCAGTGTCACTGCTAAGCAATGCAAAAATATACAAGCATGAGCAGTTCTCTGGTTAGAAACTGACCACTGATAAAGCGCTAGAGGATGGCTAACACAAATCATTCATGGCAACAGATGGAGACTAGATACAGGCTACAATCTCTAACTGTTTACATGCAAAGTGGAACTACAAAGGTGTTCCTACTAAATAAAGTGGGCTGATGAGTGAACATTGCATATTGCAAATTAGAGCTGCTACTATCTTCTTATAGTGCTTTCAATCCATCAGCGCAAACAGCATCAGTTTTGACCCTTCTTACAATTAACAGAACAATTAATAGAACAAGTGTTAAGGTCATATATGAAGCAAGAAGGACTGCAGAGAGTGGTGAAAGCAGAGAGAGGGAAAAAGAAGAGACACTGAGGAGTCTAATTAAATCCTTTCAGAAAAACAGCCCTGAGACAGGGACGGGAGGTCATTAGTGTAATGAGAGCAGGGGGTAACGTAGCCTGTAATTGAGCGTGTGACGCGATCGGCAGGTGACCGGATGCCCGTGGCTTAGCCCCAGCAGTAAGAATAGCCACAATAAACCAGGATGACTAGATTAATCCCGTTTGAACAATGAAAATCTCTCTGTTGGACACGGCAGGCCATCCGCGCTCAGGCGTTAAAGTGATTACTCAAATTCGTGGTACTTTTGCGGAAGCTTGGTTTTCTCAGCGAGGGAACTTGACCTTTCAGGATGTGTATCCTCCTGCACATCACTGAGTGTTCTATCCCCATACAGTTAACCCTTGTGTGGTGTTCGGGTCTGTGGAACTTTGCTCATTTTCTGCGAAGAACACATTTTCAATGACTTTACACTCTACAACCTATACATTTATATTGCACATGGTGTTAGGGTGAATCCGCATGGAATAAAAGTGTGGAGGTGTCCCTTCACTCTGTTCTCCTCCTACATGGCCTGCTGTTAGTGTGTGTGTCTGTGTGTGTATGTGTTTGTATATGTGTGTGTGTGTGTGTGTGAGTGGACAACATGGACAGGCTGCTGACTGGCTACAGCTGCTAAAGGAGAACCCTACACTGGACACTTGTGATAATTTAAACATCTGATATTTTTACATTGTTTACATTTTTACATTTTTACATTGTAAATTGTTGTGGCTGTATTGATTAAGAAAGCCAATAATGCTGTGGGTCCACCAGACCACTGAGTAACAAAAACATCAACATCAAACAAGGGTCAAGACACAAAAGGGAATGATTTTCATGAACCGCTGAGCCTTGAGGAATTTACTTAAAACAAATATGACATTTAATATAATGACAATTAAGACAGTTTGTGTGTTTCTAAGGACCCAAAACATTAGTAATTCATTTTTGTATGACCACCTTCCAACCTCTTCTTATCCCTGAATGAAGGTGCACCCACACACCAGCTAATTCTTGCTGTTTGGGGGTTGATTCCAGACCACAGTCAAAACAAAGCTTTGTCACAGATGGGCTTCCCCACCTAAATAAAAGTATAAACAAAGTCATATTACCATACAATGAACAGAAATTAATGTAAACTGAAATAGACTACTTATCACTCCCCAGTTATTTTATATACAATAATAACTAGTACAATGTGGATTTAAATATCATAAACTAGATGCCAAAGGATATTCTCAAATATTTTGTTCAACATTTTCTATTCAAAGTTGGGAAAAACAAGAAGTTATTAAAAGGCCCATATCATACATCCATCCATCCATCTATCATCTAACCGCTTATCCTTCTGGGTCGCGGTGGGGTGCTGGAGCCTATCCCAGCTGTCATTGGGCGGAAGGCAGGATACACCCTGGACAGGTCCATATCATACATGTTCTTTATTATTATATTTTTTCTCTTGAGGTATACTTATAAATGTGGTTTTATGTACCAAAATCAATCATAATTCATTTTTATATGGCCATTTTCCTACCTCTCTTTATCCCTTAGGCTAGGTTTACATTACCCGGTTGAAATGGCACAAACGATGCTTACAGGGCTGTGCAGACACACAAATCTGATCTTTCCAAATCCGACCTGAGCCACTTTCATATGTGGTCCTAGATCAGATACGTATCCATGCGATCTTAATGTGAACCCTCAGATCGGAATTCATGTGCTTTTCTTCCACTGCGGGTGCGCCATCATTCAGCGTTACCATGACAGCAGAAGTTAAAGCCTGTAAACAGTGGAAAAGCAACACATCTCACCGCCTTCATCTCGCTTTAACAATGAAGCTGAGTTATTTGTGATGTTACTGAGTAGGAAGTGCGCATGTGGGTCATTTCAGGATGCCAGTTCGTTTACATTAACGACAGATTAGAATCACTTACCTAAACGAGTGTGTACCATCATGTCAGAGAGATCAGATTTGAGCAAAAAATCAGATTTCAGCAATGAGGCCTGTAATGTGAACGTAGCCTTAGAGGCCTCTCTTTATTGCTTTGTTACTGTACCTTTAAGACTGATGTATGTAAATGAGTTCTGCTTTGATTGGCTAACGTGTTGAATGTCAATCAAAAAGCAGTTCAAACCAGAACAGAAAAAGGATATCTCTAACCCCAAAAAATGTATTATATGAAAGAAGGAAAGAAGGAAAAATGGGCTTTTTTTGCCTGATTCAAATGTATTATAGTTCTTATCAAAATAAATAATTAGAGTAAATGGATAAGAAGATAAAGAAAATCATGTGCTGGGCATTTGCATTCTTTTTAAAACACTCAAATGGATGATACCACATCATTTTATGGTTTCTACAAGGGACATTAGACAATCAATTTGTAATTTCTGCTCATTTGAAGCTAGCCAGAACAGCATTTTATGGGCTTTGAGTACTTGTGGGTATTTCCAAACAAGTACTCATTCAGATACTCACTCTCAAAATCCTCCTAAACCCATTAATGTGCACAATTTTCTGTTGAGATTGCCTAGGCACAAAGTTGAAGAAACTTAACAAACGGATCAAGTCACACAGCTCAAAAAGCAAGTTTTTGTTAAAAATAGGTGGTTGGTTTTAACAAAACAATAAAAATCAAAACTTGATAGTGAATAAATGTATGGAAATGACATGTAATCAGAAAATTCTAAACAGGCACTGTTAAATATTCATGTAAGGTACAACTACAAAACAATCACTCTAGACCTATTTAAAGTGGCATTTCTCCTAATCACTAAATTTAGTTCCTGGACATGAATAGATTAAAAACAGTAATATTTATCATTCACATTTAACCATAATGTCTGTTACTGTACGTCAAATAATTTCCAGTGGACAGCAGCAATGTCTTAACAGTCAGGGTTAAGCCCATCTGCTCACGCACCATATGATGGTACTGTGATTTTAGGGCTGGATTTCACAGATACTGTACATTCTATAGGCTAATTTTATCAACTGTCTTTATTTATTTGTTAGCTCAGTGTGGTGTATCATTAAATAAGAGTCATTGGACAAGATAATTAAGGTTGCATTCACTATCCTACTATTGTAAACACCTCTAGATAAGAGCATCTGATACATAATGTGAAATATTCACATAAAATAACAATACAGTGAACCCAAAATGTGCCCTTTTAGAGTCTCTGTACTTCACAACAAGAAAAAAACAACTCTTCTCCGTTGTGTAATTCCCTTGGTTGCCCGGGCAACCCGTTGTGTTCTGGACCTGGTTATAATGAATAGGGAAAGCGCATGCGTTTATTCATCTGAGCTGAGGCCACCCTGATTCATCTAAGAAGCTTTGGGAAGCGTTAGGTCACTTGGAGACAGCTGCCTCTGCTTTATCCAGTGGTGGCAGACAGTGCACATAATATATCTGACAAGCAAGCAGGATATATCATTATGGTGACACATTACACTGATACCAATGCTGAAAATGACATTGTTAATATATCAGTTACTTGCCTACTGACTCAACACAGCACAACATAGATTACTCTGCAAAAGTCACAGACCACCCTTTATTGATTGATTTAATTTCCAATCAAAATGGCCAGTGAGTATGAGTTATTTATTTTTCACCAGGAAACAAAATACACAAAATCACACAACACTCTAACACTAAGCATAATATCAAATCTATTCATATTTAAAGTAGCACTATGTCATTTTTTTTTTGTTAAAATTGAAAGAAGAAGCATTACTGAGTCAAAAGAAAAAAACACATTAAAATATGGTGTGTGTGTGCCACTGCGAGTCACCCTGTAAAGCCTGAAACAATAATTTAGAAGTGAGAGGTGTTGGGTTGGATTTCCCAGGAGTTTTTGAACCACAACAACAACTTTATGTACTAACATCACACATACAGTATCAAAAACAAGGCCTGGCTCGATACTTAGTTCTCACATGCAAAATAAACAACATACTGTGGAAAATATGAGGATAACAGTAGATAAGTCACTTAAATCATCACTTTACAAAGTTTTGACTGAATTCTTGTTGAATACTTTTTCAACGTGCTCAGTGCAGGGGTCCGAAGCACAATCCATGTTACAGAATGTTTTCCAGCACATTACAGGCAACTACTCATTATCACCAAAGAGGACTGTAAATTACCAAAACTTACATAGTGTAGCTTCAGTTTGTTCACTCTTTACTTTTCTCTTCCATATTTCCAATCTTAAAACCAGTTACATCTGAGCCCTCCCAAAAAGAGCTGTTACCAAAGAAGTCCCTGATATTATACTGCCCTTTAAAGAGACACAAGCAACTACCCAAACAAACTTTACAGTTGCCTTGCAGATTTCTTTCTCATAGGCATCTTAAATAGCAAAAGGACAGTA